TTTTTTTTTAACAGATAACTAATTATTCTAACTACTTAATCTTGAGAAAGTACCTGACATGATCTCACAAAACGACTCGTGGAGAGAGTAACCAATTTTTTCGCAATACTCTCATCTCACTTTTCATTTAATTAATGTCAATGTAAGTCTTGGTTGGCTCCATATATGACGTTAATTTTCGTACTAACTTCTACTAGAGATTTACACATACCCCGCAAAAACCCTGCGCCAACGGAAAAGATCTATGCACAAGGGACCACCCGCGAAAGTCAAAACTTTGGCCACAAAAGCATGCATATATACACATGCAAACATCAATTAATTAATTTCCTGATCAGTTTTATTACATTAAGCTATAGTTGATAAGGTCAGAAAAGACGAGTCTAATTCTAGCGCAAGAAGCAGACAAGTATTATTACACCTATAGTTTATTCAGCCAAAAAATGGATCGCGAGTCATGCATCGGCAAGCTGTTGTCGCAAGAAGCATATGTTTTCGTAGGTCCAGAAATCAACATTGTCTTCTTCAAATGCTTGGAATTCTAATGGCGAATAATCCGAGTGATGGTTCCCTGAACTGCAGGCTTCCTTTTCTGCAGAACGAGAGACGAGAGGAGGTGTCGTCGTCACCACTGACCCCTGACTGATCAGACAGAGAAGTAGCCTGTATGATGCGGTGAGGGAGTAGTAGTGGCAGGGCGATGCTGTTTGAGACGATGAGGCTTGGATGCGCTCTACCAGGCGAGGAATCCATACGAAACGCAAGGCGTCTCTAAACTGTTTGCTATTCACTTCACATTTCATTTGCTTCGCCTGCTTCACCACTCGTGTCCTCCAATAGTTCTTTATCTCATTGTCCGTTCTCCCAGGCAATTCTTGCGCTATTTTCGACCACCTATTCAAATATACGTATATTTATCAGCATCTGATGGAACATTCGATCATTATTGATATGCGAAATTAGTGGAGTCATATTATAAAGGGTGCGTACCTATTGCCCCACCGGGAATGGAGATCGAGAATTAAGAGCTGTTCTTGGAGGGTTATGTCGCCGCGCCGGACGCCAGGACGCAGGTAGTTCAGCCATCTCAATCTGCAGCTTTTCCCGTTCGCTTCAGACCTGTTAAGAATAGGAAAGCAGCATCCATAGATCAGATCACATAAAAAAGAAATTACAGAGGGGGAAGCGCGCAAGGGTTATAATAAAAGGATGTGGGCATGCCTGCGCAGCGGGCGAGAGAGTTCCAGTGTCCTTCGCCATGGAGCGAGATGTAGTCAGCCAGAATAGCATCCTCTTCCTCTGTCCACGGCCCTTTCCGTATCCCCGTCTCTTCTTCACTTCCTGATGACCCACAATCTGATATGCTTCTCGCCATCTCAGCACCCCTATACTTGATATTCGTACGGCAATAATCAAACACTTGATGTTCCAATAATCAAAACACTTGATGTTCCATGGATGTTTCGATATCTATACCCAATATGGAACCCTATTGCAGATGAGGAAGGAGATAGGAGTAGTTTTGAACGCGAATGCTTTGGGTTGGATTGTCAACGAGAGGCAGACAAGAAGGATGATTATATAGGGAGATGAGCTGAGGGTGGCGTGACATTATTTAGGAGGAGATGCACTTCAGGGTTCAGATCATCTTGAAATAAACAAGCCAATGAAATGCTGGACTGCGGCAGCCCGCTGAAATTGTAAATTGATTTAAAAACTTAAAAGGATTAAATTAACTTATGTTGGAATGTTTGGGTTTGGACTTTTACCACGGCACTTAGGGTTGGTTGACCTTCTGACTTAGTTCACACGCATACCCAACAGGTGTGCAAATAAAATAACAATATTTCATGTTATTGGGAGTCAACTACCCGGTCAGCCTTATGATAATTTCAGCGGGCTGAAATAAAATAAGAAAAAGAAATACAGAAAGAGTGTTGAATGTGGCCAGTTTCGATGTAACTGGTGCGAAATTCTCTTGGGTCACTGTCCGTCTCTGTCTGCACTTCAAGTCGAACGTAAACTTCTGCCTTAGCTCCCAAGTCCTGACAGAATACTTGTATCCGAATTAATTAACAAAAAAAACAAACAAACAAACTACTTTTCAAGGACGATACGGCATGTGAGAAGAAGATAAAGCCAAGCTAAGTGCTTAAAAGACGGAGAACAAATTAACAATCATATTAACAAATCGCAGGGCAATATAGTATTTATCTATCCTATTCCTTGTCTTGTGTATAATGATGATGGCCAACCTTTTGTTTTTGGAGCATGTAAAACATACATGCCTCCGTCCTGGGAAAAAAAACCTCCGGTAAACTTTTTTATGTTTGTGTTTTCCGTACAATGCAGATCTAGGGTAATTAATTTAAGACATCTTTACGATTCAATGAAATTGGCACGGGTTAAATAATCAACCAGCGGACGGGCGGCCCCTCCTAATTGGTTGACTGCCCCACGTCGCTAGAAAACGTTGATTTGCTTCTAATTTCCACGCGTCTTCAGAGTTGACGAGCAGCACCTGACGCCCAGGTTTCTATCTTTTTGTTAATTACTACCTCCTATCTCTACTCTACTGTAAAACCTAATTAACTAATTTAAAAAGATTAAAAAATTTAATTAAATTAATTATTTATAACAAATAATATATTTTTTAAAAAACATCCTTACTATTGATACGTGTTTGAATTATTTATTGATAATAACTCTTTAAAGGAGTTATTTGAGGACAAAACAGATAAGTACTGCAGATAAAGTAGATTTCATATTTTATATTTAAAATCAAATTAATCATCAAATTGGTTTTTATTTTAAGAATTAGATGTAATATTATTTATTACTCTTTTCTGTAGTAGTTATTTTTTTTGGGGGTAATCTTCATGCTGCTATGGATCCTTGTAATTCTCATTTCACCCGTCCCTTTTTGTAATACCGGCTCATAGGGATCCGGATCGCCTTCTGTGCATGATCTAAAGCACGTCGTTTTACACCGTGGAATTCATCCGGTGGTTTAGAAGAGAAAAGAGTTGCAACATATAATAATAATAATAATATCAATAATATCATCTATATATACTAAAATAAATATGAGAAAATGATCCTGCCTGCTCTCTTGGGGAGAAGATTATTCTGATAATTTTTAATTAACGCTGACGTCTTCCTGACCAATAGTTAAAGCTTGCGTTTGAGAAAATGGATTGAAGTCGATAACTGCCTCGTTGGCATTAAAAAATAAAAGAAAATATGGCCATGTCTTTTGTGCTTTCCTATTTGCCTGATAAAAGTTAGATTCAATATTTTTGTGATCAGATTTTTTAATTAACAGGCCTCAAACACGTGGATCAGTGTTTCCAAATTGCATCCAACATTTTTCTCTTCGGATTCATTTGTCCACGGATTCATTATTGGCGGAGACCCCGCCCTCGTCATCGCCGCCGCCAGACCCACTACGCGCACCGGGGGCCTCTACAAAGTGAAAATTACATTAAGATTCTTAAAAATCTGAAGTTTCCCGCCACTCACCTGTAAGGTTGTTTTTTTTCAGTTGTTACCTCATAAGTGCTTCATTTGCTCTGCTAATAAGATTTTCATTACCATAAAAGTCCATACCTTTTGCATGACATTTAATGTAAATATAATTGACAATGTTATGTTTTTTAAGCTTCAGCCTGCCGGGAGAAAAACGAAAAAAATAATATCCGGTTCCGCCTTTTGGTTGAAAGTGGAATGGGAGGAGATGCCTGATTAAGAAGACAGTTTTATGCGAAAGAGCTTCCAATCAATTACGCTGCTCCAAAGGCTCCGACATGTTGTATAACGCATATGGTGTCTGTCAAATGTCGTGCAACGGGTTAATTTAGTCTCAATGCAGCACTTGTCAAAATACATACTACTCCTCCGGTCCTTAATATAAGACCCATTTAACTAATTTGATTAAATTAAGGAAGTTAGGTAAGTTAGTTAATTATAGGAAAAGTGTCACATTTTTCCTAAAACACCATAATCATCTTTCTTAATACCCCTTCTCCCTCTTCTACTTGATTATGGTTGAGAGAGTATACATAAGGGTATTTTAGAGAAAATTGATAAATATGAGAAAGGGGTCTTATATTTAGGACCAAAACCAACACAAGAATTGGGTCCTATATTAAGGACCGGAGGAGTACTATATATATGCGTGTGCGCGCGCGCGCGCCTGCAAGATCACTCCGACGAAACCCTGCTCTTTCTAAGAAGTAATTAGAGGCATGCAAGACAGGGGAATGGTGAAATGGATAAGAGCATCCAACCAATCATTATTTGATAACCTTATTTGCAGAGGCAACCTCTGAATACGCGGATCCTTTATAATCTGAAACCAGCGCATGCATCATGAACTGATATATGCTAAACAACGACGAGGGAATGAAACTTAATTTTGACTCCTCAGCTTGGCGAGAAGTGAAGTGAAAACAGCGGCGCTCCCCCCAAAGTACCCAATTCCTAACTGCGTTCGAATTGAATGGAAATGAAAGGTTTTTGCAGATTAGAAGCAGGTATTGAATTGGGGTAACAATACAAGCAGGAAGGCTTGGTCAAGCGACTGTGGAGTTTGGAATAAGCAAAGCCACCAACACAATAGGACTCCACACTCTCCCAGTACAAATAAAAAGCGTACGTGTTATCATTTCCTTCTCCCATTGGACGTCCCCCCCGTAATGCCCATCGCCCTCACACGCCCCCCCACATTGCTTGCAGTCCAATAGTATGTTATCACAGGCGTCGAAGCAAATCCTACCTCCTCACCTGCGTTCGCGCACAAGCCACCACTCAATCAACTAAATCATTTTGGGAAACAAATTTGACTTTATTGGCATTTGGTTAAAGAAAAAGCCACGGTGCACATCCATTTCCATACACTTGTACCACGGACACACTCCCTATATTATATATCTAGTCTTCTGCCATGTATCTAGACTACATATATGCCTACGTCTGTAATTTTGTACAGTAGATTAGACCCATCAATACGGGCGACGCACCGTTGCCATGTCTTTTCATTTACACATCTTCGAAAAGTTGTTGTTGCAAAAACCAAATATTGTCGTCACTCCACAGTGTTTCGGCCCACTCCCCACCGCCGCCACCCAAGGCACCGTTTCCCTGCTCGGATACAACCCGTGGGCAGGCTTCCAACCCCTCTGGGGAACCGTCCGAAACATGATGATGAGCCTGCCATGGGGACGAAGGGGGTTCGTTGAACTGGATATTCAGAGGCGTGACGGAGGAGTGATTCGGGTTGGCGGGGATGGGGTGGCAGTTCGGTTGGTATTCGGATGCGGCCGCCCGTATCCGCTCCAGCAAGCGGGGCATCCACACGTAGCGCATGGTGTCTCTGAACTGCTTGCTGTTGACATCGCACTTGAGCTGCTTCGCTTGCTTCATCACCCTCGTCCTCCAATAATTCTTAATCTCATTGTCTGTTCTTCCTGGCAAGTGCTGCGCTATTTTCGACCACCTGCACACATGCATGCATTAGTATTTGACTTCCTATTTTAAAATAAGACCCCAGATATTCTACTCGTTCCTCAACATATACCTATTTCCCCACCGAGAGTGCAGATCAAGAATTACTATCTGTTCCTGCAGCGTGATATTTCCACGCCGAACGTCGGGACGCAAGTAGTTCAGCCATCTTAACCTGCAACTTTTGCCCGTTCTCTTCAGACCTGCAAATTCCACAGATTTAATTTACGTTCAATCGAAAATCACTCCTTTTCTATGTAATCCTGCAGAGAGAAGGAACAGAGTACGTGCCGGCAGAGCGGGCGACGGAATTCCAGCGACCCTCGCCGTGGATGGCGATGTAGTTGACCAGAATGGTGTCCTCTTCCACGGTCCATGGGCCCTTCCTTATGCCCATCTCATCTTCACTCTGATGTGTCCTCCGCTTACTCTCGCCTTCCACCTTCATTTCTGTTCCTCTGTTTTATGAAAATTATCACACCCCCCCTGTATGCGACACTGTAAGAGTGGGTGCACGCGTGTGTTAATAGAGAGGAAGAAGAGAAAGAAAATTGTAGGAAACGGTGTGAAGGGGAAGAAGAAACCGCAATGTGGGATTTGCGCTTGGTTAGTTTACGCTAATGGGGGATGTGGAATTATATATAGGACGAGATAAGAATAAGCTCGCTTGGAATTCTAATTCTAAATATGATAAATGATAGTGGCTAAGTGACTTCCATTGAAAAAGAAAGCACACCAGCCTCGTTTTTCTTAAATTATGCGATTATTATAATTAATAACAGCAACTGCTTCATTTAGATGGGTCGTGCTCGGAGTATTAAGGAACAAACTCGCTGTTTATGGTTTGACCCATGGACTTTTCCTCATCCCTCCGAGACACGCGCTGAGAAAGAAAGGACAGACTAATTCAACTTCGAGGGGTGGTATCTGGAGAACACTTCAGCAGTCTCGCGGGTCTGGTTTATTCGATTCATTTATATTTGTTAAACCAGAGAGGCTTAAAAAATATATGACGTTCTGCAAGTAAAGATAGCGCTGTTGGAATTTTGATACTCTTTCTTTGCTCAGTATCATGCGACGATGTGCGCAAAAGCATTCGTTTTCTTTATTTTCCTTTTGAATTAAAAACTGCAAAGTCATGAAACGCTGTGCCATGCCTGTAAACAGAGTTTTAACTGTTGGCCAAGAAACACAAGGAAAGAAGCAGAGATGGGTCCCCTGTTTCTCCCACTAAGGAAGAAGGGGAGTGACCGTGGAATGAGAGGCAAAATTCATAATTAGCAATCACTGATCTGTACGTAAATAGAAGACTCTCTTAATTCAGGATTCAACGATTATTAGGTCAGTGGTACGTAAGAGGGCCGAGAATTTTGGTTCACAGGACAATTAGTCAAAGGAAAAGGCGACGCATTGGACTTGGTTTGAATAAATTTCTACCCAGTGATCGGCGCAATACATGAAGGGAGAAAAATATCTCATGACACGTTGAACAAGGCATCAAACAGCCTCCAAAAGAGGAAATTTTGTTGAAGTCTCGAAGACTAAGCGAAACAAGCCTACAATATGGGCAGGGTATGGTTTGAACTGCAAAACACCCCCCCCCCCCCACACACAAGGGAAAAAGAAAACAGAGGGTTTTTTTTTTGGGGGGGGGGGGAGATAGAGAGAGAATAAAAGCGTATTCCCCGGCACACTTGTTAAGAGTTTCGGCCGTGCACGTCGTAGGTATCAAATACAAAGGGTATAATATTCTGCGTAATTTGATAAAATTTGACTTGTGGATGAGTAGAGCAATCAAAGGATATCAGAAATGGTTGCCGAGACGGAGAGTAAAGTGAACTGTTGAAATGAAAAAGGTGGTAAGGTTGCGTGTCAGAAAGCAAAGCACGAAGCGGAGTGTGAAGTGGTTGGTTGATACAAATAAAGATTCAACTAATGATGCCAATTACAACGAAGCGTGCAAGTATAAGCAACGACGAGTCAATGCTGCCGCAAACACTGGGTTTAAGCCCCATCCACATCGCCCTGCTTGTACAAACCATTTTGCATTTTAGTTTCCAATTTAGGCCAACACGGCTTACTGGGACTGGAAATATTTGGAGTCGCTCTGGTGGGTTTAGAGATGAGTGCGAATCAGTATTGAATTGGAGCTGTGACCTGAGACTGATAATGACTTTAACTGTGTAAACAGTTAATTAGTGGCGGGAATAGTGGTGCAGAGAATCTAACAGCGTCAGCGAATGGACGGACGACGAAGAACTTCTAGTTCAAGTACGAATGGAAGAGAGAAAAGGCAGCAGTGGGGTGGGGTTCGGTTGGGGCTGCCTCTGTCGTGGATGGATTGTTGGAGATGCACCCCACTTTGGACTTTGTTCCTTTCCCTTTGAATTGCTTTTCCTTACAGCGCCCATCTCAATTTAAATTTGCAGTAACGCGCAGGGTTAGGTTAATGCAGAGAGAGGAAGGAGGGGGTAGAGAAAATTTAAATGGAATTTTGTGGAACTGCGTGTCCATACCATGAACACGGCACGCCCAATTCAAGCCTTCATCATTGTGATTTTTGATCTGACTACTACACGCATAACTCGACCCATTATTGTGTGTCCATTTGTATTTTATTTCTCAGTTCTAAGATTGCGGTAGTTTGGATGTTGTTATTTCTTTGAAAATAAGCTTTGAGACCTTAGGTAACATAATTACAATAAATGTTTTCACATTAGTTTATTTTTTAACCAGGCCTACTGGCTCATGTTTTAAATTTTTATGAAAAAATGATTAAAAAAAATGAAAATTACTAAATACTAAATCATGTTTGATAACAGTACTTTATTTGCTATTGACAACACTAAATTTGTAAATACTATTTTCGATCCTTAATATAAGACCCTGTTTGACTTTTATTTTGGTCCTAAATATAAAACCCCAATCTACTTTGTCTCTCATATTTATACATTTTTTTCAAAATAACCCTTCTAATAATAATAGTTCTTGTCAATATACTTGATTAGTAAGGATATTTTAGAAAAAATAACACTTATTTAGGATAAATAACTAACTCAACTTATGTTCTTAATCCCCTCAAATTAGTCAACTGGCTCTTATAATTAAAACCGGAGGTAGTAATAACAAATTTTTGTTAACATCACATATTTGGCATTTAGTAATTTTTGGCTTTTTTTTGGGTTATTTTTTCAATTTTTATTATAGACTCAAGCCTATCTCGTCAAATCATGAACCGTGTTCACCCCTAGTGACGTGTTCCAGGATTAATAACAAAGAAAATTTTCTATTCCTTCATACTCTAAACTGATTTTTTTAAAATAAAAATTGAAAACAAACGTTCAATGTAAAATAAGTGTGGCAACTTAGTATCAGGTAAAAAAGCAGTAATTTAAATATAAATACAACAAACTGTAACTAATATAAACGAGTCATATAATAAAAATAAAATCTATTTAATATTCAAAAGTTGAGATATTAGCTTTCAAAAACAAATGTTGGATGGTGCATAACAAAGTTTTTACACAAAGTGAGTGTTCGGAAACATTTGCAAATTAAATTTTATTTTATGAAACAAAATCCTTCTTTTATATATATATATATCCGAAATTAAAAATAAATTACTCTGTTCGATGCTGTCATACACGTGGAAGAATGAGTCTTGCAAAGGTTAATGTGATGGCATGGTCACTGGATAAACATTACCGTACGTACGTGTACAGCATATTATAGTGACGTTGCAGTTGCAAACGAAGATAGCTTTAACTTGATGCAAGAGTGAGGAGACTGGTCAAAAGGTCATGGTAAATAAAACGTTAATTAATATATCTTTTATTCTCTGCCATCTAATTATTAATTTATATATAAAATGGTAAAGGGGGCAGGAGGCTGAAGTTATTCTGGAATCACAAGCGAGACTCTTATCTACAATTTAAATACCATCTGGGGCGACAAGGTGGATATAATCTTAATATTCCATTTCCAACGTGGTCAAAGGTAAGACGCTTTTCGAAGATCCTTATCTTTCTATTGGCTTCGCCTCTCATATCAAATGATTCCAAAGACATCTACTGGCTTCGATGCACATTAATTACTATCATCATTGTTTTCTTTTTTGAAAAAGAGGCTACTGGCACTTGTTCACCAAAATGGAAGTGGCCATTAGAATAATGAGCAGTAATAATCTAATATTACAAGTAAGATTGAACCTGTGGACCTTTCATTTATGTACTTGTATATTTTGCAAGTCATGTCTTTTTTAAAATATCTGGGAAATTAGATCTTTTAACCAATTTCCCCTGAATTTAGTGAATGGGTGAGAATCCCTTTAGCTATCAGCCAACAGGAGGTCACGGGTTGCGTTTATTCTTGGACTATGAAAGCCTTTAATTATACCCTACCCTGCACAGACGCAGAATATATGTCAAACTAGGATTTGCTTTAGGGTTCAATGTAGACTTTGAAGGCACCCCATTCATCCGACCTTTGCATAGAATATATTCGAGATTCCTTTTACTGGCTTTAGAATTCAATTCAGGGAACATAAAGATATTTAGAATTCCAAGGTTTGGTCCATCAACATTTATGGACCAAATGTTCCTGCATCCCTCGCACTAATGCCTCTCGTGGCCGATTCCTTAACACCTGTATGTGGGCCCGAAGAGGCCAAGCTTGGCTCCAACGAGAGCATGCCACAAAATTTCTAAAAAGGAAAAAACCTAAATCATATATGAAAATAGTAATTATTTTATAAGTTGGCTGTTATAAAATTGATGTTACTATATATATATATATATATATATTCTGCATTCCTAAATATTACCTTCGCTCTTTAATAGAAAAATTAGTTGATTAATTTGAGTAGATTAAAAATATAAGTTGGTTATTTGTAATAAATAGGTGATGTCTTTCCTAAAGTATCCTTACTAATCAAGTTATTAGTTAGAACTACTATTATTATAAGAATTATCTTAAGAAAAGTAAATAAATATAAGAAACAAAGTGAATTATGATCTTATATTTAGGACCAAAATAAAAATTAAACAAACTCTTATATTAAAAAAAAGTAGAGGAGGTAGTATTGATCAAGTGTATTCCATTTGGGTACAAAATCAGCAGATCGATAAAATGCGCACGTGTTACTGATTTGGGGTTTAATGAAGATAAGTGGGGCAGCCGGCGTCCAAGTTCCGGTGCCGTGGGCTTTCCAATTGCATTTTACAACCTTCGGTCTTAAATCTAGTGCGCAGCACAATCTAGATTTTACAGGCTGTTTGGCAACCTTCAAACAAAACGAGACAAACTCCTCTATATATTTATTTTGTAAATTGTAAAAGCACTTTTAAAAACAATAAAGTATTTTTAAAATTATTGTTTGATTTCCATCCAAACATTCTTTTATATCTAGGAGAGCACAAGGATTGTAGTATTGCAATGTGCCCACTGTGTGTCCCAGACTGATTGCTTATCATAGACTCGATTTATCTCATATGCCCGCTGCGTCAAACTCATGTCAACCTCCGATCCGATGTATGGACAGCGCGCAGTCACCCGTTAAAGAAGCTGAGAAAACAACCAAACGCTTCAAAAGGGGGGCTGGGCATTCGTGGTACTCCCTCCGTTTCTTATTATAAGAGACAAATGACCAAAGTACGTTGATAAAAAAAATAGTTAAAATTAGTTAAGAACAATTAATGTGTAAAAAGTATAATTTTTTTTCAAAAATGCCCTCATTAATAAGGAGAGAGAGCATGAAAGAGAACAATTAAATTATTAAAAGAAAGAGAAGTGGGAGGGAGAGAGAGTGTGAGTTGGAGATAATAAATATGGATAAAATAGTAAATCAACACAAAAAAGTAGAGACAACTTGTAAGTGTCTCTTATATATAGAAACATGCCATAAGCATCAAATGTCTCTTATAATAAGGAATGGAGGGAGTAGTAAAATAATTTCCAAGCAGACCAATTTGGGTTTGAATTTTGTATCCCATACGTATTATCCGTTCAATGTATATACAGGTGGATTCCACCTCTGCTTATGACTTCAATTCTAAATCGTAGGGCTAGGGAAGAATGCCGCGCCATCTGCAAAATTCAGCCTACTTAATCACTACGAAAGCCCATCTAGTCCAATGGCACACAGAAACTAAAACTTCCTACAGCACATTTGTCCACTTGTCTGGAGTTGAAGATTGTTTAACACTAGATAAGACTGCATTCATATTGATTAACGCAATAAGCAGTGCATCACAATGATGAGTTGATGACCACACGATGATGTTGCGACAGCGGCTCTTCAAATACACCAAGCCCTTTTAATCTGTTAAAACAAACTCTTCGCGTGTTTATTAAATGAGAAAAAAAAATCACACTTCTTTGGAAAATAACAACCGATAGCAACTCACCGGGGCCCATATCAGTTAAAAAACCAAGATCTGCACTTTACTTTCTAGTTTTTATCTACATATATCATTTTCAATGACTCGACTGACTTCACAACACAACGATTAAAAACAATGGCATGATGTTAACATACAAGGGGGAAAAATTTGCAAATCATTCTGACGGTCCGTTCGGCATGCAGGATTTTGAATGATGTAAAGGGAGAGAAAGAAGGAAAAACTATGATGGGTTTGGAATGATGCAAGAGTGTCTCCTGGGAAGGCAGTTTCCCATCAAAATGATGGAATTTTTGTCTCCACACCCCCTAACGGAATTTTCGTGCCTTCCTGAGATGATTTTTTTTTTCAGACCAAAATACCCACCATTATTTCTCATAATTCCTGATGAAACCCAACCAAGAAAGGAAAGTAAATAGATGACTGTTCTTTTTACCAAGGGAAATCGTTACATGCCAGAGTCAGCGAACACTAACAAGGGAAACAAAAAATCAAAAGCTCCAGTACATGATTGCCAATTGCCAAATACACTCAACTTTTTGCAACCCAAAATTAGTTGTCTCTATGCCTGCAATACCAGAGAAAAATCATTATATTATAATCTACTTGTAAATTGTAAATTTCATCAAGATGCATTCCCGAATGCTGAATCTGTCGCTATAGTTTTGTCAGTTTAGTTATGATGTAATAACCTTGTTTGCAATGCTGTTTGATAGCCAGTCAAGTCCTTCATAAAGCCCTTCGCCAGATGTGGCACACGTGCTCTGGATATACCTGTTCTTGTACAGAGCATGAAGATGAGAATGGGAAGAAAGGGAGGATGCAGGGAGACAGGAGATTAAGAGGGGGTTTTAATATTAAGCAAAAATTTAGTTTTACCAGTGACGCTGACGGAGAGAATGAAGACCAAGCTTATCAGTAATCTCAGCAGCATTCATAGCATTTGGAAGATCTTGCTTGTTTGCAAAAACTAGTAGCACAGCATCCCTCAACTCATCCTGCCAGGGAAAGAATATGATCATCCGAAAAGGATTGAAGATCATAGATAGGGACCTGAATCATTTGAAATAAGCCACTTCTGACATTCTAAGCCACTTTGTTTGAGATTAAGAAAAAAGTGATTTAAGCTAAGCTAAACGAGGGAGCTGTTGAGAGACTCTTAGCTAAACATGAGAGTTTTGTTCGAGAAAATCTCTTTTCAGCTTATTTTGATAAGCTGATCCAAATAGCTCATTTTAGTCAGCTTATCAAAATAAGCTAGAAACAAGATTTCCAACACATCCCTTATGTTTAGCCTAAGCTTCTTCCAACAACTCCCACTTGTTTAGATTATCTGAAATCCCTTTTCTTCTTAATCTTAAACAAATTGGCCCTCAATCATTAAAAATGTTTTTATCACCTCATTTAGCATCCTGTGCAGTTCATCTCTAGCTTCAACCACACGGTCCCTATCATTGCTGTCAACCACAAAGATGAGTCCTTGTGTATTTTGAAAGTAATGTCTCCACAAAGGACGAATCTAGAGGGGAAAACATATTAATGATCATCACCATGTTGATTATAATTAAATCCAAAACTAATTCAAGTAATGACATAATGAGAGGTTAGGTAAAACAATTTATGCCAGACAGTTCTACATTCAGACAAAAACTCCATATGTACTCAGGAGTACATGATTGCATAATAAAACCACATTTCTAACGGACTGAATGAATCAGGCAACAGACAGAAAATAAGAGCAGCGGATGCTGTGGACCAACAAATATAAGAGATATACAGACTGTATAAAGAGCGTGGTATAATTGTAAACACTACAATACCCATAAAGATCACTGCACATCCATGTGTTAACATCAACATTTCATTCGCCCACCCTAAATAACTGGCCATTACTTAAGGCCTATTCCCCAAAGCAGAAACGAACTCATGACATAAAGAATCTTATTCAAGCCATTTAGCCAATGATCTTGTTATTGAAAAGAATTTCAGCCTACTTACTAGACCATCCATTTCCTTTACAAAGACAGGTGGTGCAGGAAAAATGTACCTTATCCTGGCCACCCACATCCCACACAGTGAAGCTAATGTTTTTATATTCCACAGTTTCCACGTTAAACCCTACACATCAAATGATATATTAGTATAGATTGCAATAGATAACTGACCAGGGCACTAACCCCAGAGGATGTCAACAACTGGAGATAAATTATGGTTGTTTCTTTTGCCACTTATTAATATAAAACTGTACAAATGATTCGCCAATTGATAAAGCTTACCGATGGTGGGGATAGTGGTGACTATCTCTCCGAGCTTGAGCTTGTACAAAATGGTGGTCTTACCCGCAGCATCGAGGCCCACCATGAGTATACGCATCTCTTTCTTGGCAAACAGCCGACTGAATAGCTTGGTGAAAGACAGCCCCATTTTCAAGTATTCTGAGTCCAAATTTTAGCATCAAGACATGGATCCATTTGAACTGAATTTTAACGGTGACAAATGCACGTAATATCACTCTTTTCCTCCCGAGAGAAGGAAATGTTTTTTTTTTTTGGTTCCCCCGGGGGGTGGGGGAGTATGAAGAAGAGCAATGCAATCTACAATGGCGCCGACTCGAACGGGAGACAAAAAATGAAAGGCACAAATCACATGCATAAACAAGATCGTGGTTTAAATTAAAATAACAATCTCGCAGCGCACGATGCAGATCGAGAAAAGACAGGATAAAATCGTAAAATAATCTTCGAATCAAAGAAAATATGACATTTTGTACAGAAAAAGAGACTGAACAGGCAAAAAGAAGAAGACGGAGACGCAATTCATGTAGAGAAGCGAAGCATGCAGGAGAACTAACCTCGAGGCTCGAAGGAGGGAACGAAATTGAGTAAAACGTCCCACAAAACTGAAAAAGAGAAGGCGCCACCTCTGCCCTTCCCGTTTATGACACCGTCGAGGCGGTCTTCGCATATTTATACAAACACCGAAACACGGACCCATGAGGTGTTAACGCCGTTACCTTGTCCTGTTAAGAGTCAGTTTGAAACAGTTTATAAGTAGTTTATAAGATTTTTTTTAATAATAAATTACAGAATACAAGATAAGTATGTAAGAAAAGTTTTATTTCAACTTATATAAAATGTATTTATAAGAGATTTTCACCTCTCTACCAGACGGATCTAAAGCCCCCTTCTTTACCAAATGTAGAATGAAATCGTACATTGCTGCCCGGGAAAAAGATAGCACAAAAGTGTTACGAAAGTCGAGATCAATATATATGAATTTGACCCTGAGATATTTATTAATAAAATATTTGCTATGCAATTAGCAAATATTTCAATGCCTATTCAGAAGATCAACAGTGGATTGAAGCATATGTTTGCAAGGATGGTTGAAATAAAGTCTCTAGCGGTTAAATGGATGGCTTCAATACAATCAATCACTAAAGGCCTCGATATTTTTCCTTGTCCTCCTATCATAAGATAACTTTAAGAAGACTTTATTGATCCTTACATAAAGTAATACTACTTTTAATTCTTAATATAAGAGCTAATTGATTAATTTGAATACATTAAGAAAATTATTTAAATGAATTATTTATAATAAGTATGTACTCTTCCGGTCTTTAATATAAGACCCATTTAACTAATTTGATTAGATTAAAAAAGTTAGGTAAGTTAGTTAATTATAAGAAATGTGACACGTTTTTTCCTAAAACATTATAATCATCTTTCTTAATACTCCATCTTCCTCTTCTACTTGATTATGGTTGAGGGGTATCTATAAGGGTAATTTAGAAAAAATTGATAAATATGATAAATGGGTCTTATATTTAGAACTAAAACTAACTCAATAATTACGTCATATATTAAGGATCGGAGGAGTATTGTCTTTTCTAAAATATCCTTACTAATTAAGTGTATTGGTTAGAACCATCATTATTACAAAGACTGCCTTGCAAAAAAATTAATAAATATGAGAGACAAAATAGATTAAAACATTATATTTAAGACAAAAATAAAAGTCAAATAAATCTTATATTAAAAACTGGAGGTAGTATATAATAAGACCTAGTGATTTTTTATTGTTGCTTCTCATAATTTTGATAAAATGTTCTGCAAATTGTGGGTGGAGATTTACATCCTTTTCATTAACAAAGGTAAAATTGTAATATTTAAATTCTTTTGAAATATTTTTTTTATTATTCACACAATCCAATTTAAAACATAATTGGGAATCAAATATGATCATTTCTCTCAAATTTTCTTTGACATATTGAACATTTACGATACACGTGAATATTAAAGACACCTCAAGAGGAGGAGGGAGTAATTGCCGGCTAGCGTTTTGGGCTCCCCGCTCCCCAGTGAGACTTGAGGCTTGTGGCTTGCCGCGACTATCACACTGGCGATGAGCCCCGCATTGATTTAGGGCTTGTTTGGAATTCCGTTCAAAACGGGTTTTTAAACAAGTTCACGTAAATCGAGATAAAACTCTCCTCACATACTTATTTTGTATTCCGTAAATCACGTTTGAAAAGCTATTTATAAGTCAATCCAAACAAGCCCTTAGTAAAAATGTGTTTTTCAAGGGGGGGAAAAAAAAGAATCCTTTCTTGCTTCAAGTTTTTGACCGTCCCGTTTTATGCTCCGTGTTTGGCAATTCTATTGAATATGAGTTTCCACATACATTACATGCAGTGTGGATTATATTTATGATATGTAGTTAGTACAGGTTATTATACATTAATATTAATTATATTGATTGTTGGGTTCGTCTAGTTGGTATGAAGATGACTTATGACCCATAAAGACAGATATAAAGATCTTGTTAGTGAGTAATATGTGAGTCCTAGACTCAATTTATATAAACTTTTTATCTATACAAAAATTATATTGATTTCAAACATACCAGTTATTGAAATCCTGATGATGATTCTAGTTCTGTGTGTGTGTGCAGAGCATAGAGCTCTATAATACTACCCCCGGTCTTTAATATAAGACCTAGTTTACTACTTTAGAAAAATTAAGAAAATTAGTTAAGTTAATTATTTGTCATAAATAAGTATTATCTTTCTTAGAATACCTTTACTAATCATGTATATTAGCTAGAATTACTATTTAATGAAACCTTTAACATACACAATTATTACATTGACTACTTTAAAAAAATAAATAAATATAAAAGACAAAGGAGATTGGAATTTTATATTTATGACTAAATTGAAAATGAAACAAGTTTTTATAATAAGGAACGAAAGTAGTATTACCTCTATTTCTATGTGTGTGTTTGTATTTGAACTACAAATTAGATCATGTATTTAAAGTAATTTTTATGTTAGTCCATGAAAAAGATCAAGGAAAATGCAAATTACTATTATTATCCTCCAACACGAAGGAACAATTGCCACGCAAATTTATTCACTACGTAACAAGCCAATTAGATTGCCCACAGTTTATTCATCTTCCAGACCATAATACAGAAAAACAGAAGACAGGATTATATTGCTATCATGAGAGAGGGAGAAGTTGAGACTTGAGAATGCGCTCAAGTCCCACTTCCATCGAGACAAATCATGCAACGGAAAACATGTCGGCTCGTCCACCAGACATCCTCTCAGCTTTTTCCCCACGCTCACCTGAAAGCTTCTATTAGAACTACGATCACAAATTATAACTTGGAGTTTGATAGAAGTGTTACCTGTACGAACTCTCATAACATCCGCCACAGGTATCACTGCACAATCAATGCTTCTATTAGAACTATGATCACAGCTCCGGGCTACTAAGGGCTTATTTGGATTGACTTATAAGTAGCTTTTTAAATGTGATTTACAGAATACGAGATAAGTATGTGAGGAGAGTTTTGTCTCGGCTTACGTAAATTTGCTTAACAGTCCGTTTTGAACGGAGCTCCAAACAATACCTAAATTTGAAGCAGCTTGCTAAATTGTAAGTTTTCTTTTTAATTATTTCTTCATCTTCAAGTTCTCCCAATTCACAGGAAATGTGCATCAGGCTACCTTGCTTAGGTTTTGAATATCCCGATAGTTCTGAGTTTATCATGCTTCTAAGTATTCTAATTGATGAGGAACTCATGATACAGAAAACCAAGAAAACAATATGCTAGCTATGGGTTCCCATTTAATTCTCAAACCACAAGCTTCTTCCAACTTATTTTGCTTACCGACAAGCTTGAACACTTGACAGTAATCTTATTAATTCTAAGCGATGAGTAGGGTACGAGGGAAATATGAATATGTATTAGTGTCAATGCATAATGTAATATTAAAGGCCCGCCAAAAGATCTGACAGGCATTTTCTGGACTGACATCAACGATGGGGATGTGTGAACGATCCTATAAAATTTACTAGAACCAGAAGAAAGGTAACTTGAAAACAGTATTCGTAACAAGGTACGTTGAAGCCTTACCGAATATTTTGCCGTCACCGATCTCCCCCGTCCTTGCCACCTTAATAATCTTGTCTATTACTGTTTCGACCTATAGAGAATGTATGATATCTAATCAAGGGGATAAATTTCTTCAATAAATCTCAATCTAGCGATATCACAAAATATCTTCAACCCAAAATCGTAGCAAAATTTTATTCTTTTGATATCCCAAAATTATTTCTCGTTGAAACAAAAAAATCCAACTTTAGAAGAAGCACTATTCACTAAAACTTTTACCACGACTTTGCCATCACAATTTACTTCTCTGGGGCAAGACACGCACAACTTTTGCAAATCAGATGCTTATTGATTATCTTTATCAAGAAACATACTTGATCAATTAAACTTGCACAATGCTACCTCCATACGTACCTGCCCTTTGCTCACCACTATTTCCATCTTAACCTTGGCAACAAAATTGTCCTCATCAAATTCAGAGCCTGGGGAGAAATGAACAGAGGTCAACAAAGAATAATGATACAAGAGAGGCAGTGAGCATATACACATGAATCCAGCCTTAGATAAATACTGCAAGTAAAGATGATTGTTGGCAGATCTAATTAAACCATCAGGAATTCTTTGACATTTTAGCTTGGTTAACTTTATCAATGAAAGGAGGGATTGCAAGAATGCAAGAGACCATATCTTCATTTCTAGACAGACTTGATCTTACCTCCCTGCCTCTCTTTTGAACCACCCTGAGCACCAAATCCCTTAACATCAGATATCGTGACGCCACGGATTCCCATTTTCAACAATGCCTTCAATTCAAGGAAAATAAGAAGTATTACTAACCTCAGTCATCAAGGAGTTTGTTAGCATTCGGTCCAAATCCTATACAAAGAGTATATATCGACTAAACCAATTGTCTGAGAGAATGAGCACAAGTTTAAGTGACACGACTTCATTCTGGAGGCACTCAGTGAGAAATGACATTCATCCTTTGGGTAGTCTCAACTCCCAAGTGCCATCCACGACCATATATTGGAAGCTGGACAATGATCTGAATTGCTGAAACATATGTGGTCAGTCATAAATTTGTTGCCCGGATCATTGACAGGCAAAAGGGCACATGACGATGGAACCGCGGATTTCTCTAGGATAATGAATTGATCCAGTGCGTGTTAGCAATTTCGCAGGAACAGGTACTCTTGAGCTTTCACCAAATACTGCAATCCGCTTAATGGGACGGGGTGAAAACCCATAGGTACCTACGAGGTGCGGTGCTACGGAATTCTATCGGATACAGCAGAGGAAAAAATGTGGTCAAACAATTAAATCGACATAGCTAAGAACAGGATGACCTGTACAAAACAAAAGTCAAACTTTGTCGAGCCAAGTAGCACCCTTCGATATGGGGAGATCAAAGAAATGATACTAGAAGGGTTTTTTTTTTTGGAAAAAAAAAAACTTTAGGGGGGGGTTTTGGTTGTTAAAACGGGTCAAAAGCAGAGGAGACGCCCCTTCGTCTAACAGTTAAATATTGTAATATCCTATTTGTCCAAATAGTAAAATCTGCATAGCAAGTATCATCGTATTAAAATAATGAACTACCCGTTCAGTCAGTTATCTTGAGCAAAAGAACTTTTTTTTTTTTTTTGCCCAAAAATTAAGAGCAGAAAAGAAAGAAAGAATAATATAAGAGTTGGAACAATGCTAAAGGTTAGACCTTACCGAAGACAAATGAGGGATTTGCCAAGGCCTATCAGAAGAACCACGAAGATGAAGTAAGTAACTCCAAAAACACATTTCGATATGGGTACAGTGTAACACCAGTCATCATATGAAAAGGAAGCAATAAAAGATAAAGCTTCAAACCTGAGAATCGCTTCCACTTTGTAAAAGTTGGAATCGGGAAAATAACCTGTCAGATCAGCAAGTTTTAGCGGCAGAGAGTGCTCAATTTAAGTAATGGTGGATAGTATTCATTCGTACCGAGAGAAGTTTGGGCGCTGATTTTGGGAAGAACCGAAGCATTTCGTTTGGGGGTTAGAGCCACATTGCGCTGACGAAGAGAGAATTGAGAATATCCCAAATACCTGGGAAGTAAGCAGCAACAGGGACCTGCAAAAGCAAATTCAACCTCTTTGAGAGGTCCAAGCAAGTGCATTCTCGCGATCGTAGCCATTGTTTTCCCCTAAACCCAAGCAGGCAGACAAGCAGGCTGAGTTGTTAACTATTTAACATGCAAAACTGCATTAAAAATATTAACATTAATTCACCGAAAAAATATTAACGTTAAAACTTTAAATATCAACACAATATTCTAAAATACTCCTCCGGTCCTTATTATAAGACTCAATTTGACTTTTTATTTGGTCCTAATTATAAGACCCAATCCATTTTGTCTCTTATATTTATGCATTTTTTTCCAAGATAATCCTTCTAATAATGATAGTTTTAGCCAATATACTTAATTAGCAAGGATATTTTAGGAATGACAACACTTATTTATTATAAATAACCAACTTAACTTACTTCCTTAATTTCTTCAAATAAATCAATTGGGTCTTATAATTAGGACCGGAGGAGTACTACTACATCTAATCCTGTTTATAAGAATTAGTTGATTAATTTAAAAAGATTAAGAAAAGAAGTTAAGTTAGTTATTTGTAATAAATATGTATTGTCTTTTCTAAAATATCTTTACTAATTAAATATATTATTGGCTAGAACTATTATTGTTAGAAAGACTATCTTTAAAAAAAATACATAAATATGAGAAATAAAGTGGATTGAAATTTTATATTTATGACCAAAATAAAAGTCAAACAAAATCTTATATTAAGAATCGGAGGCAGTGTTAATATACTTTTTGCAACGAAATACTATTAATATATGAATTTTAATTTTGTTAAACTAATATCATTAATAAAAAGATATTATTTAAAACTAATATCATTTTAAACTAATAATACTAATAATATATTTTTTGCCAACCAAATATGCATTTTTATCCTACAGTCACTCAATCGCCCGCATAATCATCCCCATCCGGCCTTCCCCGCAAGCAAACGGAGATTACGTCACCGATCCGTACTGTGCTCCACTGAACATCTGGGCTTGGGCCGTGGATTTTATAAACGAGAGCTGGGCCCAATTTATGGACGTCAATACCAGGTGGACGCGGGTGAAGTGAAATGGGGGGAAGCAAATTCATTGAAGATGGCTGGGAAGGTCGGCGATTTCGTGTACAGAATCAGTACAGCAAGAGAGTGGGAAGAGTTGCAGAAGAATGGATCGGTTTTCGGTGGAGAGCTTGATAGGTCTTCGGGTTTCATCCATCTCAGCAAGCTGGATCAGGTTCTCCTTCTCTCGTTTCTGTTTTGTTTTGTTAAACGGTTGAGGTGTGTTTGTGTCAATCGATTTTTTTTATACTTAGATTTGTAGGAGTATTACGCTTAATTATTCTCTTTGAACTTGTTGCTGATAATGGAATTAATTACTAAATCTTCATTGTGCACTTATGCGCAGGTTCAGTCAACATTGCAAAACTTCTTCTTGAACACCAACGAGGAACTATACCTGCTCCAGATTGATGCTAAAAAGGTTTGTACGTGCATCCTCTATGCTTATACCACCTCCTGTCTTATTTTATAAGACCTCCTTTATATAGTCTACAATATAATTAGGACTTGCCTAGGAGGCTAGCCGCCTGTACCTGATGCATTTGGGTGATGATTAAGTAAGTGGTATGGCTCGTGATAATCAATAGCTGTTTAAACTTTAAATGCCCTCAAGCATTTCGTGGGTTCCTTTTGCCAATCTTTGGAAAAATGATGGTTCAGAGAATGAGACTGAGATAACTGGGCTGAAATAACTCTCATAATTTAGTTACATATAATCAAACATGCAAGTAACATTACATTTGGCCACAGTTGCTTCCAAGAAGTTGAAGCTTCCTGCTCGCAAAATGCTTCAAGATGAAAATGCCTAATCGTGGGCACAAATTCTATACATTTGCTTTAACCAAGGCAAAGTGTGATTTGGCCCACTCTTGTCGAGAAATTAGGAACAGCTTCAAATGATTATTTCATGACAACATGTGTGGCATGGGGTTGCAGCCAAATTCCATGCGTTTGTTCGTCTGGCCGTTATTTTTGCTTGGTTATGACGGACAGACTACAGCCTAACAGAATATTTTTGTTAAACTCGTTGTTGCAGTTGGGAGATGGGTTGGTGTATGAAATTGTGGACGGTTCAAATAGCTTCCCTCATTTCTATGGGCCATCTCGAAGCTTTAGGCCTCTTCCTCTGGATGCCGTAACGAAGGCAGAGAAGCTGACTCTCTCTGATGGCCGTTTCAGTTGTAGATTGCTAGAAGATTAAAGGGGACCATTAGCTGCGATTAAATTGTTCCCTCGTACTTCTTTGTATCGCGTCAGCGTGGGGCGCTAATCAAAATCCCTGCAAGTAGTAGGAATTCTGTGTGGCTAAGAGGAAGAAGCTCCTGCCTGAGTGAAGATCTGGTGGCGATTAGAGCCTATGAAAAAAAGTCTAGTTTGCATAAGCGAGCATGAGAATTATCCTAAATCTTCGAGCGGATATTGGGAGTTTTTACTCTTTTTTCTGGAATAAAGGATAGGTTACTTGTCATTTGTTATTTGCAGTTTGCATTTGATCACACTGATCACTGGCTATCCTCCTCAGGTTCTGAAATATATTTTCATTTCACTATCCTATCTGTGCTCTCATCTTCAGTGCCTTGAGTTTGCATTGGTGACAAACAAGCCTTGAGGAACAGCAAGCTTTCTAATTAAATTTGTTGTGCATAAAATTCTGAAGGAGTCCCTCTTGTCAAAGGAAAGCGGAAGGTATTGCATTAGTTGAACGATCGCTGACCGTTTGTGATTCACACGGGACTAAATGTTCTATAAAACTATTTGTTTTTGCATACCAGATAATTTTAGCATAACTCCTTTAAAAGATAAAAAGAATGCGATTCCGCATCTTATAATAATTTGAACAACAATTTTACTTTAGCATTCTTAATAGGCAAAAAGGATTACATAAAATTTTTGCAGTAGTCATGTAACTCCTGCTACTCATGATAATCCTTAAGCGGATGTGTTAAATACAAAGTGTCGATGAATAAATATTTTAATTGAAAATAAAATGAGTAGGCATTGTTATTATATTATATTATATCATTTATTGATTGATTGTTGACGATGTAATCACTGGAATTTTTTTATAATTAATCTACCTTTTTAAAAAAATTTCCAAATCTCCAGCAAAATCACAGCAAAGGCTAGTTAATAAATATAAGCCCAACGTTAATAAGAAAATCACAGACGCAGCACGGTCCTCCTATCTTATCTGATAACGCTAAAATCAATATATTTATTTATCAGGAAAAATAATACTAAAAAAATACATGCATGTTATTATTTGGATTGGCAATTTACTATTGCAACCTTTGGAAAGTTCAAGTATTCTTTGTCCTCGGAGTAACCTAGGCGGGGATAGCTCAGTTGGGAGAGCGTCAGACTGAAGATCTGAAGGTCGCGTGTTCGATCCACGCTCACCGCAAGTTGTGTTGCGTTTTCATTTTTTTCCCCTCATGGCAGTTGCTTTCCCATTTAGCACATGCGGTTTCGGCAAATTTTTAAATTTTTAAGCACTTACCAACCGATGAAGCTTCTGAAATTTGAAGGCGCATTATGATGATGACCTGTCACGATTATATGATGTGGGACAATTATATTATGAATTTGAAGCAAGTAGAGAGCAGGGCAGAACGCCCTCCAGCATTATAGTGGGCAGATGCATTTGCAGGATGGAGTTGAGCACAGGAAAGCTGCCAGTGAATGGGATGGCCGTCACGATTTCATCCATACACTGCCCTCCCCATACACCATTTCACTTTATCAGCAACTCATAATAGGAGAATGTGCCTCGTCCTCCTTCAATCCAACTTGGTAGAGGTCCCCCTATAAATACCACTGTCCCCACATCACTCATTCACTCCAAACCTTTACATGATGCTTACCAAGAATCAGTAGGTAATTACGCAGAAACACAATGTCCTAAAAACTTGTACTTTGTTCGCTGCCTTTTCCTTTTAGGCAACTAACCTAACCGTGCCGCACCTGAACATTTAGAGGGTGTTTGGCAATATGAAAACCATGGTTTCAGAAGCACTTTTCCGTAAAACGAGACAAATTCCTCCACATATTTACTTCGTAAACCGTAAAAGCACTTCTGAAACCATGGTTTGGTTTCTATCCAAACACCCTCTTAATCACCATCATCCCCTGATCAAGTCCACTTTTTACTGATTCAGCCGTATATTCCCCACACGTTTTATTGCAACTACAGCTAGTGTACGGGTTCTTTCGGCTGTAGCCATGCATTTGACTACTTCACTTTGGATCTATGCATTGAAATTGGAATGTAGTGGATTTGGAGAAAGAACGTCATTTAAAATGTGCTGTGAAACAGGTAGCAGTACTCTAAACTCGCACAGGAAGTCGGGGGACTGTCAAATCAAATGGGGCAACGCTTGTATTGTGAGGTAGCTATAGGGAATGCCAAAAGACAGAGATGGGCCAACGTAGGGTTGGGATAAGTTCTATAGGTTTCATTTTCCTGACTTTTTTTAAAAGAAAAAAAAATTTAAGAGTATATGCTTCTTCTAATTCCCCACAAGCATTTGACTTGGAAGATTCATCCACTACTGTACATCCCGAGACTGCAACGGCACTGCTATTTGGTCTTCCCTTTTTCTCCATGGCTGTGATTTATTGTCATCCACGTCTTATCTCCTGAGACTTCTCTTTGCCTCCGCCTAATGATTTTCCCCTTGACTGTATATATTTCTTCCTTTTTCGGATTTTCCGGCTTTTCAATCCGGCTTTTCCTTTCTGAGAGAATTCTAAGCCACAAAGAGTCGTGAGTCGTGTGTGTGCCTTCAAATCCAAATGATTGCCTTTCCGCCATTTACTCCATCACATTCTCATTAAGCACCACTTTGTTAAACCCCTTTTACCCTCTTATTCGTTTCCTGCTGAGAACAAACAGGCTAAAAACTTCAACGGACCAATCACGCTAATTAAGATCATATGAAAGCCCACTATGGGGGAGACGGATTTTAATCACACAACGCAGGTCGATGGGGCACGCATGCCTAGCAGTATCTCCGTGAGAAGATGCGCAAAACAAATAATCACAGTGTACGCATATGGACACCAAGCATAATCACCAAAAGAGAAGAAGCACCAACAAAGTTTGAAGCAGCTGACCAATAAAACTTGTTTAGTAATTTCCATCTTGGAGGGCTTCTTTTTGAGGACACGGGCAATAGGTTTTCACTTTGCAATCATGGGCTGATTAATTTGGGTACGAGTGTGGCTCCAAGAAAGTAGAATTCGTGTTAATTAAAGCAAGATTCAGCCAGCCTGGTTTGGCAAGAAGGAAGCCACGCCTGATACGTCAATTTTATTGCACTGAAGCTGCCAACCCTCCGGTGGCCGTATCAATATTTTATCTACCCACTGCCTTAAAGTCTTGCAATAAAAAGACTAAATTAAGTTTTATAAATTTAATTCTGCTCTATTTTGAAGACGAACACTTGCTTTACACGTCATTATTGTTGTTGATTACGAGTAAAATTTGAACCCGCTCATGAGTTCTAAGTAATGAAGTCGCTTTGCTTTGGCTTGGAGTACGTAAGCGCACTTAAGCCACACAAGTTGTAGAATTTTAAGCCCCGTCTGAGAACAACACTTAATTTCTTATTCTAAGACGACATAATTAGAGGGAGAAAAGAGTGGGAATAAAGAGGGATTATATTGTGATAAATCAACAAAGATGTAATCTCTGACGGAGACGCAAACCAACGCACCGGCGGGCCTACCACTTTCAACAATCGCTTGTGCGCTTCTCTTTAATGACAGATCGCTGCTTCGGCGCCTCAGAAATGTTCAATAATGAGAGTGAATAAAGTGAATGTGCTCGACAAAATCATTTCGACGCTATAGCATTGGATATGTAAGTGGCACCAAAACTACTTTGGCGAGCAGGTTTCTTGGGTTCATATGAACCTTCCCTCCGTTCGCATCCTCTGGTTTTGGTTGGTGTGAGCAATAATTCAGGGGGGGTGTTTATTTTTTCTTTATTAATTCCTTCAGACGACCTTTTCTTTTTTCTTTTCTTTTTTTAAATAAAGTGCATGGAATCATACTGATTAATTATTGTATTGACTTTCGCTTTCTAAATAAAACAATAAATAATACAATACATGCTTTGTATCGTTCATATAAATTAAAAGCATATTTCGATGTGGAGGGTTCATATAATGTATCATGGAGGAGACAAATGAAAACGCGGCCGAAGTAAAAACAAAAAAAAGAGTGAAGAGAAATGATTGGTACAGATTATTCTACTGTGGTCGGGTTGACGGAGCCAAATAAGGAAAGGAAAGGAAAGGAAAGCGGGCAATCATGCTGTCATACGACGGGTTCATTACGTATATTTTCAATTATTGTTTTTATTTTTTTGGGTAACAATGATAATTGATAAATGCTGTGGTCGCAAAATTTTTTTGTGAATTATTACACCTGTAATAAAAACATAAAAACCTACCGCTCTGTCACTCAGTGATTTGTAAAGCAGAGAGAGAAAAAACTTTAATAAGAATAAATTAAAATTTTTTATGAATTTAGTATATTTTTAACATATAAAAATGGATTACAAGTAATTCATAATAAACAAAGTGACATATCCAATAACAAATTGTGAATGGGTGGAGGGTTAAGCCTTAAAAAATACGAGGGCATTTTAATGATTAAGCATGAAAACTTATATACGTATAATAATGTGGAAGTTATTTACGTATTTGATTGATATTTTTTTGGGATTTTAAAGAAATCTTTTTTTTTTCCTTATTTTATTTGTCATGAGGGTTGGATTGGCGCAGAATAGCGGCATTTATGGGAGCAAGGTACGAAAATACGAGGACGAGGATGTCAGCTTTGGTTCACCGCAATTGATATGAAGGAGAGCGCTCCCTCGGGCCTCATGCTGGGCTTCGGCCTTTGAGATGTTTGTTTCGCGATTACTAATCCCAGGTCCCAACTCAGCCGCGTTTTGACTTTTTGAGCCTCACCGGAGAATTTCTGTCATTTTTTCCTGTTTGTTTATTTAATAACCGTCTACTTTATGATCTCAACATGTTGTTTGTCCGAACTATTTACTATATTATTTTAAAATACCATAAGTTATAAATTTTTTACTAGATAGCTGGCCGAAAATATTTACTAAATCTCATCATATTATTACAAGTTACATTTTGAAGATATCTAAAATTCTAATGCATTTTTTCCTCAATTAATTATACTGTCTTTGACTAATTTCAATTGGCCTATTAATTTACGTAATCCCTACCCACGTAATTCACTTATATGTAATTTATTAAAAAGATGGGAGGAACATTTATATTACTCATGCACACACACGTCGTGTGAATGGAAATATGCTTTTTCATGTTAATTACATGTGTTCCGCGATCAAGAAGTCTTAAACAGTTTTTTTTTTTTGGGGCCAAAACAAGTCTTAAGCAGGTCAGATTTAGTAATTTACATAATTTTTTTCTTGGTTTGCTTCTGGTCTACTGTAAGCGTGTATGTTATTTAAATAAGTTTCGATTTATTTAAATTTTTCATTATAATTCAATAAAATTTAACAGTAATTTTATAAAATATTAAATTTCAATCTTAATGTGATGTTTCATATATAGGAGGGTGGAGAAGGGAGAAAAAAGGGAGCGAAAAATGGAAGGGTAGATGAAGCTTTTTATAAAGATGCCAGCAACGATATGTTTGATAATGCTTGGCGTGAGTTTTAATTTCTCACAAAGCTGTACCGTTGAAATGAATGTATGCAAATGCGGGAAAGAATGTGACAGGAGCCATATATAAATTCCAGTTACAGAGGACAGAGCGCTATTTAATATTACTATTCCCTGCATTATCAATTATTATTCTTATTTAAATAAAGCCTGGTTCGTATTGGGACGCAGAATCCACGTACGTGATTCATACGTGAGCTGTCCATCTTGGCAGCACATGACCTTCGGAGTTTAAGCTTTTAATTTTTATTGGTTCTGCACCCTGCTTTCGCACCTGAAATGCACCCAAACGCTGCACACTGAAATTTCAGGAATGAATTTCCCCAGAAATTTATGAACCAGCTTCTTCGCTGCTTTTTCCGGTGCATGAATCCTTAGTAACGTGTAACCATTCTATTTTGCTGGGGCTCTTTTCCCCTGTGCTAAGCAACGGCACCATGAAACCAAAATCACGTGCCGGATCCGAAAATAGTAATAAATAAGATATTTAACTGAAGGGAATTGGCATTTCTTAATCAAGATGGCTTTCATGGTAATTTGGCTTGATTTCCCGTATGATCCAAGTAGCGTTTCTACTGCGGGAGAGAGGAGCGGTTGTTTGTATCATCAAATGAGGCATACTGCTTGTTTTACTGACAACACCACCAAAGCATTCGTATTATCGTGCATGGAGTATGGACAACGGAACACGGGTGTAAAGAGGTTAACCCCGACATAACTTTTGTCTTTTAGCTTGATTAAAAAGCTAATGAAACAGTTTAAGAATTTTAGTACTACGTTAATCCTGTGGTTTGCTTAATCATGTTGTCACGGCCTAATGGGTAGAAAGACACACACCCAACCTGTATCTTCCACAGAGAGTTGACATCGACAACATGAACTTGTCCAAAATGCCGTCCTTATTTGTCCCAAAAAAAGTCTAAATTTTTGTGCTGATCTTTAAAAATGGATATTGAATTAGTGGGTCCAGAGGATTTGCGACGCAGATCTCTTTGGAAAAGCAAATTCAACTGGAGGGCCATGATCCAGGATGAAGCGGCAAAGATTGGAGTTACAGTGAGATTCACTGATCTACTGTCTTCCTCACATGAGCCTTCTTCTTTCTCCCTTTCTTTATAAATACTCTTCCTCTGCATCCACATTGTTGAGAGCAAGCACTTGAATACTGCTTCTGCCCTAGCTAGCTTCTTCCTGTACCCGCGGCATCCAATCTTCCATTCCCATATGCTTCTTGGAGCCACACTGCATCTTTCAAACTCCTTTCTTTTCTTTAATTTACCTCCTTATTCCGCAGTCACCCTTCATCGCTTCACTTGTTAATCGACTCTAGTCTAAAACAAATAGTAACAAGCCCATCATGTAAATTACTTGGTTGCTATCTGATCACCGATTATTCCAATGGCAGCAAAGTAGTTGACTTTCTGCAGAAACTCCCCAGATTGATTTCCTCGGAGCGTCAGTTCATCCTCTGATAGCTCATTCAACAAGACCACAGCCATGGAAGAAACATTCGTACCTTTCGAAGGAATCAAGAATGACCTCAGAGGAAGGCTAATGTGCTACAAGCAAGACTGGACTGGCGGATTCAGAGCAGGCTTAAGGTATATGCTCCTATTGTTGTAATATTATAATTTCTCATTAGTTACCAGCCACAGGTAACTGATTTAAATATCACACTTGGCTTCTCTTTACAGGATTTTGGCCCCCACCACCTACATATTTTTTGCTTCTGCGATTCCTGTCATTTCATTTGGTGAACAATTGGAGCGAAACACTGGTATAACTACTGAATGTTCATCAAATATGAACTGCTTATTCTTTTACCTGGGAAAGGGATTCATGATATAAGTCTCATCTGAAAGGATCATACTCTTTATGCTACGTTCCAATGGCTGTCTTTTTTTTTTTTTTTTAACCCTTTCGTCATAAATCTGGTTTTAAGGACAAAAATAGATGATGACAAGTACCTGTTGGTTGCAGATGGAGTTCTGACAGCTGTTCAGACCTTGGCATCCACTTCAGTTTGTGGCATTATACACTCGATATTGGGGGGTCAACCTTTACTGATTCTAGGAGTTGCAGAGCCTACTGTGATCATGTACACATTCATGTTCAACTTTGCTAAAGAGAGACCAGATTTGGGCCGCAATCTGTTTCTAGCATGGAGTGGATGGTATTTTTTTTTTTTAACCTCTAACGAGATCCCTAATTATATGGTTTCTCGTCGGAGTTTCTGTTACGATGTGGTGGTGGCTGACCGTCATCCCTTTTTTTTTTTTCCCTGTATTTTAATACTACAGGGTATGTGTATGGACAGCATTGCTGCTGTTCTTAATGTCCATCTTGGGGGCTTGCTCTATAATCAATAGATTTACCCGAATTGCAGGGGAGCTATTTGGCCTGCTCATTGCCATGCTCTTCATGCAACAAGCTATCAAAGTAAGATTGCTTATAAAAAAACTTCACATTTGCACTAGATTATGAATTTATGATCTAAGTTTTAACGCCAATTCAGTGAGGCCAAATTGATTTTACATTCTTACACAAACGGAACCATATTTTGTATGGTTTGTCATGCGTAAGTGCAGGGACTAGTAGATGAGTTTCGCATACCACAGCGAGAAAATCCAAAATCAATAGAGTTTATACCTTCATGGAGGTTCGCTAATGGGATGTTTGCTTTAGTGCTTTCGTTTGGCCTTCTCTTCACTGCGCTAAGAAGCAGAAAGGCTAGGTCATGGCGTTATGGTTCTGGTAAGAGTCTGTGCAATTATAATGGATCCATCGCACAGCAATCAATGGGATTCCCAAGAGAATAAATCTGAGTCATGTTGCAGGTTGGATTCGCAGCCTATTAGCAGACTATGGGGTGCCACTTATGGTACTTGTCTGGACAGGGGTCTCGTACATACCAGCTGGCAATGTTCCACATGGTATCCCAAGGCGCCTCTTCAGCCCAAATCCATGGTCACCTGGTGCTTATGAAAACTGGACTGTTGTTAAGGCGTGTATATTTGTATCGCATTTCAATCTCTCACTGTTTTACTATTGTCTCTAACAAAACTATACGCTTCTCCCCAACTGTTGTGACAGGACATGATCCACGTTCCTATTTTCTACATCATTGGAGCATTTATTCCGGCAACCATGATTGCTGTACTTTATTACTTTGATCATAGTGTGGCATCTCAACTTTCCCAACAGAAAGAGTTTAATTTGAGAAAGCCATCTTCTTACCATTACGACTTGCTCCTGTTGGGGTTTCTGGTATGCATTCTCGTTCTCCATGCTCCCTTATATCCTCTAACCTTGCTGTTCAACTAGTTATTCATTCCTCTAATGATGCCAATTTCCATCTTTCTGGACGCCAGACCTTAATGTGTGGCCTCATTGGGATCCCTCCCTCAAATGGTGTCATACCGCAGTCACCAATGCATACCAAGAGTCTGGCTACTCTTAAACATCAGGTATAAAAATTGAAAAACAGTCATGGGCCATGGGGTATAGAAAGAGAAGTTGACTGTATTATTTTTATTATTTCTTAAAGGATGTTCTTACTTTAGTAAATACAACATCTGTCTCTCCTCACTAAAATTAAGAATTTGTGGCACAGTTACTTCGCAACAGACTAGTTTCAACAGCACGTAAGAGTATTGGGAAGAATGCTAGTTTAGGACAATTATATGGCAATATGCAAGAAGCCTATCATCAAATGCAGACACCTCTAGTTTATCAAGACCCCTCAGCTGGAGTGAGTACAGTTCCTGATCAGTTAGCTAGGTTATCTACGCCGTTAGATGTTCAGTATCGATAACATTATGAAGTTATATGATCAGGTACCAGGGCTAAAAGAATTAAAAGATTCAACCATCCAAGCAGCTACAAGCATGGGAAGTATAGATGCCCCAGTGGATGAGACAATTTTTGATGTTGAAAAAGAAATAGACGACCTATTGCCCGTTGAAGTGAAGGAACAACGTCTTAGTAACTTGCTTCAATCGACAATGGTGGGAGCATGTGTTGCAGCCATGCCTTTCCTCAAGAAGATACCAACCTCAGTCCTTTGGGGCTACTTTGCCTTCATGGCTATTGAGAGTCTTCCCGGTAACCAGTTCTGGGAGAGGATCCTGCTTCTCTTCACTGCACCCAGCAGAAGATTCAAGTATATACATGCCCTATTTACATACACCAACGTCCCAAGTATAAAAACATCGTACATAATCATCCCAATGTCTCTTTGACTTCAATAGTTTCTTCGTGTTGCAGAGTGCTTGAGGATTACCATGCTGCTTTTGTGGAAACTGTGCCTTTCAAGACAATTGCAACATTCACCATTTTCCAGACTGTTTATCTGCTAATATGTTTTGGACTAACATGGGTTCCTATCGCTGGCGTCATGTTTCCTATGATGATCATGTTGCTAATTCCAGTAAGGCAATATTTCCTCCCCAGATTCTTCAAGGGAGCTCATCTTCAAGAATTGGATGCAGCAGCGTACGAGGAGCAACCTGCTTTACCATACAATCTTGCAGCTGTAATATTTCCATTATTACACTTTCAAACTTGTGTCCTTTTAATTGATAATCAGTAACCATCATATTTTATGCTTATATTATTCTTAGATTTCATCCTCTTTTGCTTTGTCTTATCTGAACAGCAATCAGAATTTGGTGGAGGTGCTTCTGGGATTGGTGAAGGTGAAATCCTAGATGATGTTATCACCAGAAGCCGCGGGGAATTTAGGCACACAAGCAGCCCTAAGATAACAAGTTCCACACCCACACCAAATAAAGATCTGATAATGCATCAGAGCCCAAGTCTATCATTCAATTCTCGCATGGGTGAGGTTACGACTGAGTATAGCCCTCGATCCGGTGCAAGAGGTCCTTACAGTCCAAAGAGCAGAGAAATGAAACAATCAACCCTGGGAAAAAGCCCTCTCAACCCAGAATCAAAACAGCAGGAGAGGCACTAAAGGGGAAGTGAAGATTTCACAGCTCTGATCCCCCCACTTAAGACACTTCAGAAGGCTTATTTGCTGCTTCTTTTCCATTTTAGTTTGTTGTTTTGCGTGGAATGGTTGTAACTCGTAAAGTCTTTTCCATATGGATCCCCCACCATATGAAACAGACTCGAGGAGATTTGTAAACTAAGTGTGATGCTTTCTTATGACATCTATATATACTAATGGTTGTAATTCTATCTGTGCAATTGTATATCATCAGATGTTTATTTTAATAGATTCCGTATTGTTGAGCCTCATAGTTGTTGCGGTGTATATTATATAAATTATACAAGAACTGATAGTTGTAAAAGACATCACAACAATTATTCTGTAAAAGAGATTTAAGAATGCGATTGAAATCATTACCAAGATATGATATTTAAATTACACGGTTAGTTTAAAAAAATGATTTTCTAACAAAAATGAGATGAAGGTCTCATACATTATACAAATTATTATGGATGGCTTGAGCAAACTGACTTTTTAGAGTATTTAAATCGAGTGATTATGACTTCAGTCTGATAATAAATAGTCTATCTGACTTGTTTCAAAAAAGCAGTAGTTGTGAATTCGATTTTGTGCTTGGCGAGGTGGATATAGTGACTCGTTGTTCGCTAGTTGCGTGGGTGTACTGCGGACGTGAAAGATTTGAGAATGGATGCTCCTGCTGATGATCAATAATTCGATTATTGAGAACATGAAAACAAGACCGCACTTGGTGACAGAGTGAGAGTTTACTCTAAAAAGGGCCTTTACAAAAGGAGAAAGAGTGAACAGGAAATTTTTGTGACCACACACTTGAATGAAAAAGAAGAGACGGGGGTCCCAAACCCCAGCATTATAATTCACATACAGGAGAAGTAAGCGCGGACAAGAGAATAGAGGTTTTGTTTTTCTTCCATGGTGGGGTAACCTGATTGTTTAAAGAGGTCCTTTCTCTGTCTAATGATTCCGAAGGATCTCTGTCACTTGAGTACAATTCAGCTAAAAGTGCAAAAGGTTAGAACTTAGCATCAGACGTGAATTACAGCTTCCAATAAAAGACAAAACGAGCCGGTCTTCATAACTTGATGAGGGTGTGGAAATTCTAGACTTGGGACTTTGTCACAGATGATTCTAGATTTGACGCTCTAGTTGACCTCGGGTGGCCATGCATGATGAACCACTACTAGCGGTTGCGCAGAGAATGTGAACAATCATTTGAAAGTGACCCTGGCCAAATTCAGAGCCTCGCAAGACTCAATCCAAAAAAAAAAAAAAAATCTTTTACAGAAATGAGCAAAATCCCTCCACCATTAGTCACTTGTTATATAGCGTGAGAACCAAGTCACGGGTAATAAAAAGGGGGGTAATAATGAAGCTGATAAAAACTCAAGACTCACGATGGATGAATTAAGAGAGGCTACCATCTAACGCATGCTTGCTTGTCTCAAACGGTTGATGAAACTTAAAAGGAACCACATACTCTGCACTGATTGATTTCACCCGCAAAACAAAAGCCCTATGGTGAATTTTGTATCTGGCTGTAAGGTGAGAAGGATAAAGCAAATACTTTCATGATCGTCGCTTTGTCTCTTTGTCATTGAGTGAGAGCAGATTCACTTTCCAAGAGCTCTGTGTCTGTGTCGTTGGCACTGGGTGGTAAAGCGGAAGGGACTGGTGATGTTTTAAGAATGGAGAAGCCACTTTGTTTGGACCAATAACTATCCACTCCTGAGTTGCAGATGCAGGATAACCTGATCGGAGCTTATGCCTCTACCAGCGGTCAACAAACCCAAAGCCATGCTCTCGTCTGATATAAGCATTGATGTTTATTAAAGAAGTGATGGTATAATTAGCTATTTTCAGAGTGATCAGAGGGCCTGTGATTGTGTTGCGTCATGTGTGCGTGTGGGAAGCATCTCGCTTGGATAAGTCCTTTTCTTTCGTTTTTATTTCTTTAAATGATAAGCCCTTTACTCAACCAGTAAGTTCAAATTGCAAAATGATTTTAGTTCATTAAAAGAGAGAGAGAGATTTTAGGAAGTCATGGCCCATGAGCCCGATACTGTTTCTTGGGAGGACCCAATACGTGGTTGACAGGCTAGAGGTCTCAAGGCCGGACTGACTCCTCCGGCACCCTCATCACAGGAAGAAAGCCTGCATTTTTCTTTTTTTTTTTTCAAGGGGCGCCCTAAGATGAAAGATTGAGCAGTAAATAAAAATTCCCGATTATGTAGTAAACAAAAAAATCTACAATAAAAAGAAAGAAAAATAACATATAAAAACATCTGCTAAGTGCAATCACGCGCGCAGGCGGTGCATTTTTCTGCGCTCTTTTTTTTTTTTTTTGATAGGTTTAATTAATTAATTAATTAGTAAAATATATCCAGGTTTAAATCATTGACATCCATATATATGACACCTAAATCAGTCACTTAAAGAAGAGAAGAATGGATTTTTTTTTTTTGGCGTGGAAAAAGGGTTTGATTTAATCCATATACGTGGAAAGACAGCAGTTATAACAGCCAAAGCATGTTGGAATATTAACCTATTCCATTATTCTTGTTCTTATTATAAGTTTTGAATAATTAATTTACGGTAACGAATAAATAGTTAAAATTAGTTAAAAAAATAAATATATTAAAAATATAGTTTTATTTTCATATATGCTCTTATAATAAATAAAAAATAAGATGAAAGAAAATATATGGAGAGATATGACAGTTATGATAAGAAAGAATAAATAATTTAAAAAAAAATAAAAAGATATATTAAATATTTAGACAAAATTTAAATTAAAACTTATAAAATAATCCACATTTCTCCTCAAATTTAAATCTTATAACCGAAGGGCCATTTCCTTGGTCAACATCGATATATCTCTCGTGTACACATTTTCTGCTCAGCCAACCACTGCGTCCTTTCAAGAAGCTAGCTTCCTGGTTTGTATTCTACTTGATATTATGTCACGTCGATCCTGATCAAAACATTACAATTCTTCTTTTTTTTTTCCCGCTTCACGCTGGTAATATTGGCCCATATGTTGGCCATGCTTTGAACGCAATAATCTCTCCTCCCGGTATCTATATCTTACACGAACGATTGCAAAGAGACTGATGGAGTGGGCGTGTCTATTATCACGGAACGCTACAACTTGAATCGGTAAGAACTTAAAAAATAATGGACCTAGTCTCAGCACCTGATAAACACTCTAAACTAATCAAATCTAAATTATTTATATCTGATTTGAACAGTCTAGATTTAAAATTTTTAATTAATTATTTTTAAATATATTTTTTTTTAGAAAAAAATGATAGTTAAGAGATTATTTTTATTTTAGATTATATATATTAAAATAATTATTTTGAATAAATAAAAATAAAAAAAGAAATTAAATCCAGACCATTTAAATGAGACATGGATAGTTCAGATCTGATGAATTTAAAGTGTTCATGAAAGTGATGAGCACCGAAGCTGGATACAAGAAATAATAATCAGAAAGGAAAATGAAGCCTGATCTCAATTAAGTGAATTAAATAAATCAACGCTAAACCATATATGGATGTAATTAATATCACAAAGGAGGAACCGCGACATGCAAGATAATAGTGAATGCATTAGAAGATGTGGTACAAACTAGTTGAAGATCGATCACAAAGGAGAATGCATGCAAATATTAATATGAAAGCTTAATCAAAGGGAGAGCTTTAGGTCTAAGCCTTTCTCTGCGCGGTCTTCTTGTTGGGTTGCTCCTTTGGGAACCGCAACGGGGATGGTCACAGCAGGGTTTAGGTTCAGAGCTTCGTCTTGCACGAAGTCTTGAGGCTCGAACTTAGGGTTCCAAACTCCCACTCTACTTTTAACATTCCTGGTGTTCTTGTTCGTTGTGCCGATCATTTTGATCCATCGATCACGACTCTCCCTAATGTTCTGTACCAGGGCAAAGAATTTATGGATCTTGGCTTCTTCATCTTCTTCCTGTTCTTGGTCTTGTGGATCGCAGGGAAGTTTCCTCTTGCGGATGCTGCCAGCACTCTCCATACTGGTTAAAATGAATTGAACGGATCGATGAAGGAATGAATTTTGCAAACCGAAAGAGAACAAGTCGGTAAAATAAAAGGACAGCATGCGGTTTCTGGGTAACTTCTTGGGTACTTGCTGAGTTGCTGGGGATAAAACAAAGGGAGTGTGGTTGGGGGTCCATTATTATATTATAATATGATTGACTGGGTCAAATCAACTTTGGTCAATGATTACGAATGCCCCGTTGTGAAACACGCTCCCATCGCTCCGCTTGCTTTCTCATCTGTTGTGCTGCTTAATTATTTTCCTAGTTTCAAAAAATTATAATACATGTTTAACATGTTTTCACCACTAATTTAATTTTAAAATTTGAATATAATATTGGTAAAACAAATCTTACACGAACAGTTGGGGCAAACAAAAAGGATGGGATATTAGCCTTAAGAAAAAAGGTGAGATAAGTCCGATGGTGCAATTTTTTTATTTTTTATTTTTAAAAAGTGAACTACTCGTTGTATTTAAAAATTATTTTTAAAATATTTCATACAAACTAATTTTTTTAAAAATTTTATTAACTTTTATTTAAAATTTAATAAATTTTTAATTTTAATTTTATTTAACATATATTATATTTCATAATAACAAACTAATACAATAATAAACGATAGTTAAAATTACACGTGTCACGAATTTTTCTTCCTGTCCTATTTATTGGATTAAAAAATTTCTTCCTTGTCCTAATGGAACCAGAGGAGTAAGGTGGAATGTCCTTCTCCTTGTCTCGTGATTGCTTCTCTGGAGTGACGTCGTTAGGCTGCGTCACGGAGATGAGGTGGCCTGTACTCCGCCCACGCATGAGGATGAAGGTCGTTGGATGTTAAGCGGCGCGCCTTTTGAGATGCAAGGGGGGGCACTGGTCCCTTCGGTTTTGACCCAGTGATGAAGCAAATGGTTCCTTCCGTTTAAAATCCTTGTTAACAAGTCTCAATTTTTAATTTTATCCTTTTTTCATATATAAAGGATATTTCGCATTAATATGAGTAATAAATGCAAGAAAACCTTCTTAATAGTGTCCTAACATCTTCAAATTTTATCCTCTTTTCTCTCTAACCATGAGTTTCCTTACAGAATTATAAGTGCAATTAACCATTTAAAAAAATATCTTATAGAAATTTAAATTTATTATAGGTCTCATTTCGAAAATAAAAATTAGTTATGATAAATTATCTCTTTAACTGATGGGGTATAATTAGCCTATTAAAATATTTTTGAACAAATGAAACACTAACAATTTTCTTGATTGACGGAGGCATTGAGTCGAGTGCATATTTAGAAAGAACAAACTAAATTTCATACATCATTTATGTTTTGGTGTTTTTTATTTTTTGGGCTCACGTGTGCAGAAAAAAATGGAACTTTTATTTAGAAAGGGATGAGTAATATTTTTTATATTTCAATTTTAATACAAATGTATTGCTCCATGAAACATGAATATTTAGATTATAAACTTTGTTTTTTAAATACTCTTTTTATTTGTTGTTGGGTACTTCCGCATGGGCCTTTTTAAGTTAAAAGAAATAAAAGAGATATTTTAGCCCAAAAAATACAAAAAGAAATAAAAGAGATGCCAAGGCCTGAGGGGGCATCCCACTGGAGGCTTTTAAATACCCAGTGTCTCTGGGTTTTGGGCTTTTGGATATTTTATCAGATAGGCTTTTAGAGGAAGCCCACAGAATGGCCCAGTAAAGGAAAAGGGCGATCAAATGTCACTGGGCCTCTTACTGCGCCCACTACCCCATTCAACTTTTCGATTGAGGAGGAATTTGCTCGGATGACCGACTTCAGCAATCAGCACTTCGGCCAAAAGTATTTCACTTTTACTTCTTCTTTCTGAAAAGAAAAAAAATCCAAAAATAATAAAATCATTTATTTTCAGTGGTATTCGAGTCCTTTTAATTTTACTTCTTTCTATTCCTATCTTATTCACGTTGTAGAAAACATTATTAAAAAAAGATCATTCTATTTTCACATTTTACGCATATGTTAAATATAATATTTTTCCGCACATATTTTTTTTCATTCATATCTTCGTCCCATCAAATTATTCTCTTACATTATCATCATTGGCATTTAGCACCATAGCAGTAACAGTATGACTAAAATATACCATCTCTGATTTTTAATATAAGAACTAGTTGAGTAATTTGAAGAGATTAAGAAAATTTTTAAAATTAGTTATTTATAATAAATGAGTATTATTTTTCCTAAAATACTTTTATGTATTAGCTAAAACTATCATTTGATGAAACATTTAATATGTGTAGCTACTACAATGACTATTTAAAAAAAAAAATAAACATGAAATACAAAGTAAATTGGGATCTTACGTTTAATCAAATTAAAAACTAAACTAGCCTGTATATTAAGGGCTCAAAGAGGTGACACAATGTTAGAGCCTCAAGTGTTATTTTCCCCCACACAAATTTTGAAGGCTGAAAGTTAGAGAATGCTATTCAAGAAAAGTATTTAGGACATAATGGATTTATTAATATTTTCTAAATAGGTGCTAGCTAGGATAAAGAATGGCCTGGCGTGCATAAAGGATCATCCGGGGTCTGATTGTGAAGGGGAAGAAAAAGTAGAAGAGAAGTACATGAACAAACGAAAAGCTAGTATTTTTATATATAGCAAAGCCCTTCATTTGTGAACAAGCTATCTGTTTTGGCTGGTTGTTTTTAAACCAGAAGCAAACGGCCGGTGACTGGAAGCACCGTACCTAGTGGATGAAGAAAGTGCAAATTGCTGGCTTGACATGTTATTTTATGAGCGCAAAGTAGTAATATTTTACTATGCAAAGGCAAGAACTGGGTAGTGGATAAATGAGATGGCATTTAGTGGCCTAGATTCCCTTGTCTTTTTATCGTCAACTCTGGACTGTCCTCCATGCCCCATAATTCTTCATATGACATTCTTCCATTAACGTTTTATAGCGGTATAGGAGCTACACGCGCGCCTTTTGCTTTATCTGAAGCTACCAACAAAAAGCATTCCTCTAATACCCTCTATATTTTATCACCCACCACTTGCCTCCAAACTCTATTTCGTTTCTTTTAAACTATAAAGGACCGACGCCTTTTAATCACAACATGCATGGTTCAACATGACGGTTTGATATCAGTATATACAACCCTCCCTTGTTTTGCAGACACAGCACTGAATGGCTAACAAGGTAAAGAAAATGACCCTCGAAATACATAGATCGAAACAGTACAGCCCTTGTGCTCAGTTATATATCATCCCAAAACACACACACACGAATCTGCATGTATATAGTGGTGGCTCGTCTTCTAGTTCTATGGGCTGCACCAATCGTGACTGAGTTCACGATGACATGAAACGAACTTGTTCATTATTTAAAGAGGTTAGCGTATTAAGTGAAAGTATTCATGTTCTTCTTGTCTACGTGGTTGTAAGCTGTAACTTTAATATATAGGGCACAGAAAGGGGGGGGGATTGAAGAAAACGAAATGGCGTGGTTGGTGGGTTAGCATTTGGAAGTAAGGTGGTGCCCGGCTGTTACTTTATGGTGAGTGAGCTCATGAAGTGTATAACACATATTTTGTGTATTTTATTCTATATATGCACAGTCTGACTCTGACCCATCATTTAAGAGTGGCCACTGCGCGTGCAAACTGCAAATTAAACCCTCAAATTAACAACTTGTCCCTTCCACTTCACCGCCTTCACTGTCTTCAAGCCCTCTCATCTCCACTGATTACTACTATGTCATTAGTATATTCTCCTTTTGTCTCCAGTTTCCCATCCTTTTCTATTTTACTAGTAGATTATACTTTATATTATCATCATCTCATAATCTTTGAAGACCCGCACGCATGTCAAGGAAATTATGGAATCTTACAACTTTCTGATGATTCTAACAAATCAAATTATCACTGTCTTTTCACGACAGACAAAATTTATGCGCATTCTTTAAGCTTTATCTTCTATATAGACAAATTATGATCAGATTTGACCGAGTATAGTTGGACTTAAGTCTTGCTAAAACTGTGTCCCATATCATATCCATATAGTTAAACAATTCTCAGCTTCAGGGTCGCGTCTTGTATAACCCGGAAAAAATAAAAAAATAAAAAATTCCATGAGAAAGAAACGGTTAGTGACCTAATGACTTAGGTGTCAGTGATGTAATCAATTATTCACAACCTCACAGGTCCGCAAAATCGCGGTATTGTAAATTTTAATTAGATCATGCTATTTATTTCTTCAGTATATATGTTAATCATGACTTACGTTTTGTCTTGCATTTTCTTAGCAGAACGCTCCGAAATCAAGTAGGTTTCCAGTTAGGAACTATATCAGTCTTCAAGAATAAATTGTTCAGCAGCATTATCATCGCCATATAACAACAGATTAATGGATTGACAAATAACGTTACCAGTTATTTGGAAACACGAGTGTGGTAGTCAGCCATAAAATTCAGTTTCATGGATCAGATATGAACAAACCCAAATTATAAGTTCCATTTCAACCTGGATAATGGTGATGAGAAACACAGTTCACAGTTCACAATTAGGGAGGAGCATCTAAAACACAACTCCTCCTAACAATCACAACACAAGCTTCACGATCATGCTACACCAATCCCTGATTAATTCCCTAGTAATTTATTATATACAACATCAAACATCACACACTTTCTTTGCGGGATCGGGCTAGCTGCACTACTGGCCTTAGCAATGACCTATCTCATTACCTTGCACGGACTGGGGAATTCCCTCCAGCAAGCAAGACATTGGTGGAATGGTTAGTGTCTGCAGATTTCCGTAAGCATTCCAGCAGTAAGGATCCAGAACCATATCTCCCTGAGCAGGAAGAAGCTCAACATCTGAGAGCGTTAAGTTGGTACATGGGACAGAATCACTGCAAGCAAAGTGCATAGGTGGGCTCCTTGTGTCATAGGTTCCTTTTATGTTTGTGTAAACTATGTTTGATACAAACACTGCTGAGGTTTGGTTGGCGCATTCCTTAGTGAGGCAGTAGAATTGGTCTATTATGATGGGGTTTCTCACTCTGTCCATGTGAATATTACTGAAGGTCACTCCTGATACTGATCCTGATCCGCCTTGCCATGTCTTTATTCTGACCCCATTAGCTGTCACTTTTATCACCGAGTCTCTTACTGTTATGTTTTGAACACAGGCTTTGGAGTTGTGATTCCCCAGACTACCAATGCTGATTAAGTTAATTAACAAGATGAAACTATAAATTAGCCTGAGAATTATGAATTAGTAGAAGTAGTGCATGAAAGCTAACAAGTTACCTAATACCATGACCAGGTCCGCATGTGATGTTCTTTATATCAACATCGTAGCTACCGGACCCTATGGACACACAGTCATCACCTGGGTAGAAAATGAGCAAGTTAACAAGTTGTTGGTGGCGTTAGTGAAGTGATTAGCGAGAATTTGAGTTTTTAAGTTACCATTCGAAATAACAGAGTTATATATTCTGACGTCGTTGGTATTCTCTATGTGAATCCCGTCGGTGTTGGGACTTAGTGCTGGAGCTGTGATATAGATTGATTCCACGTGGACGTGTTTGCAGCCATCAAACCTGAAGTGGAACTGGGGGCTATCCTTGATCCTGAGTCCTTGCACGGTTAAGTTGGAGCTCATGAAAAACCTTATTGCCTGCATCGTATTTGTGAACAACGATGTTCCATCATAAAGCAGATTGTAGAAAAATACAAGATGCAGGTAGAAAAAGAGATATTGACGAACGTACAATTGGGCTATCACAAGGTCCGGGCAATGTAGACCCATGAGGTCCCTGCAGTGCCATTGATCATATAGATAATGAGCAGCTGTTCTACATTGCTAAAATTGTTGTGATGTTTTTCATGTATTTTCAATTGACAATAAGTACCTTGTGAGGCTTACAGGGAAGGTCCCACCATTTTTGTCCTCTGCCATCAATTACACCGACTCCTTCCAGGGACATGCCGTCGATTCTGTAAAATACCAACCATTGGCGTTTACTGTTGTTCTTTGGCCATGACTCTGGTCCATCGGGTGGCATAACGGAGCCATCAACCTTCACCATATTCAACAGCGGAGTATATCAGTGAGCTCAAGCTTACCCTTACATAATCAAAGCATATATGCAGACTACAGAGTCCGTAAATTACCTTGAGTACGATGCCACCTTGACAAGGGCCTGTGAATATAGTAGATTGAATCATGAAGGAGAAGCCACTGGGAACGAGGATGACATTTACTGCTAGATGACTTTGGCAGGCTGTGTCCCATGCCATCTTGAATGCTTTTGTATCATCTGATATCCCATCTCCCACGGCCCCAAATGTGCGCACATCAAAAAGACCAGAGGCATTAAATGGAGGGCTAGGAGCGTCATAAGGAGGGGTAGAAGGGGAGGGTGCTGAAGCTGGAGGCACAGAAATTTCAGATGATTTATGAGAATGCGAATGCCAATGTTTGGAGTGGCAATGATGCCTGGCTTGGGCGCTAAGAAATATAACTAGCAAAAGTACACAGAATGCTAGCAGTGAAATATGGGAATGCTTCATCTTGAGCATCTTTTTTTTCAGGAGAATTGACCCCAAAAATAGTGTTAACTCGTGGAGTTTCCACTGGTTAGAAGTTAGAAAATCTGACGCCAAATGAGACCTCTCACTGTCGACAACTACATGAAAAACAAAGTGGCGCCCTGAGTTGGAGGGAGCAAGTGGAGAAATCAGTGGCTATATATGGCTGCATTGTACAAACTGAAATAGGTTAGCTGAGTTTGGCAGTGGGAGGACATGCAAAATGAGAAGGCCAGAGCAAGTATATATATATATACGGGTGAGAGTATGTGTAGGACAAGTTATAGTGGAAGGTCTGCTAAAGTTTCATTAGGAATTATTTAATGGGGTTAAGAAGTGGGAACCGACAAATACCACATAGTGAGCGAGTATGATTTGTTTAGAGAATAAGGAGTGTGCAAGTGACTGTTGTGCTCTCTGAAAAAGAGCACAACGGAAGAACGGGAAATCAGTGTGACTGGTGGCCAATTCATAATCCTCCCATGTTCTTCCCATAACTCTCATTCTCTTTTGGTCCCTTCTCTTGGAATTCCAATTAACGCCTGACGACCGAGTTCAACATTCTCCCTCTCATCGTTAATAAATACTCATATTGCCCATTCCATCCCTGAGATGGAGATTTGAGAATTGCTTCTGAAGCAGAGGGGAATTTTGTTGAGAATTTTACGTACATAAATACAGATTAGGTTACGGTGCCATATAAATGTCCATGCGTTTATTTTGTCCAAATCTTTAATTTGCATGCGGTCTCCCATGATCACAGCCAACCAAATTCAGCTGCGATAAATCATTCACAAATGATTGTACTTAAAATTCACGTGGTGGTGACTGATGAATGATAATTCAGCTGCGCTCAAGCGTGTGTGAAAGTCTGAAAAAAACCAAATTATGATTAAGGGGGTGTTTGGCAACAATTAAAAGTACTTTTAAGAAGTACTTTTCCGCAAAATGAAACAAATTCCTGTACATATTTACTTCGTATATAGTAAAAACACTTTTAAAATTATAATTTAGTTTTTACCCAAACATCCCTTAAATTTGAGACTTAAAATTGGTGAAACGAAAAGATATGATATGTTTGGTCTGAATTTTAGAGATAAATGAAAGGTTACAATTTCTTTCTTTTTTTTTCTTTTTAAAAAAAGGTTGAATCAATGCCCCTAAATTCAAATTACTTTTTTCGCCTCAAATTTAAATTCAATTCCAACTTCTTAAAATGGGTTTAGATCGATTTTTACTAAACTAATACTAATTTGATGGAATAATTTATTCTTAAATAGAAAAAACATTGAGTATTTATCAGGAGGTGGAATTTTTTTTTTTTTTGCTAAAGCATAGGTATCCTCCTATTGAAGGCAATTCTATTTGAGACACTGTCAGGTACTAAATGTGGGCATCTCTCCCAACAAGGATTCGAATTTTGATTCACTATATTGTGAGAGACTAGTTCTTTCAGTTAGAGCCAACTCCGTTGGTAGGTGGAAAGTATTTCTACAAGTAAATGACAATTAAATACATGAATAAAAAAATTAAGCCGAATCAAACCCTCCGAAGAAGCAGGTTGAAGCCCAAGGCCCAAACATAAATAACAAGATGAAGGCAATATCTACGTAATCATAGTCAGCTTTTATTTACGGCGGGAAGGCATCGTATATGGCGTTAACGCAACGCATCTAAAGTTAGCCGGGGCGTATACATATATGGCCTACGCAGTTCCGAGGGTGGCGCGTGGGAAAATAAGTGGTTATTGGTCAGAACAGGAATTTAAAACCAAAAAAAAGAAAGAGGGTGAGAACAGACAGTTGGGGCGGGCAGGCGAAATAATTAAAAAGGAGCAAGAGATGAGGATTGGAACCGCCAATCCACTAAGACACTGTGGAAGTTGAGAACTGGGGTTTTGTGGCAGAAAGGCTCCTTCCGCCGCCCCAGATTGAGGTCACCATGCTCCCTCGCTTCGTAGCCACTCATTTATGATTTCTTCGCTTCCCTCCTGTCTCCTCCCTCCCAATTCATTAATCAATCGGATCAATTCTTATATTGTTCCTTGTTATTCCCCACTTACATAGTTTATTAATCTCAATACATCATTAACAAAAAATCTTAAAACTGACCCGCCTGAATTAGTTAAATCTCCACAATTCAAATCTTGTGCTTTCATCCTTAGAATTAGCAGCAGTAAATCCTAATCCCCCACTACCACGTGTGAACTGAACGCGGCAGCATACATTCATCTATAATTAATTTAAACAACCGCAAGTTTAAAATTCTCTAATCTCAGTTCGCATCGTAAAAATGGACTTAATCGGGGTTTATGGGCCTCAGGATGTGGATGTCATTGGATCAATCTTTAATCAATGTCGATGCTTTCGGCGTTTCTGCGATTTATAATGTTTTCTTTTGGGCGGGCAAGTTGCACTTTCGCTTTCACGCCACCCAAAAGATTTACCATTTGCTGCTACATTTTGCTCAAAAGGAAAATTCCAAACTGTTCAATGATGGAATCCGTATCCCGTAATAGAGAAGAAAAGCGCACTCCCCGGAACAAAAAAGCACAAGGCATGCTTCACATCATTCCTTCCCTACGTACATAGATCTATAATGCCTGCCACCATCATTTCATCCCTCTCACAAAACACTAGTTGACCACGACAATGCAATTTTCTTCCTTGTGTGTATATATACCAGTTTCTTCTTACTAAAGTGTAGACTACGCTGCAAAATTCTACCACAGCCAAGGGATGAGTGTCCATGAAGCGTCAAAACACTGTTACCTCCCGGATCATCCGCCAAACATTTAACTTTTAAGGCTTAGCAAACCCATCCAGTCCTAAAATCACATTATGGTGAAGGCGAAGCTCATCATCATATAGCTTTTCACATGTAGGGCCAACATTTTACATCGAGGGGACAAGAACAAATGAACAAAACGAAGTGAACAATTTTTTGTACAGATTGAGATTTTAATCACAGATCCCGCATTATGCCCCAAACAGAGCACACTGCTTTCTTGCATATGGTGGAATAAGCTTCACCAGCATCTCCGCAGGCACTCCCTTGAGCTCTGCATCCCACCAGCCGCAAGTACATCAGAGCATTATTCGAACACTTCTGAATAAAAGTACAACACCACAAAATTCATCTGGAAATTAATTCTTTACCATTTGCCTTGAAGTTGAAGAGTGGGGGGAGGAAACGCCCGTTTGGCAACCGAGTGTTTGGGTCACGCAGCTCATCAAAGAACGGGTGAACAAGAGCCTCCAACTGTACCGCAGACAAAATTCTCTTACATATAGTTCAATGTCAATAGCAACGACTATGTTAATATGATTTGTAAAATGACCGTCAGAAAAGAGAATTAGGCTGGGCCATCCCATGAAAATAGAATGCTAAGGAAGCTTTCTCAAGGAAATTTTTAAAGCTAAGCGGAGTACTGATGAAGCAGTAACCATGTTTTGTAATAAAAGCCAGAGAATGATGCACAGATCTTATCCTATCAAAGCTTGACTACAATCACTTTCTTTTTTCTTTTTTTCTTTTTTTTTTTGGGTGGTGGAAGAATACAAGCACATTTTGTGTGGGTCATGTATGTGTATACTCACAGCTGTGCTTCGAAGACTGGGAGAGTACTGCAGTAGTCTTGAGACAAGATCCACAGCATCAGATGGCATGCGTTTGTGAAAGATCTGATGATGAAGGCTCACACGCGTTAATAGTGGAGAATGAATAAATCTTTGTGAATAGACAGAACAAAATAACATTGCAATACCTTGTGCCAAGGATGAGCTTTAATTTGCGGGAATTTGAATTCTGTGTAATTAGGATTCATGCACTTGATTTCTTCCCTTGTCGGAGTACCTAATACCTACATGGGAATCCCACAGAACTTTGTATAAAGCCAGGACTTTGCAGTTCAAAATAATAACAATCCTCATCCAACAGAACTTTTGATATCTTTTATTTTCTATAACTTATCTAACCTTGATAATTTCAACAAGCTGGTCTACTCCACTCTCGCCAGGAAAGAGAGGCTGCCAGAAATTACCAGCGTGCTTAGTGTCTGTATAGATACAAACACTCAATTATCCAAATTAAGCAGACATAAAGAAGCTAGATACCTGACCAAGCAACATTTCACCAAGTACGCAACCAGCAGACCAGATGTCGATGGCTGTAGTGTACTCAGTAGCACCAAAGATGAGCTCAGGAGCTCTATAGTACCTAGAACAGATATATGATATGTTCGGTTCCCCTTTTACCTGTCAAATTGATGCCGAATTCAGTCATGAGAAATATTACATAGCCAATGACAACAAACAACATTGTTTTAGACTAGAATACACGAACCAACACTTTTGCGCTTCCGAAGTCACATAGCTTCAGTTGATGTGTGTGAGGATTAACCTGTTACCAGAAAACACACGGAAGGAGACATGCTCATATTAGTCTATCAGATAAGCCAGAAGTTTAACGGACCAAACAAAGCCAAAAAGCCAGCAAAAGAACACTAGAACTTCAGCATATGATTAAGTTAATGCAGATGTCATTTTTGAAAATTTCAAAAGTTGAATAATTGCAGAAGTCAAAGTAAACCTTCGCAGGTTCATAAAGTTTCAGCACACAAACTCTTCACTGTGTTAAGGAATTACGTTTTGTCTCCAGTCTTCACTACAACTTATCTGATCGCAAGAAATCATTTCAACGTTCAAATATACCCTCCGAATCATCTGATTGCCATCATGAAAAATAAATCCCAATTTGTAATATTGATTTCTTCTACGATAATATGGCAATTATGCATCCTTGCAATTTTGAATATTCCAAGTTGAAATGTTACATCCATCTCTACGTCCAAATATGGCTCAAAAGCGACAAACTAGAAAAACCAAGGTAGATATTAAAGAACGCTGATATGAGTAGACATACCAGTAGATTTTGAGGTTTTATGTCCCTGTGACACACACCAATACTGTTGTGAACGTAAGCAAGTGCTCTGCATATCTATAAATTTGAAAAATACAAAGAAGTCATCAGAACCAGTACAATATATATAGTTTTACACACACGCACACGCACACGTACAGGGATAAGAAGAGATAAGCATAATTTTATACATTATAGTGAAGTATACCTGGTAAAAGTAAAGTTTGACATATATCAACGGCATCCTTTGATTCATTTTGTTATAGTGTCTGATTACCCGATGGAGAGTCTCAGGAACATACTCCAATACTAAGTTCAGGTAAAGCTCCTCTTTTTCAGTTGTTGAAAAGAAACAATGCTTCAAAGATACGATGTTAGGGTGGTCAAGAAGACGCATGGTTTGCAGTTCTCGGTTCTTGTACCTCTTGTCTTGAAGAACCTTTTTTATAGCCACAGTTTCACCCGTCTCCAAGCGTTTTGCCTTCATAACAGTACCAAAACATCAGATAAAACAAAATTCCAATGATAACCAATTAAAAGCTGCCCAAAAGCTGAAGAATAAAGGGCCAACCTGGAAAACTACTCCAAAAGATCCATGCCCAATAATATGCTCAGCCATGTAGCTTATTGTCTACGGTCAAGCGATGGTAAAAATGTAAGCATTAGGCATAATGAACGGATTTTTCTCATATTCATTGAGGGTCCAATGAAACTATGTAGCTGTCCACTAGAACAGATCAAATGTCATGAATTACCTGCTTTGGCTGGCCATTTTTACCACCAATTGTGGTGACAATTATATGTCCTGCTTCAGTCCCGTTCCCATCTATAACAGTTGCTTCCATTTCCTGAATATTTTGTTCATTTGAGTTTGAACATGAATAGTATGTATTACTACGGGAAGATAACTGAACCGTTTAGTCATTTGTCTTTACCTTGTCGTCCCTAATTTTCATGTCATTCATCTCTGCAGGCAACCTATCAATGCCATTTGCATTTGCGTTCACATCTGTTAACTTAGAATCATGTGTTACACCCCCAGATGCCATGAACTCGACAATGGAGATCGGGTAGATTCTCTTGCTGATTCAACTAACTATTGGATAGGTCATGGAGAACTCTAGAAGGAAAATGACCTGTAAGGAGCAACCAAAGAACTTAACCACAAAATTTACTTTTCATGCTCCCATAATGAATTAACGTTTAACCTGTAATACATGAAAAAACATCAGTCAAATTGAAAGAAAATGAAACCGATGGTGAGTTGGTCAAACAACCGAGCAAGGACATAAATTTATTCACCCACTTAAGGCGGGGGAGAACCACACTGCCCCTCAACCGCTCAACCATACAAAGGTTAGAACCTAGAGGTAAATAACCGTCAATACTAAAACTCAAGAATCCAGTAACTTCTTAGCTCCCAATGCAGTTTCTAGACAACCAACACAAGTTTTAACTTATATATTTAAAAAAAAAAAAAAGAGCCTGATTAAGGACCTAAAATTCAGGTGTGAACATGAAAAGCCTGTTGAGCAGAAAACAAAGAAATGAGAAAGCTCAGAAGTAGCTAGAGCCACAAAAGGACCTAGTGGCAAACATGTCAAGAACATTTAGTTGATTTTCAAAATAAAGACCACACATAACTGACATGGAACGCAAAATATATTAAAGAAGAGACAGACAGAGCAGGAAAGCAATGAAACCGTGTTGTTTGAAATGCCCGGGAGAAGCTGGGAAGAGAAACTCACCGATGAAAGGGGAAGTGCAGGGGAAGCGAGTAGAGATGGATCTACGGTGTGGGGGGGTTTGGGTTAGTGAATCTAGTCCTATCCTGTCCTTGGGATTCAGGGAGAAGGGACGAAGGCAAATAATGGGCAGTGGTGATATGTGTTGCTTCTTCTTTGGTTATATTTCGTATGGTGGGAGTGTGTGTGAAGTGATGAGATGGCGGTCAACAGAGGGGGCCCAAACCTCTATGTACTTCTGCTGCTCTTCTCCATCAATCATTCATCCATCCGCTTTTTCACTTTCTACAGTCTCATCTTTTTGACCGTCCTGCCTCTTTCCCTCCCATTTCAATCATTTTGTTGGGCTTCTTGACTTTATTTTACTTTTATTTTCAATTAAATAAAATCAATATATTTATAAATACCTACCTCCCTGATTGGATTTTCCGGAATATATCAGCCATGTCATGATATGTTGACCCTATTAAAAAAGGAAACAGCGAAATAGTACTAGTACAGCAGCAAAATTTATTAAAATAGATATAGGAACCACTTGATGAAAGATAAAGTTGATAAAAATACAAAGTAAAGGAATTAAAACAACGTTTTCTTTTGACCAAGTGTTTTTCTTTCCTCTGTTTGAACAGCTTTTCGAGGCGAAAGAGGCGTTGTTATATTTCGACTTTCCTCTTGTCACGTAAACATAAAACGCAAATCCGCGAACACTCTGGTATTCACGATGCTCTGAATTTGACACTCGTATCGACTAAATAGGAGAAAATAAAAATAACATCATAATCACATTCTTTTCAAAATCAATTGCTTCCTTTTTAATAGAAGGCTTGAATATACAGAATTAAGTGTTGTGATTTTAATGTTGTTTGTGGTAAACAGAAAAAATCTTAAATTTACTGGGCCTCGGCCCCATACGTCGACATCGCATATTTTTAAATTTTTGGGGAGAAGTTGGATTGGATTGTTGTTTATCCCACCTCTGGAGTTTTTTTGTTTTTTTTTACCCTGGCACCTCTGGAAGTTCGTTTCGTGGATTTTTCAGAAGCTTCCGGTCACGAAAAACTGATAAATTGTTATCGCTCAAAAACTAAAGGCGGATCGGTAACCAAAATCGTATCTCTTTCCTCTATGGAACCCTGAACTCTGCTTAGCGTAGCTGTGGCTATTGTATATTTCAGTAATTACGTAACGTCTTCTGAAAACCCTGTAATTATAAATAAATTATTCAACCATATTGGATGCCGTTGCCCATAGTCCCAGAATCTGGATTTATTTTGGCATCCATGTTTAACCCCCCTCACACAGCTTCATTACTGTACAAGGTTTTCGCTGAGAAATGAAACGATTCGAGCAGATGATAGATAAGGGAGAGGAGAAATTGGGTTGACGATGATAGGTTTCCCAAAATCCGGTCTCACAAAAAACATACATCCTCATGTACTACCTCCCGTGTTTTAATCTTGTTTTGTTTTAATTTGTTTCTCATATTTATTTTTTTTAAATAGTATTTGTAATAATAGTAATTCTAGCTAATACACTTGATTAGTAAAGGTATTTTAAAAAAAATAACACTTATATAGTATAAATAACCAACTAAACTAATTTTCTTAATCTACTTAAATTAGTCAATTAGCTCTTATATTAAGAATCTGAAATAGTATTATATAAATAGGTTATTATAATTTTTGACTCTTTAAGTTTGTTCTCATTTTGATTTTGGTTCTTCAAGTTTCAAAATATAAGTTTTGGTTATTTAAGTTTCATTTTTATTTAAAATATAAGTTCTTATAATCTAATAAAAACTTATATCATTTTACTTTTTGAAGAACCAAAACCTATCATTTGAATTTTGAGAAACCAAAACCAAAATGAGAGTAAAATTATGAGATGAGGTATTATATCAATGCTATATAAATTTATAAAAGTTACGCTACCGATGAGATCCGTACAATAGGGAGTGACAATTGATGTTTGGAAATTGTAAACAAAATACTCCCTCCGTTCCTTATTATAAGAGACATTTGATGTTTATGGCATGTTCCTATATATAAGAGACACTTAAAAGTTGTCTTATTTTTTTGTGTTGATTTCCTATTTTACCCATATTTATTGTCTCCAACACACTTCTCTCTCCTTCTCACTTCTCTTTCTTTTAATAAATTACCATTGTTATCTCTCATGTTCTCTCTCCTTATTAATGAGGGTATTTTTGGAAAAAAAATTATACTTTTTACATATTAATTGTTCTTAACTAATTTTAACTGTTTTTTTTATCAACGTAATTCGGTTATTCGTCTCTTATAATAAGGAACGGAGGGAGTATAAAATAGTCTGCATCGTATTTTACGGGCAGTATAAGTTCACATTTTAATTTTACGCCATCGATGATATACCGAGTTTCGTTTGGCAGACGGCAAAAGATCGGGTATCCACTGTTTGATATACTGAGGAATGCAGCTAAAATTCTGGCAATGACATCTAAAAGGCTTGTGACGATTGAAGGGATCGGGAAGCGGAAAAGGATTGCCGATCCCGCCCACCCTTGGAATCAAAACCGATATGGAGTACCAATATGATTTTTGTCTCTCCTGATTTAACCGGCTCACGTTGTTCTTCTCCGTCTTTGCCACAGAGAATGAGGACGCATCGTCAACTTCACCGGGAATAAACCCATGTTGCCAACTGGCATGCCCCTCAAAAGCCAAAAGAGAGAATTGAGTCTGGAGGCCATGCATTGAGACTTGAGAGTAACGTTGGAAGGGAGAAGTTAGGCTGCTTCAGAAGCGCACCCGCCCAATTTTTAATTTTATTTATTTATTTATTTATTTTTTATTGCTTCACCTGCATCCTTCCTATTTGGGCAAAACGCTGTCATGTTTTTTAGGGATGTTTGGATATAAACCAAACCATGTTTCAGAAGTGCTTTTACGGTTTACGAAGTAAATATATAGAGGAGTTTGTCTCGTTTTACGGAAAAGTGCTTCTGAAACCATGGTTTTCATATTGCCAAACACCCTCTTAATCTCCGACTCAGGGATAATTTAGTCCTTTGACTTATTTTTTAACTCCATTTCTTCTCCTTCTTCTTCTTTATTTTTTGTTGTTTTATCAAACACTGCAGGGCCCTTTTCATATGTCCTCGCATACGCGTCAAGACACCTGTTCTTATGAGCACCAAAAAAAGTCACTTAAATTATTCGTCGGCTGTTAGCGAATTTCCCATATTGCCACTGGCCCGACACCAACCCCAAGAGATTAGCATCGCAAGTCAAATGTACAGCTCATACCCGAAGGGTGTTTACGTCCTCTCACGCTTGCAACGTTCCCGGTAGTAGAAAGATCACGGCGTCACGCGTCAAGCCCACAACCTTCACGTGCCGGTCAATCTCGGGCGGGCCGAACGCTCCTCAGATTCAGTATCAGAATCTATGGAGGGTAGAAGTGCACGTGTCCGTTACCCTAACAACTTTACCGGTAGCCACTTGTCCGCCGTCCGCCCAAGCGGCCACATATAATCGGTCCACTGCCCGCCTTTGACAAGTCTTGATCTCTTTGCAACCCCAGTTTGATCAGAAAGGCGCGAAAAAAATCCGCTGGAAATCCTGAGAAGGAACATCCTTGCTTTAAGATCATTAACTATAATAATCTTTACCGCCCCAATTCGATTGGTCGACATTTGTTCGTCATCATTTCTTGAGAGAAGGAAGGCTATAGCTATAGCCATGGTGGCCGAAGCAGACCTTATGCGTCAACAGAGCACCCCTGCGTTGGATGTTCAGTGTTTTCCTAATGGAACAAATATATGTGAGATCGATGATGCCGGTGCCGCCACGCCTCCGAGTTTTGACCGTGTTCGTGCTTCTCCATTGGCGTCTGCGGAGTTACTCAGCTCACAAGAAGTGAGATTACGAACACCCTTGCTTTCCTCATTTTTGTTTGCGCTTGTTTTCTCTTTCTGGATGACATCGTGGGTCATGAAAGATACCCCCCCGCCCTCTGATAACTAGTTCGTTTGATCATGTGAATTTGCTTGGTTTCTCTGATTGGGTTGGGCTATAGAGTTTATTCCTTCATGCGTCATGCGAACGCTTTGGTTAGGGTTCAGGTATCAGCTCATCTATTGAGCGGAGCGTCGGGGAAGATGCCCAAGTGTGATGATGCTTGTTTAGATTTGTCCCGGATTAGTGCAGGAATGGCGACTCTCCCATTAGGTGCTTATTTAGCTTGTTTAACGCTAGAATTGAATTCGATTCTGCTGTATATTTATGTAGATGTTAAGTGTTAGCAGCAATTGGTGAATATCGGTACCTTTGAAACTAATCCATGAATAGATGTGTGGGTTGAAATTGCTTTGAAGGCGTGGCATATTTCCCGTCCGCTACCATGGGCTTTCCCCGCTGTCGGTAGATGTTAGAGTGGTCGTGATTCGTACCAAGGACTTTACTTATTCGTTCTGCGAGGGAACGAGTTCCTTGAACAGCTGCAAATGCCGATGTCTCTTGCCTTGGTTTGGGCATGTTATGCATGCCTTTCCAAACTTGAAGCCTCTAACTGGCGGTTCTTAATTATCCGTATGGGTAAATTAGTTTCCTCTGCTCGCGAAGCTGAGATTGAAGAGCAAGAGGAGGAAAGCTATGCTTAATTATGAAATGTTTTATATCAATCATGAAATGCATCAAACTCCATTTATATCAATCATAGATATAAGGTTTGCAGAGCATCGTTAGTCTTTTTTTTCCTTGTTTTTTTTTAAAAAAAAATACACAGAGCAATGCAAAATTTTGCATTAATACCTTCAGTATTCTTTTTCACCTTGTTTAATTTGCATTTAACTTTTATTTTGTAGGATATTAAAGCTGCAGAAGGAATATCAAATACTGCTGTTGATCCTGCTGTTCTTCATTTTGTCCCCAGCATCCGTTCTGGCAGTTTTGCTGACATTGGCCCCCGGAGATACATGGAAGATGAACATATAGTGATAGATGATTTGTCTTCTCACATGGGATCACTATATACATTTCCTGAACCAAGTGCCTTCTATGGGGTATGTATCTTTTCAACCTTTAGCTTTCATGGCCTTCTGATTTTTGTATGATACTGTTGTTAATTTAAGTGAGGCTTAATCAATAAATCAGGTATTTGATGGTCATGGAGGACCTGAAGCTGCGACTTATATCCAGAAGAATCTAATGAGATTCTTCTTTGAAGATGTTAGCTTCCCCCAGGGATCTGAAGTTGATAATGTTTTTCTACAAGAGGCAGAGAACTCCCTCAGAAAATCATTTCTTTTGGCTGACTTAGCTTTGGCTGATGATTGCAGTGTGAGCAACTCATCAGGGACCACGGCTCTTACTGCCTTCATATTTGGAAGGTATATTAATACAGTACATACTAGGTTCCCCTCTATATTTGTAAAATGCGTTTGTTCTGTTTTTTGGGTTACATTAGGATGGGTTGAACTTTAGGCATCACCCGCATTCCACACTACCTTGACCAATTGAGCTAGCCCCACGTAGCTTGATCTAATTATCTATTTTACTTGATCTTTTGTGCAGTTTTCTATTTCTTGCTCCCTTGGTTTATAAAAAGCTTCTCGAGCATCATAGTTTAAGGTATATGGTCCTTAACCTTCCGCTGATTTCTGTCGCGATTTTTTGTTTGCAGGCTTCTAATGGTGGCCAATGCTGGCGATTGCCGAGCAGTTCTCTGTCGTAAAGGAAAGGCAATTGACATGTCTCAAGATCACAGGCCTATTTATCCTTCAGAGCGGAGGCGGGTTGAGGAATTAGGCGGTCGTGTAGATGATGGTTATCTTAATGGGGTTTTGTCAGTTTCTCGAGCCCTTGGGGACTGGGATATGAAGTTTCCTCGTGGTTCTCCCTCGCCTTTGATTGCGGAGCCTGAGTTTCGTCAAGTGGTTCTGACAGAGGATGATGAGTTCCTCATCATAGGTTGTGATGGAATTTGGGATGTCATGACAAGTCAGCAGGCAGTCAACCTTGTTCGTAGAAGCCTGAGGAGGCATTATGACCCAGAGCGCTGTGCCAGGGACCTGGTCATGGAGGCACTACGCCTTAATACGTTTGATAATCTCACAGTGATTGTTGTGTGCTTCTCTTCTAATTCTATTGATCCCAGGGAGCCATCCCCTCCTCGTCAGAGGAAATTGAGGTGCTTTAGCCTTTCTGCAGAGGCGCTTTGTAGCTTGAAGAACTTGTTGGAAGGCAGTGCAAGTAATTGAATGTATAATATGCGGCTTAATCTAAAAAGTGTCTTTTTTTTTTTTGGGGGTAGAATACTAATACTTATGCTGTTTTTGGTTGCTTCAGTTTTGACGGCAGAAAAAGCAGCCTTCCATTTTGTGGTTGGTTGGTTGATTTATGTATATAGCCCTGAGGATGATAGTGGTGTAAATACATGTGTTCTGGATTACTCGTATGTTGTAACCATGGATCGTTATATTCATAGCATTATTCTTGCGTTGAATAAAAGAATTGTTTAGAACATTCTTTTCATCCATGCTACTGTCGGGCGAATCTTGGCTCTTTTTTTCTTTGATAAACTCTTGGCTCCTGTGCGTAACACTCGCACAAAGAACAGGAGTAGTTATGTTTTCGAAGAAAACGTCGAGGAATCGCAAATTAAAAATACAAGAATGTCGAATGTGTGTTAGAAGTCAAAAGGAGGAAATCAATTTAGAAGTTTTTTTTTTTTTTTGGAAAAAAATAAAGAAGGCACAATAATAATACTGAAGGGGTTAGAATTCAAAGCGGAGAAGGATATTTGTGATACATGACTCCTTGACACATGAAAGGTCAACCAAGAAGTGAAAAAGAGCAGCGGCTTGGAAAGTCAGAATTAGGGCTCCTTCGTGTCAAAGTCGAAGGAATGGAATCTGTTTGGAAGGAAAAAGAACCTCGGCAAGCAGCTGCGTGATTACCACGGAGGTGTCGTCCATGACGCCTCTCGTTGTTGGCCCCATTCTTGGAAAGTAGAGGCCCTCAGATGCTAAGCGTCGTTGTCATCTGCAAGGCCATGAAGCGTTTCTGACTGGGTCTGGGGGTTTCAGAGCAGACTTATTGCGTGATGGCCGTATCCTTTATTGTGTCCAAAGCATGATTCTTGTATGATCGCAACATCAGCGAAGAAAATGACAGACAAATGAGGGTGCTGAGTTTCGGGGGACAGCAGAATTCTGCTTGGTTCTCCGTTAATAGTACGAGAAAGCCACGGAAAGTGTGTAAGAAATTGAGTGATTGAGCATCACGATGTGTTAGGATCGTCCAATGTTGAACTTGAGTGTGGTGTTGTCACCTGCCAGTGGTCAAAATTAGAACAGTCTGGGGCAAGCAAAAACTGTGGGAGCGGGCAACAATTAATGCAGCAAGCATGCCTCGGAGTTTTCAAGCACACCCGCAAATCATAGTGTCCACTTTTCCGCATTTTATTCCCCTTTCTCCGCCAAGTCGCCATTGGGTGACGTGACTGCCTCGCGTAGGCTTTCGCCCTTCACTATCTCTGATATTTGATTAAAAACACACCTGCCTATTCTCATCCGCTAACAATCCAGTGGTCTTTTACCAATCCCCAATAAAAACTAATGTTAATAGTAGTATCTAGGCAGCTAACGATAGCATTCGCCGTTTCTAATCTATAAGCATCCCAGCGCTTGCTCCTCAAGGCAGAATGAACATCGACTTCCCATTTGGAATGCAGAGCTGAACTTTAGCACAGCCCAATTAGTAAGCATCGTTGCATCAAGCTCCAACATGAGGCCCATTTATGCGCGGAGACGTTCAGAGTTTTCGTAAGAATTCGAGCAAGTCAGCCACAACAAAGCAAGCCTCCATGGTTAAAGCAATAACAAGTATTAAAGCGAGGCAAATAGGTGATGTCTAACCTCGACTCGAAATGCCTGACCGTTTGCAGATCGGCTGTATTAATTTTAAAAACTCATCGGAGATGACATTGCATTTTCAAAGGCTACTAACTTACTAATGAAGCTTAATAAGGGAAGTAAACAGGTGGGTTTGGAGGACCCAAGCCGTCACTGCATTGAGGCCGGGACACGTGATCCGAAACAGTATGGTAATGAATTGAATATGCCGCAGACCTAGTTTGATTTTTAGATGGTCCCCTATAGTATATCATATGCACATGAAATAAAAATTTCAACAGCCATCTTTTATATATATATATATATATATATATACATAGATACATCACTCCGAACGAAAATAATAAAACTCAAGATAATAAAACAAGTCTGAGCTATTACAGGTAGTCCAACTAGGGTTACGCTAGCTGATATGAATACTAAAATACTAATATAGGCTGCTAAGCATATCTCTAAATTACATGGATACATGTCACATACTAACTTCCTTAAATCAAATCCATAGGAGTACCATGTTGTCATGGCAGAACTTTTTTGTCGTTCTACGTCAACTGGTCATAATTCCTTTTTAAATTTGGAGGCACTGGGTAGGAAATATAAATGTCATTTCCATGAGCTTTTGTCTGCAGGGTTTGGGGAGCTCATGAATCAAGGATGCTTCCTGGGAGCTCACTGCAGATGCCGAAGCCAAGGTAAAGGGTTTTCATCACCTTCATCCCTCGATCAGATCCGTCTCCACGTAACTGATTATATTCTGTCTTTACTCCTTCTATGAACTCGGATAGGTTGGAGGGTAAGGTGGCCCTCGTCACCGGCGCTGCCAGTGGGATCGGGGAAGAGACGGTGAGACTTTTCGTTGAAAACGGTGCCTTCGTAGTAGCAGCAGACGTTCAAGACGAACTGGGTCTTCAAGTCGCCGCCTCCATAGGATCAGACAGAGTGAGTTACCATCACTGCGATGTCAGAGATGAACAGCAGGTGGAGGAAACAGTAAACTACGCTGTGCAAAAATACGGAAGCTTAGATATCCTGTTCAGTAACGCTGGAATACTTGGATCGTTATCCGGAATCCTGGATCTTGATCTGAATGATTTCGACAGCACCGTGGCCACAAATGTTCGTGGTGTGGCTGCGACGATCAAACATGCTGCTCGTACTATGGTCGCAAGGAACATCCGCGGATCCATCATTTGCACCGCCAGCGTGGCAGCTTGTGTTGGAGGAACGGGGCCTCATGCTTACACCATATCGAAGCATGCTCTTGTTGGACTCGTACGGTCCGCATGTAGTGAGCTTGGGGCTTATGGGATTAGAGTAAACTGTGTGTCCCCTTTTGGAGTTGCCACGCCTCTTGCATGTTCGACCTTCAATCTTGAACCCCATCAAGTTGAGGCTAATAGCTCTTCCCAGGCTAATCTCAAGGGGATTGTGTTAAAGGCAAGGCATGTTGCAGAAGCAGCTTTGTTTCTTGCTTCTGATGATTCTGTTTACATCAGTGGACACAACTTGGTGGTTGATGGTGGCTTCTCTGTGGTTAAACATAGTTTTTCTCCCATCTGATGCCTCCTATTTTTGCTATGGCGGCTATGGCTTGCCCTGAAGCCTGTAATTTATTGCTCATCATTTTTCCTTTCAATTCTCTTTCAAGTTGGGACCAAATTGCCTTAATTTGTGTTTCAGTCTCAATCGTACGTCACTGCCACTTCTCATGTGAACTTCTCCAAAATATTAATGAATACGTCATGTCTCTCCTTTTCTATTCCCCTCTTCACAAATTCAACCATCTTTATTTTCTGCTACTCATTTTACTTGGGTTTTATCTATGTTCTTAGATGGTCACGGTATTCGATTTTGGTTCTTTATTCTTCTTGGGTCTGATTTGTCACTATCGCTTAGTCTAGAGCTCCACTTGATGATTTGGGAACCTGAATGGATCTAGCATCCATCGGCCGCTGGCTATTGGCGATAATTAGTAAGTCAAAATTGCCATCTTTACCTGAAAGACGTCGGCCGCTAAAGATCATATGAGTGGATATATACTGTTGAAAATGAAATCAAGTTGCTCAAATATTCCCATGACTTGGAAGGGAAGGATCATCACGTGCATGCTTTTCAATTTCACTGTCATGCGACAGCCAGACCAGAAGGAGACCATGGTCATGTGGTCGAAGGTTATTTTAATGGCAAAAACATTGGGAACATATGTTACTACATGCTACAAGGGAGACAAATCACGTAGTTTATACGGTCGGTCTGAATCCATGTGTCCTGCTTACTCAGACCTCCCAATCTTCCCATTCCCAACTCTGAAATTATCCAGAGTTTCTTCCCTCTGTTGAAAAATAAATCCTCAGTACGATTCTTATACAATCTAAGTCGAAACAGAAGATGAATATTTGGCATTTGGAAAAAGAACAAGAACTTGCGCTTGAGTCACATGCCCTCAAAAATTAATAATGAGGCCGCTGCTGAATCTAGCGGTGATTACTTGACTCTTACCCCCCAAGCACGCGCGCGCGCGCACAAACTATATTATTGATCAATTGTCGATTGTCAACCCATAACTTGCGGAAGAAACACGTGAGCTTCTAAAATGTAGCTGAATCGAGCTATCTTCCTCTCCTCCACATGATATTATATAAACTTCCCTTTGGTTAATGCTGAACCTTCTTGAACTTCAACTAATATCGTTTAAAAGGCTGAAACTGCTTAGAACATTTTATACAGTAATACTACCTCCAGTCTTTAATATAAAAACTAACTGACTAATTTGAGTAGATTAAGAAAATTAATTTAGTTATTTGTAATAAATATATATTGTCTTTTCTAAAACATGCTTACTAATCAAATATATTAGTTAAAACTACTATTATTAGAAAAATTATCTTAAAACAAGCAAATATGAGAGTAATAGTGAATTGAAATTTTATATTTAGGATTAAAATAATAGTCAAACGAGCTTTTAATAAGGACAAGAAAGAAGCGCCTCAGATACAATGTTGACAGCCAACAATGCAGTGCGAGTAGCAGTTTCGTGAAGTTGGGTGTAAATATTATTCAGAAAACTATGTTCACGAACATTTATGCATTGGATCCGACACCAGCTCTTCCGTTCAATGAAGAGAATATCACAGCTGTGGAATAGGGTTGACTTTCTTCCAAAAACAATCCAATGCATAACATGCATATCTTTCGTAACTTTAATTTTTAAATCTGATTTCGCAGTTAATAAATAAGCATGTTGCATTGCATTTTGTCAAAAATAAAATTTAAAATATTCAAATAAATCCCAACGGCTCAAAGGGGACGTCCACACGGTCCACACTTGATGTCTACCATATTCAAGTTAAGAATAAGTTATAATTGACGGTTAATCCAGGAAGAAGAAGATGTGGTGTGGATGTCGTCCAGAGAGTCGAATTATCTTGTCATGTACGTTTTTTAATTCCCATCCAGTAACCAAGTCTAGGGCAAAGGAGGCTCGATTAAATTTACAAGATTGATTGAAACTGACACAGCATGAGTCGATATAATATAGTGCGACCAAACACCTAGGAAAGGCAAATGTCATCGTGAAAGTCTTCAATCGTATGTTAAACGGTCGTGCATAAAGCAATTGCTTTCAGTCAATGAAGAATATTATCACGACATGAAGCCTTGTGCTTGAGATGAACGTTCAGGCCGTCCCCTAAAATCACACCTTGGATTATCTGCTTTTACGTTTCTCCTATCGTTCCGCAGTTATGTCAAATCTCACCCAAGACTTCTAAGATGTCCGTGACGATTACAATGGTGAAGGGAGACGGACGAAACAAAGCTCAGGAAGGCAAAAAGCGGCGCACGGTGGTGATCATGCCATTAGGAGGAGGCATGGAATTGAATTGTACCAGATTAAAGGGGAACGACGTGGGAGGTGCTGCAGCAATACTGAGGATTAAAACTGTTCCTTTCTCAAGATCAGTACGCGAGATCGAGAAAAAGGAAACAATGGAGGCCATGACAAGACAAGTTGCTTGCAATAATTTTGGTGCCCCAGTCGAAAAGAGAGATGGCGATGATATAATGTGCAGTGGTGTGGGTCACTGGCTCAAAGGGCAGGATAGGTTTTGAATGGTGTACAAATGGACCAAACCTACACACTTCGCCTTACTTGATTTTAAACGTCAAAACAGCTTAAGATGCGACTTCACCTCATTCACAGTTAGTCAAGAAAGAAACACAAAACATAACACTAGCGCAAAAACATCAACATGAAAGAATGAAGAGCACAATTACCTTACAGTTTACACCACGCTGCTTAAAAATTCATTTTGACTCCACGTTTGGTCGTATCCCTCTATTCAGGTCAGTAAATATGTAGGTCTAACAAATCAACATTATAAATAACAGAGTAATCCAACAAGGGCAAAAAAAAGTACACATTTAGAGGCAAGTATGCCATTAATGTTGATGCGTGCAGTTTGGAATCAGTGGGCATCACCCCATCTTTCAAAACAGGATACGCCAATTCATAACATACCAAAAAGCCCAGAATGATGAATGACTACTGCTCATTTGCATAACAATATAGAAAAAGGCAAGCAGTGACATAAATATCCCTTCGAGTCAGTATGAAAGCCATCGGAATGCTTAAACAAAAATTTTGGGTGACGCTAAAAGCAACGCAATCTAATCCGTGCATCACAGAAGAAACCTTGGGTATCTGATGTTGTTGGCATATCTCGGACAAATTTACAAGTGTTTCGCATGCAAAACCTTCTATTCAATAAATCATTCTCATAGAACAACAATGGGAATTCAATGCACAATCAGAAACAGCTATGCCGCAACATATCTTGTGCCTTCTATCCATAATGTCATAGGTGTGAAAAGAAGTCATAGTACATGGAAAAAAGACATAGCATGCATAATACACCATAACCGGATTCCAATTGCCAATTGCGTCATTTTTTTTTTTTGAATGAATCCAAGTGCATCATTTATATAGGAAAGGAAATCGGTCATGCGAAGGTAAAATAAAGTTCGCTTGAGGCTGAAAAACCAAAACCAAATGATAGCCCGGTAAAATGCTAATGAGGAAGTAAAATTTAAAACCACAAATACTACGAGTTTCGTAATTTATAGATGAAAATCCTTTCGAGCACTCCACATATTATCAAACATAAATTAAGATAATCTCTGAAAATCGGTTTAGTCACAAATAGAACATATAATAGAGGGACGAGATTCGCTTCATAATTTCGCTCAGTCACCGCCGGCTTTCTGGTAAACATAGGTGAGACCGCACTTACCGCAGTAGTGCCTATCAAAATGATTGGCCATAAAGGTGCCAGCTCCGCATTCCGCGTTCGGGCACTCCTTCCTCAGCCTCTGAACCTTCCCAGAATCATCGACTTTGTAAAACTGTAAGAGAGCGAGCTTCACCTTCTTCTTCTTGTGCTTAATTTTCTTGGGCTTTGTGTAAGTCTTCTTCTTACGCTTCTTGGCACCACCACGGAGGCGAAGAACAAGGTGGAGGGTAGACTCCTTCTGGATGTTGTAGTCAGCAAGAGTTCGTCCATCCTCGAGTTGCTTGCCAGCGAAGATGAGGCGTTGTTGGTCCGGAGGAATGCCCTCCTTGTCTTGGATCTTGGCCTTCACATTATCAATTGTATCAGACGACTCAACCTCTAAGGTTATCGTCTTACCTGTGAGGGTTTTCACAAAGATCTGCATCTTCGGATGCAGATAGAAGATGATGGTGCCTGTCAGGTGACTGGGATTATAACCCCCGGGCTTCGGCGAAAGTTAGAGAAAGAGATGAAGGAGACTGTGAGTTTTAGGGTTTTGTTGCGAGGTGGCGGCGTAGGGGCTCTTGTTGTGATTACGAAATAGCCCCCGTGACTAATAGCAACAGCTGGCTTCTGCCTTCTTTTTTCTTTAAATATTTGTGGGCCAGATTTGAAAAACTATCTGGACCGGATGAAGATATAGAGACTATAAATTGCCAAAAATCCATGTGTGAAGAACAAGAAAGCCCCATGTTTTTCTGTGAGCAACTGAGTATGAGTTCGAAGCTAAAATGAGGTTCTTCCTTTTTTTCAAATATATTTGCGAATAAGAACCATGCTAAGGGAGGGAAAATAGTCTCATTCTTTAAGAGTATTTGAGTAAGAACAAAATCATAGTTTCAAAAGTGTTTTTAAAATATACTAAGTAAATATGTAGAGAAGTTTACCTCGATTTAAGAAAAAGTATTTCTAAAAAGTGATTATGAAGTTATTCAAACACCTCTTTGTCAAGCATTCGTCTGGGTGCTCAATTTTTTTGTTCATATTTTTGGCCAAACTGTTTTTGTTCATATTATAAGCATGAGTTGTCAACAACTCGATGCAGTTAATTAAGCAGAATTTGGCCCAAAAAAAAATCAAGAAGAATATTAAAAGAAATTAACGCGTATGGAGAGGGTTTCTTAACAAGAAGTATTAAAACTCATTGAAAAAGTTCATGGCGCAAGAAAACTAGTTACTGCTGCTTGATAGTGGATACCTCGAGTTTGACGGAAAAAAAGAACTTAACTAGCATCTCAAAGCATTTGAGATCAATTAAGGTCGCCCTATAATTAAGATGGGGTAAAATCATACATAAATCATTGTTTTTCCTAAAACATTTTAAATGAAATATTAATCTCTCATAGATTTATTATAAGCATAAAATAATTAAATTTGTATATAAACAAAAATCAATTAAAATTTATTTTAAACAATAAATAAGTTATAAATATATTTTTATTCTTAAACATTATAATAAATGAGAAAAAAATGACAAAAATATATGACGGGAAAGCTTGTGGAAAAAAAGAGAAAATACGATTAATAACAAAATTAAAAAAGCACATTAAATGTTAAGATAAAATCAAATTAAAACTCATGAAATAGATTTTTGGGAAAATTTCACTGTAGGACCGCAGAAGACAATTAATCTCAAAGAGCCCTCAAAACTTTTTGAAACCTCACTGCAGGACCAAGGGGCTAATCTGATATTAATTTCACAAACGAAATGACGCCACTGCCCCTAGTAGAAACTTATTTCCTTGAGGGAACAAGTGCGGGAGAGCGCATTTGCAAGGGGAACTAGTCAATTTGCAGAATAAATACATATATTCATACGTGGAATCAGTCCGTTCACATGTGAACTAGTTCACCTAAAGCATGTGTCTGTGAGGGAACAAGTGCGGGAGATCGCATTTGCACGGGGAACTAGCCAATTTGCAGAAGAAATACATATATTCACACGTGGAATCAGTCCGTTCACATGTGGACTGGTTCACCTGATGCTAAGGGTAGTGGCGTCATTTCATTTGTAGAATTAATATCAGATTGGCCCTTTGGTCTTGCAGTGAGGTTTCAGAAAGTTTTGGGGGCTTTTTAAGATTAATTGTCTTGTGCGGTCCTACAGTGAAATTTTCCCTAAAAGTTATGGATAACAAAACATCTCATAATATTCATCTAGTCGCCTCTCTTGCCCGGAGAAAGGAAAACAAGTCGGAAACATTCTGTTGTTCATTCTTCTCCTCCGCCTGACCTGAGCGATTAGCGAAGGACGTGCGCGTCGCCTGCTCAAATACTACTGTGCTTTATTTTCCCTTCTCTGAGCATGGAGGAGCAAAACCGTCCGAAGCATGATTTAGGGCTCGAAGGCGAGAGAGGGGACGATATGGAGCAGCGCTGCAATTTCTGGCTTCCCAGGAAAAGCAGATTTTGTGCAAACTCGAGTCTCAAAGATTCCATGTAAGCTTGATTCTCTCTGTTTTTTTTTTTCTGGTTCCTGGAACTTCACTGGGCTTCTCAAATCCTTCTGCACTCCTACTGAGTTAGATTCTGCGGCAATCACAACTCAACGTCTGAAGGCCAGTGGATCCCCTGCCCCTTGGATCCTTCGCAGTAAGATATCTACAACTTCTTCCGTATAACGTGCTCTATCAAACATCTGCCATCGCTGTAGTTCTGCTTTTGTATCTCAATATCTGATTGTCGCTTCCTTGCTCCTTTTTTCCTCTTATAGCTCAGTACTTAAGCAAAACGTGGGAGGGCATGTTAAGCGATGCCCGAAGCTGAAACAAGTTCAGTCGTTGTCTCTCCAACATTTTTATCGAAAAGGCATTAACGCTGGCAATGAAGATGAGGAAACGTTAAAAGTTCGTGATTCAGTATTGCCCAAGCCCGTCACAATGCCTTTGGATAACATTTCTTCAGAAATGAAGAGAGATATTGTGCATAATATGAGTATAATTGAATTCTCAAATTTAATTGGAAAGATCGAATCTGTTTACGAATCGTTCTCCAAGGATATTCGAGACTCATATCAGATTTCAGAGGTTTGCAGTCGATGGATTGAATCCGCAGTTGAGGAGAGGTAGTTATTGGCGAAGTATAATGTAGTTTTATGGAACTGGTTCGATTTCCAACTTAGTTTGTTTGCAGGAAATTGCCGTTTCAAGAGAAACACGTAATGCAACAGGCATCTATTCTGGGAAACTTGGAAATTTTTGGTGTGCTAAAGAGTTCTCTTGGAAGTCAACCATCCGAGTGCAAGGAGGAGGAGGAGGATAGTGTCCCTGCGGTGATCGAGTTTGGAGCCGGCAGAGGATACTTGACACAAATTCTTGCAGATTGTTATGGAATTAAAAGAGTTTTCCTTGTTGAGAGAAAATCTTACAAGCTGAAGGTTAGCCTCGCAAGTGCTTTAACTGAGTTGTAGGACACGATAGCTAAATTTGAAGAGGTTCACGTGTGTCTGATTTCATAAAGAGTTCATTTACTTGTATACTTTGTCGTGCAGAGCAATATTAGTTTATTCACTGTTTATATCACGCCACTATTATTTCTAGGCTGATCGATCCTTGCGACAGAATGAGGGCTTGGTGTTAGAGCGTTTGAGGATTGACAGTAAGGCTCATTGGAATCGTTGCTGCAGAAGATATGCTGTAATTATGCTTGTAGCGTTATGCGGCATATTGAGATAACCATTTCTTTTAGGAGGAGATTTGGTTGTCTAACTGCGAAGTTCATATATGTGGTTGCCATCTGAAATATTTAATATTTAGCTTTGTATTTTAGTTTTGCTTCTTTTTGTTAATTCTAATCCACAGAGCACAAGTTCCTTGGTCTGTTGTGTATGATCCTAGCTGCATTTAGACTAAACTAAAGCTCTTCTTGGTTTGGGCCCATCTCAAACTTGTGTTAAAAAAAAAATCACAATTCATGTATGCATTATTGAATTGTTTATATGTTCTGCGCCGATTTTCAAAATTTTAGCATCTTTAAGAATGCGTTGAATTTTGCAAGATATCTGATGCCTAAGATGATTCTTTTATTCACATATCTTGTCATATCTTGTTTATTTGAAATTTGCATCACTGCCTCACTTATTTCGAGGCTAGGATGCTCCTATATGTATTACATATGCTTAAGCTGCTGATTTTGAAGTTATGGATCTTGCAACATTGTAAAAACCAACTTTTGCAGTTGAAGATTTGGATTTAAACGCGGTGGAGTCTTTGGAAGGAGTTCCTTTTCTGGCGATTGGTAAACATCTATGTGGGGCTGCAACAGGTTATGTTTTGCTATTTAGACACATGTTCTAATGAATTCATGGCTAATGCTTTTTTGAGGAGAAGATCAATCATGTTAATGCGGACGCATTAGTCTTTGTTGTTGTTGTTGTTGCAGATTTGGCTTTGAGATGTTGCTTTCCTGAAAAAAATGACCAGTGCGATGCTAAGAAGAACTTTGGAGGTTTGGCCATCGCTACATGCTGCCATCATCTATGCCAGTGGAAACACTATACAAGTAACTTCCTGATCCTTCACTCCTAGCGAGCATCAGCTGAAACGTTTATAGCTCTTACTATCTTCTTCCCTCTTTTGGGATGTGAGGTTATCTTATAGTCGTGAGCCTTCTGTTTTCGTTATCTGCAGATAAGAAATATTTTTTGGACTTGGGGATAACAAAGGATCAATTCCATGCCATTACATGGTTTACCAGCTGGGCAGTAGATGCTAATCATGGTTCAGAAATATCGGATATTACTGATTGTGCTTCAAATTTACTGTCAATGTAATGAATTTAACTTTGCAGTCATTAATTTGAATATGGACCTCTTTGGTGCCGGTGTACTTTTCTGTTTTTGGGGTTACTGGCGAATTTCTGATTCCAAGTTCTGTGCAGTGACAGAGAAAACGGTGACCAGCACGCAAGCGGAGCAGAAAAATTTCTTACCGACATGAAACCATCTGAAAGGGCAGCGCTGGGTTTTAAATGCAAGCGCATGATTGACATGGGGAGGTTGTTGTGGTTAAGGAAACGAGGCTTGAATACGCAGCTCGTCAGATACGTTCCCTCAACCATTTCGCCCGAGAATTATTTGCTGATTGCCAAGCCTCACGGTCGTATGTAAATATATAAAATTTAAATTTTGGTAAGGAGCCCCCTTTTTCTTTCACCATTTTGTGGGTTTGTGATTGAGATGTTTTATGCGCTTTCAGTAAACCCGGTATACTGAAATTAGACTACCGTTTGATGATGACGAGATGGTGAATGATAGATTGATGGTACAATTTGTCACTCGTTTTTTCTCCTGACCGAGGCTTTCTTTCTTCAAAGAGGGCATCTGCTCACATCCTCCTTGAAGGTCTTTGCCTGCCCCGCCCTGCAGTCTAGTCAGGTTCCCAGCAGACGCCCTGTTTGGTTCAATCAATGCGGAAGGGTGAACAGAAACACAAGAGGTTATGAGTTTGTGGCATTATGTAGTGTGCTGTTTATTGAGCCGAAATGTTGTGCTGTTTTCCATCCACCATTTGGAACGCTTCATCCGTTTTTAAAGAACAGAGGGTGCTCAAATGAAACCAGTGTGCGGATGAAGGAACGGGGAGCGTATGCATCCATATATTTAAATTTGACGTAATGTATACAAAGTTTATAGATCCCGTGCAGTCCACCTCCACTCGTACCAAGATTAAGCCCCTTAATCCGTTCCGGTTTCGGGTGAATAAAGATGTTTTATTTTTATTATTGATAATTCGCTATTTGAGACAGTTCCTGTTTAAGAAAGATTAGTGACGTAAAGGAAAAAAACTAGAATGGCAGCATCTTTCACCGCCCCCCCCCCCCTTCCCTCCCAAAGGAAATCTCAAAAAACGAAAAAGCCAGCACTGAAAAGACATTACGAATTACCAAATAGATCTTATATTTAAAAAATTAGATTTTATATTTAAAATCGAAGGTACTATATAATAAATTCGCCTGAGGATTGGAATATATAAACTGGCCAACTGGGAACAATGTTACATGAAAAGACAAGGCAAAACGATACGCAAACTGTTGAGTAACGATAATATATATACGACACAGTGATCGATATAGGAGTTTAAGGCGCACATTCTACATTATGTGCTGACCCAAATGTTTTCTCTGTGGAATAATACATGTAAAGAAATCCATCCTCATCCTTGAATGATCCATAGACAGTTCATCAAGCTAGCTGCAAAACCACATATGCAACAAATTAGAACACCGTAGGGGAAAAACAAGTGGGATTTAATTTGCGACTTTACCAGTCTGAGGCAAGGTATTCTTCACAAATACAAATAGAGCTTTTCCTGGGTTAAGATGGAGTCTGCAACTCAAAACATGAATGAAATGCCCGACGGACATGTCTCGGGGAACAAGGAATCTATCAGGATGAAAAAGCGAGAATAATTATCAAAGGTATGGTAAACAGAGTTGCGAAATCTAAGCCACAGAAGAATTTCAAATTTTCAATGCCGACTAATGCTATCTCAATAATGTGCGTGATAAGCTAATCTGATTGATGAAAGAATTTGCTTCTCTCAATATATAGTCATAGGCAACAAAAATCAACGTTCCTCTTATCCGCTTTGGCACATTGTTTGAAGGGTAATCCATGGTAAGTAGACTAGCTAAAACACAGAAACCAGAAAATGTATGTTCTCGTCTCATTGCTTTAAGGGAAAACATTATGTGAAGTCAACTGAACTCAGTATTATATCCAAACAAAAATAGAATAAAAAATCTAAAGTTGATGGCTCCTCAAGATTGCTTCCCCCTAAGTCGATGACTTTATGAATTCGTCTTTTTTTAACGATATATTGCAATCATGGAGTCAATTGCCTTCCCAATATTTAAAGAGAATTTTACTAAAACCAAGCAGGGTCATACTTTCTTTTTTCCAGTTCAGGAAGGTCACTTTTCGAATATCTTTCGACGATCACCTGAAAAATAAGAGCATACAGAATAAATAAGCTGCTGTCAAATAATCCAAGCTCATATCACTCAGCATGTTCATCTATTATCGAATATGAATGATCAGCTCAGCTCACAATAATCAACGGTTAAACTCAAATAGGAAGCCCAAAAGGTTTATGAAGGCTAGTGAGGAAAGTGAACTTAATTAGAAAATTTAGGAAAAGCCTACAGCGAATAAGAAACTGGCTAAATTTTATGTCTTCCTTCTACAAATCATCGGCGGAATAAAGAGCATGAGGACCTCACCGGTACTCGGTCGGGATATTTGGCTACAATCTCCCTCGATTCCTCAAGTCTTTGCTCTGCATGTAAATCAAAGCGCACAGAGTCACCAAAAAACAAATTAACGCACATAGATTTGCATAAACAGTCAATAATTGCTCTCACCAAAGGGAAACTCATCCTTAAACCGGGAGCTGCCTCCCATGCCTTCCTTCTCCAGCAAGTTCGTTTGCCCTGACACGTCGCTTGAAGCCTTGGAGGCGTACGTGTATATATCACGTTAAGATGTTAGTGGAGAATTAGTCTATATATATAAAAACAAGGAGAGGGCCAACATCGCGCGGGGATAGCTCAGTTGGGAGAGCGTCAGACTGAAGATCTGAAGGTCGCGTGTTCGATCCACGCTCACCGCAAGGGTTTTTTTTAACTTTTGAATATTTCCTCTTTTTTGTTTTTTTTGGCGCATAAAATTTTAGGCAGGGTTCAGGTTCGACCCAAACTAAAAATAGGGTACTTGAATGGCTCCTGATATCAATGTTGGGCAGAATTCCTTCTTTTTTGGGATGAGAGGGCACGGCCGATGGGTGCATACTTCTTTCCTTTGAGACTTGAGCTGAGGACCATTATTGCCTAGTCCTCTTGTATTTCTTTCCTTAACAGCTGGAGCCCATTATTTGCCCGGCGGCGTATTTCTTCATTTTCCCCGTCAGGCCCATTATTTGCCCGTCCGGGTATCTTTTCATTTTCCCCGCCAAAATAAAATATTTTCCTGCCAAATTCTTTGGACCGAATGCCCAATTTTTGTCGGGTGATGAGGTTCGGGCCCTGCCCAATTCTCGGGAGCTGAAGGCTGATTTTTTGTCCGTGAGTCATTAGGTTCGGCAGAATTCGGCCTCCGTCCTGGTCGGACATGAAAATATGGCCTCCTCCGTCGCAGGTCGCGAATTCCCCGTCAGGCGAACACAAAGGACTTGGCGGTCAGCTCTGTGAAGGAGAATAAAGAGTTGAGTTCACTCTACAGAAGACTGGAAAGTTAAGTAGCAGCATATGAAGTGAATACCATCATGGGGGTTCAAAGTTTAAGTGAATGGCGGATCCGTCGTGGTCCATACCTTGGAGAAGTTTCAGCCCTCTGTTTTCTTCACCTTCCTTCTCATTTCTCTTCTCTTCCTCTTCTCCTTGCTGGTATTCATTTCTGTCTCTATGTAGTATGCCTGTTCACTTTATCTGAAGCTCGCGGCTTTATACTTACTAGTTACTTAACAACAGGAATGGGTTCCAAAATTCTGACGTACAACTTGGAACTGGAAAAGATGGTAAGATCATTCACAGTGTTCGATGGCATTCGCGTGCATGGACTTGCGTCTGGTGTCATGAGTAGCACACAACAGACTTCTGCTATTGAGTTTGCCACTAAAATTGCTGTTTATGGGGAACGAAGAGTTAAAGTATATAGCTTCTCCGTTGATACTGTCTCAGGATACTCAAATAAATCAGGATTCCGCCCACAAATGACTCTGTTTCATACGCTGCCTAAGTTCAGTCACTGGGTTTTGGATGTTTGCTTCCTGAAGGTACTTTTTGTATTTGTTTGAAGAATAATTGCGGTTATATATATATATATATATATATATATATATATATAAATGCTTTGGTTTGCTGTTGCTCGTAGGGCTACTTAACTCATTCCAACGAGGAAAGCCATTTTCTCGTGGCCATAGGATGTAGCGATAATTCAGTTCATGTCTGGGACGCCTTGAAGTCTGTTGCGGTTCTTAAAATTCAATCTCCAGGTTAGTCTGCAAACGACATGGACCGAATCGTCTGAACTTCCATTTGTAAAAATTCTCAGGGCGGGGTGCTTCATAAAGTTTACTTGGTGGTTCAGTGGTGAACTTCCTTACCCGCTTTATTTTAAATCTCATCACATGGTTGATTTTAATCATGATAACGTGTTGGATTACTCCACATAATTGCGTTTCTCTGGTTCATTATTGATCACTTTGCTGATATCTACCTTTTATCGTTCAAACATAGTACGGTGCCTTTTATACTCAATGCGATTGTGGGGTGACAATCTTGAAGTTCTCCGTGTTGCATCTGGCACTATATATAATGAGGTAAGAAATCTACAATGGCATTCACAATTCTTAACTCCTAAGAGTTGCAAATGCGCTTATCTGTCATCTGTTTATATCTCTAAATGTATTTTAAATAGTATTGTCTTTGGTTTCCTTGGTTTTCTTCACATGGCTGCTCTACTTGATTTGACTGGCTTGTCTATCTGTTAACCCCCCCTTCTTTCTTTCTTTCTTTCTTTCTTTTTCTTTTCTTTTTTTTTCCCAGCAGTTATGTTAGTGCGATTAAACATTTGGTTTTCTCAGATAATTGTTTGGAAAGTGGGCCCCAATCATGATGCTTCTAGTTTAAGAAGTGTAGCGGAAGACCAGGATCACCAGAGCATTTCATTTTCTCTTTGTTACCAGCTAAGTAATCAACAGTATGAGGCTGTTCATGTATCCAAACTTGTTGGACATGAAGGTTCAATCTTTCGAATAGCATGGTCTTCGTGTGGATCTAAACTCGTATCAGTCTCTGATGATCGCAGGTGTGTTAGTTTTTTAATATTTGACCATTGTAGTGATTTGTTAGTTGTAATGATTTGATTTTTCTTTCATTACAGTGCACGTGTCTGGGCGGTTCCTATTAAAAGGGAAGAATTGTTGGGCCATGATCCTGTTGCCCTTGTCTTATTTGGTCATAGTGCTCGAGTGTGGGACTGCTCCATTTTTGATTCTGTAAGCATTTTAGTGCTGCCTACTCTTTCAAATAGTTAATTAGTGCATCTGATGAAGTGATGATTATTATGACTTATGACTTGCTGATTATTATGTTTAAGTTGCCAAATTATCTATCAAGTGTTGCTGCAAATTTACATTTATATGTTTGTTTATATAGCATTCGTAAAGCATTTTCCCTATTTTAGCATCTTACTTTACTTAGTCATGCAGTTTTCTTGCCTAAGGTAATATAAAGGTTCGGGGTCTTAGGGGCACATTTCATTCCTTGTTTGGAATTTCTTTTCTGATGACTTTCTGCAGCTGATTGTCACTGCCAGCGAGGACTGCACTTGTCGTATATGGGGAATGGATGGTGAACAGCTTCAGATCATTAGGGAGCACACGTAAGTTGTTAACATGAGATCTTGGCTTCTGAGAAATGAGTTATTAATTGCTGAATTTTTGGGATATACTATATCTTGAATTAATTAATAATAAATGGTCATTGATATGGAGATTCTATTTAATTTTTGAATTGAATTTCTAAATGGGATGACCGTTGGTAATATGTTGCGGAATTCCTGGAGCTCCAACCGTAGTTTTGTCCTAAAGATCTAACTATATAAATTATTGGTTGTCCTTGATAAGTTTTTTTTGCTTATTAAATGTGATGCCTGCGTGATGTTTAAAAGGCCTAAGAAATAGAGTGATTTGTCTTGTGCAGAGGAAGGGGTATATGGAGATGTTTGTACGATCCAAACACTTCACTCCTAATTACTGCTGGGTTTGATTCTGCCATCAAAGTGCATCAGCCTTATGCTTTAATGTCTCGTGGCTTGACTGCAGCAAAAGAGAAACCTGATAGAACTGAGACGTTCTCCATTTGTATCCCTAATGCGTTGGATGAAATTGGGCTTATGGACAGGTAGCATTAGTGCACATGATATGCTCGCCTAGATTTTTTTCTTTAAACATTTCTAAATTTCAAACTGCTCTTAGAAAACACACTACACCCACACACACACATGATGGCTTTGTTTCCTTTTTGTCTATTGCAGTAAGAGTGAATATGTCCGCTGTCTGCGTTTTGCCTGTGAGGAGAGTCTTTATGTTGCTACAAATCACGGCTATCTCTATAATGCCAAATTATGTGGCTCTGGAGGTGCCCAGTGGACTCAACTTGTACAGGTCAGCAATGGGGCACCGATTATCTGTATGGATTTATTGTCTAAGGACTTTGTTGAACTTGACTGTGGTGCTGAGGATTGGCTTGCTGTTGGAGATGGTAAAGGAAATATGACAGTTATTGGGGTTACTGATGATGATTATACTCCTACAGTGAAGTCAAGCTTTACCTGGTCTGCTGAAACGGAGAGACAGCTCTTGGGTACTCACTGGTGCAAATCTCTAGGGCATAGGTACTCACTTGCCAGTATTCTTCATTAACATTTCTGCAATTAAAAATCCAAAAATTGGGGACATCTCCTGATGTCTAAGTTGCATGCGGCCATGCGCCACACCTTATGTTATAGAATTAAGGGACTTCCCAAGTTATTGTGTTTGACTGATACGGAAGGCGATATGGTGGTAGCATACGCGTCTATCTAGAAAAGCTCTCAACATGGGCTATTTGGCTGATGAAAGCACAGATGCGTAAGTTAAAATATTATCATTCTCAGATATCTTAAAAAATTTTGTAGGTATGTCTTCACAGCTGATCCTAGAGGAACTTTGAAACTCTGGAGGTTGCCTGTCTGCTCACAATCTAATATTCTCAGCCCCTTGAGGAGTTACAATGTGTCTCATATAGCAACATTCATGTCAAGTTATGGAATACGGATTATGTGTTTGGATGCTTGCATGGAGGAAGAGGTATTGCTCGTGTCTGTTTTTCTCCATTATGGGGGGTGGCCAGGCAGAGCTTCTTGTTTGACGGCTTAGTTGATCTTCCTTTTTGAAATATTCAGTAATAGTTAATTGTAGTATGTAGACTAATAAGCCACTTGATAGAGTCTGACTTAATCTCATAATCAAACTAGCATTTAAACAATGCTTGTTTTCTGTAGAGAGTTTGACCAAGATATGACATTTTACAATAACTTTGTGGAAACAGAGATGAGATATCTTTCCTTTTAACATTTGAAAGATGTCATATGAAATTATGAATATAGCCAGCTTATAAGATTCCCGAAATGGATGCTCATACTTGAAAGTGTTTAAGTGAAGTTCTTAAGTTTGGAGTATGGATATCAACATTTCTGCAGGTCCTAGTGTGTGGAGATCTACGTGGTAATATGTTTCTGTTCCCTTTGGCGAAGAGCATGTTGGGGGATGTGTCTCTTGCACATGAAGTGAAGACATCTCCAATAAATCATTTCAAAGGAGTCCATGGAATTTCAAGTGTGTCCAGTGTTTCTGTGGCTCTGCTCGGTTCTAATCAAATTGAAATATGCTCAGTAAGTTAAAAACTTAAAATATCCATCCTTGTTTCAGCTTTATGCCATATTGTCAAATGATTAAATCAAGAGAAGTGTTAATATTCAAAACTAAATATACAGAAACACAAATATTTTCCTCTTTCGTCCCATCTTTTTTACTTATATGTTATTATTCTTGTTCAGACAGGAGCAGATGGTTGTATATGCTATCTGGAATATGATAGAGGTCTTCAGAATTTGCAATTTACGGGGATGAAGCAAGTGAAAGAGTTGAGTTTAATTGAGCATGCCTCTATGAATAATAACTCTGCTCATACATTGTCAAGGAACTATGCAGCAGGTTTTGCATCAGTAGATTTCATAATATGGAATTTAGTTAGTGAGACTAAGGTACTTTTTTTTCCTTTGCTATCATTAATCCTGCTTAATGTCTGGTGTTAGTTAATGTTTTTGTGGCCCTATCGTTACTCACCATCCGTTATGACTGTGATGATTAAGTCCATGTTTCTAGCAGGTTGTGAAAATTCCATGTGGTGGATGGCGCCGTCCTCATTCTCATTATTTGGGTGATGTACCTGAGATGAAGAACTGCTTTGCCTTTGTCAAGGTTTGTTTTTCTGTTTTGAACTCCCAGCAATTCTTCAATTTTATTGAAAAAGGCAATTTGTATTTCTTTTAGCTGTGTCTTCTGCTCATTAGACAAAACAACAAGCATTTTCCCACTATGTGGGGTTTGCAACATAGATTGCATTATGTCATTATGCTCTCATTAGATGTTGCTGCTAACAAATTATACCCTTGTTAGAAATTGTGTCAAAACTTCTAATGGAGCTCATTTTATGGTTTGAATTATTGAGCTTGAGCAAGGCCTCTCATGATGGTCATCAGTTTTTAGATTCCAACATCTTCCCAATTATTTTCATGGGAATTTGAGGAGAAGATTTTGTCAGATTGTTTAATTTATTCTTTCTTCAACTTTAAGAGTATTGGATCTTTATCTTAAATTTTGACTCCGTTCTCATGATCTATCAGAACTTTGTGGGCTTGTCTCTTTTTTTTTTTTTTAAATTTTAATTAACAACTTTTGCACTACAACCTATGTTTTGGCCCAAAAAAACTAGGATCTATGTTGTCTTTAGGTATCTAAATATCCCAAATTAAATGTTAATTATTTCAGGATGAAATGATTTATATCCATAAACATTGGGTTAGTGATGAAGACAGGAAGATATACCCTCAGAGTTTGCATATGCAGTTCCATGGGAGAGAGATGCATTCCTTGTGCTTTATCTCTGGAGACATGCCCCTTGGAAACAATTATAAACATAACCTATATTCTAATTTTTGTTTGATTGCAACTGGTTGTGAAGATGGAACAGTCAGGTTGACTTGGTAAGACCTTTCTAATCTGATGTCTTGAGAACTGGCTTAAGTTGAACATCACCACATAGTGAACCACATTTTGATGATGGCTTTGGTGTCTGCATGACTTAAGGTACTCTTCGGGTATTGAAAACTGGTCCACATCCAAATTGCTTGGTGAACATGTTGGGGGATCAGCTGTAAGGTCGTTGTGCTGTGTGTCAAAACTCCATATTATTTCCTCACGTGCAACTAATTTATGTGACGAGAGGGGTGAACCAAATGCTGCTATTGAGGACCAAGATAATCCAATTTTACTGATTTCAGTTGGTGCCAAGCGTGTGTTGACTTCTTGGATACTAAAAAATAGGAGGCTAGACAACAAGAAAGACATTCCAGTTGATCAGCAATATACTTCAGATGGAAATGATGGGGAGTTCTGGTCAAATTTCTCCTCTTCATTGACATTCCAGTGGCTTTCCACTGATATGCCAGCCAAATATGCAAGCACACGCAAAAATCCTGAAAATGATGCAAAGAAAGTAGTTGAGAGTGCTGAAAATGCTTATGATGCCAAAATCGATGTTAAACCTGGATCACTGTTGCCTGAAAGGGCAATGGACCTTGTCAGAGATAAGCATGATGATGACTGGAGATATCTTGCAGTCACTGCTTTTCATGTTAAATGTGCTGGTTCTAGGTGAATGAGATACCTAATATTCTCCTTTTGGATGTACCTTTTTATTGCAGCCTGAAACTAACCTTTGTTCTTGTGTACATTTCAGGATATCTGTCTGTTTTGTTGTCGTTGCTTGTTCAGATGCTACACTTACATTACGGGCTTTGATTTTGCCATTTCGCTTATGGTATTGTTATCGTACCTGTTATATTGTAGTGACTTTTTGTTTTCTTATTGTGGCCTTGCTGTGTGCGTATGTCAGACATTTCCTTTTATGCAATGATAGGTTTGATGTTGCTATGCTTACTCCTTTATCTGCACCAGTTTTGTCATTGCAGCAGATAATTTTCCCTACATGTCAGCCTGCTCAAGGTTAGGTTTCCCTTCCATTCCTACATTGGTGGCAAAGACCGCCACATCATTTCCTTTCTCATGAGTGTTCTGTATTAGTCCATTCCATTTGTATGGGTGTCTCTGAAATTTTGCGGATTGTTGGCTGGTAATTTCTGACCACCAAAAAACTTGATGCATGGTGTGCTAGCTGACGGTTTATAGATCGACTTATCTTTTTCTTTTAAATATCCTTTTTTTTTTGGGATTGCTATTAAGTTATTTCTTGAGTTGACCTGTGTCTGAAAGGATGGGGGAGTCATTCAAGTTGTTAAGAAGCCGACTCTTTTCCTTGTTTATAGAGGTGATATTGTATGGTTAGCATAAGTCTATGATTCTCTTGCTTGAGCGGCATTCATCCCCTTTATTTATTTATTCTGCAGATAACATCCAGGCGGGAGGTGTTTATATTGTGATTAGTGGGTCTACGGATGGGAATGTTGCCTTTTGGGACCTAACTGACAGTGTTGAAGCTTTTATGGAGCGGGTGTCAGTTCCTAGCATAGAGAAGTTCTTTGATTGTCAAAAACGTCCACGAACCGGAAGAGGAAGTCAAGGTGGTAGATGGTGGAGATCTTTAAGCAGTAGCTTATCGAAGAAAAAACAAGACAATAATATTGTTCGCTCAAAAGTTAAAGATGAGTATGGGTCCATCAATTGCACTGTGAATGGGACCTCTTCAACAACAAATGATCATCAAAACCACAACACAGCTTGTTCTCAATCCTTGCATTCATCTTCCTTTGAGTCAGAAATCAACAATCATAACCCCTCACCCGAAGTATGTGAAATACCGCCCATACATATTCTGGAGGAAATTCATCAGTCTGGCGTCAATTGTCTCCATGTGTCGGAGATAAAATGTGGTCAAAGCACTGATAGATGTCATGTGTGCAGTATTATTAGTGGGGGTGATGACCAGGCGCTAAACCATCTTTTAGTTGAATTATCATCTAACTCAACAAATTCAAATACAGAGATTATGAGTCGAGATATAGAAAATGTGGTGTCTGAACCTAAACATCAAAAGGACGTCCACTATCATAGTTGGAGCATGAAAGACAGGATTAGATTCTTACGTTGCGAAAAATTCCCCTCAGCCCACAGCTCTGCTGTGAAAGGTAAATAGGCCCAACTTTGCTTATCTCTCTGTCTCTCTTTCTCTTTCTCTTTCTCTTTCTCTCTGTACTCCTCTTCACGGTTTTTTGTGGTTTTGTTCGTGAGAATACTTGGTGTTGCATATTTGCCGAAAAGCTTTGCGTTTTTTTTTTTTGGCTTATAATCTTAGATGGATAACGACAACTGACAGACTCATGGTCCTTGAAAGCCATATCCACCAAGATTAAAGCCAGTATAATAAAGAATAGATATGGACTCTTTTCAATATCTATTTTCAAGAAATTTGACCGGATCATAATTGCGTTTGATGAAGGTGTGTGGACGGACGGTTCTTGGGTATTCTCCGCTGGACTTGATCAGCGAATCAGATGTTGGCATATTGAGGATAGTAAACTAAGCGAGCATGCGCATATGGTAGTGAGTGTGCCAGAGCCTGAAGCATTAAGTGCTCGAACTTGTGGAAGGTGACCGTTATATAAGAAAGCATGAACAGGTCGGGTTATGGATGTATCTTATCTTACTAATTCTTGCTCGTGTCTTGTGCAGGAACCTGTATCAGATTGCTGTTGCGGGAAGAGGGATGCAAATGGTTGATTTTTATGCAGTTTGACCCGACACTGATATTAGTGTTTCTCCTTCCTCTTGCATCGGAGATGGAGGTTCATTTTTTTCAACCTTCGCTTTATAGTCATGGGTGCCGCATGTACCCAAGCTTTTTGGGGCGTATATCTTCTACCTTGGCCTAATGTCAGGGATGTAAAATGTGATTTTGGTTCTTGCTCATGCAATCATTTCCCAAACGTGTCGTCATACTTCAGAGATGAGTCTGCTGAGAAAATTTAGGGAGATGTGAGCAAATAAAGTTTTGTATGTATACATATGATAAGATTTAGAAACTACTGCCTTTGGTTCCTTAATATAATAACTAGTTTTGTAGTGGTTTCTAAATCTTACGGATTTTTCTCCATTTTGGGGACGCTGGCTATTAAATTTATAACCTTTTGGTTAACTCTACTCATTCTCACCTATTGAATTATGTCACCCAGTGCTCATGAAGGATGATATGAGAAAGAAAATGTGCAACTTGTGGTGCACCCATTAGGTATGTTCTCTCTTGAGAAAACATGCCTTTATATCATCTGCTTTGCACAGATTCTTGTGCAAAATCAGAGAAGTGGTATTTCAGTAATCAATGGATTCAAAAATATTGCGGGCGCTACCCCGTTTCTAACAAATATAAAGCATTTTCTCTCGCTTTTTTCAAGAAGTCTCAGTTTTTTAGTTTAAAAAATATTTTATGTATTTTTAAGAGTAATTTATGGTTTTTCTAAAATATCTTTAAGAGCATTTTACAATTACTTACCTTCTTTTTTAATATGGTTCATTTCCCGATTCCCATACATTCACAAATGGAAAAAGAATATAGAATTGTTTTTATTGATATATGTATTAAATAAAAATGGTTTATATTTTTTTTATATTAAAAGACAATTTTATTTAACGCAAGTAAAATGGTATATAGTCATATTCAATCAATTTGAGCGAAGTTTAAAGCTGGCTCAACATTTAAAACATGAAAAGAACAGATAAAACAACAACCAACAAAAACTAACATCAGAACAACATAATTAACACTTATAACAACACATTCTGCAATATTAATCTCATGATGCAGAGTCTAAGGGGGATTTGAATCCAAACACGAGAGTGAAACAAAAATGCTTTATATTTAAAACAAGAGGAATGGTGACAATCTAATTAAGTCAACTTGGCAGAGATACAGGTAAAATAATAAATACTAAAATCGGATGCACGTTCATCATGCTTATGCCTATGCATTGACTAGAGACATCGAGAGATGGCCTTGAAGTATAAACAATTTGGAGGTTGGCGGATGCCACCATCTCATTTTCTGCATATGTTCAGACTCATCATTCATTATTTTGTTTGTCAAAAAGAGAAGACACAATTGTTAAATTATTCAGAAGGGCGGTGCTACAAGTACCCAGCAATGTGCATCACACCAAAAAATTCAAGGAGGGAAAAAAAGGGTGAAAGCCGTGTAAGAATGATGCGAGATTTGACTTGACTCGGTAAATATTGTTTTACCTACGCCAATATTATTTATTTTTATTGTTAATTTCTACTCTTTCGGTTCTTAATATAAAACCTATTTAACTAATTTAATTAGATTAAGGAAGTTAGGTAAGTTAGTTAATTATAAGAAAAGTGACACATTTTTCTTAAAACACCATAATTATCTTTCTTAATACCTCCTCTTTCTCTTCTACTTGACTATGATTGAGGGGTATCCATAGGGGTAATTTAGAAAAAAAATTGATAAATATGAAAAATGGGTCTTATATTTAGGATCAAAACCAACTCAAGAATTGGGTCCTATATTAAAAACCGGAGGAATATTATATAACTAGCATATAAATTTTTATGAAAAATTATTAAATTAACTGAAAAAATATATTATTTGTCGGGGTTTAATTAAAAATTACAAACGTTGATTTTAGAATGGACTGGAATTGCGTTTTGACTTGGTGGGAAAATAAGGAAGCAAGAAACAGGTGGGAATCATGACGGAACAGGAGGGACCAAACCGCCACCAACCCCGGACAACCGGCACGTGGCAGTCCACCCAAGCTGACCACTCTGAAGCCACTCAAGCATCGGCTTTTCTCGGTGGTCACGTAAATAGAGTAATTACACGACACCTCCTCTTCATTCCAATTCCAAACATGGCATGCCTTTATTTACCCACTTTGATTCCTGGCAGAAAACTTATCCTTAGCGCGTTGATCAAGTTTTAATTTTAATCCTTTAAATTTAAAAAAACAAATCATGAAGATATCACTTAGATATAATGATATATACATGCAACTTATATTCCATCTCAGACTGACTTTTTTTTATAAAAAAAAAGATTTCCACAGACGCTGGACGGAGACACCGAATGATGAGCGGTGACCAATTGGGGTTGGTGAAGAACCGGTAGTCGCCAGTTATGCAGATGCCCAAATGGTGCTGGCGCAAATCCTCCATTTTTCGTCTCACCAACCCCAGCAAATCCTATCCCTCCGCTTTTGGGAGTCAAATCCACAACCGCCCGTTCGGGTAGCCAATCACCCGGGCAGTTATATAGTATAAATATGAGGTGATTCGTTTGGAAGCATTGTCCCTAGTCACGCATCCTTTCAACGAGGTCTGGTTTGAGCGAGTAGTGTCCCGCCAGTCTTCGTCGTCAGATTCCGTTGCACTTACTCGTTCGGCTCCAGGTTAGCATTTTCCCTTTCCCTATTCTGCGTGCTTGCTCGTCCCTTTTCACACCTTAGTGCGTTTTTTCCCCGTAGTTCTGTTCATGTTTCTGCATCGCATCTTCGAGGTTTTCTTTCACTGTCGGGCTCCATCTTCTATGTTGGAGGCATTTCGTGTATAGAATGGCAATTGTTCTGTTCAATACAACAAGAGTGCTTCGGATCTGAATGTTTATTTTTATTTTTGGATTGCTGGTTGAGTTTTGGCTCATCTTGCTCTCTACTTCTCTCACTCGTGGTTATGGAGGTCCTCCTTTGTCCCTTTCTGAAGCGGAATTTGAAATTCGTTCAATGAACTTGCCGATTAGAATATGATGTTCCTTTGTGTTGCTGTAGGTTAGATCTGATACTTATTTATAAACAATCCTTGCTCGCTATTTTCGCTTCCCGATTTAGTTCTTCGGTTGTAGACATTGATTATGATATAATCGGAACGTGGCCAGGGACTTAAGAAGCCAAGCTTCTTCCTTCCTTTTTCAAAGATGAAGTGGGAGGAAGTAGTTGTTGAGAAGAACTAGAAACAACGAACCTCAATATCAGAGATAATAGGGGTCGTGCGTTATCTCGTTTGAGTGCTTTGTTCGAATTAATGTCAGCGAGAGGTGTTTGAAACCAAATTATAGTTTTAAAAATAATTTTACGGTATACGAAGTAAATATATATTTACGAAGTAAATATATATTTACGAAGTAAATATATAAATTAGTTTATCTCGATTTGTAAAAAAATACTTTTAAGCAAACTCAAACGCCTACTAAAAGAGTGTTTGGATAGAAACCAAACTATGGTTTCAGAAGTGCTTTTACGGTTTACGAAATAAATATGTAGAGGAGTTTATTTCATTTTGTAGAAAAATGTTTCTAAGAAACACTTTCGAAGCTTACCAAACACCCCCTAAAAGTGACTTGCAAACTGAAGTAAAAATCTTATACCTGTGTTTTAATAGGCTTTTAAAAATATATCAATTTTACGGTTTTAAAATTTTTTAAAAAAATATCATAGTCATGAGTTACTTTTGAGCAAAACAATCAGTCCTAGCTAATTTTTGAGACTTCCCATCGTTATCACAAACATTCACTTAGAAGTTTCCTTTTGGTTTTATACTCTACTTGGATAAGAAGAAAAGTTGAGAAGAAAGAAAATAAAAGGAGAGAAAATAGAGAGAAAGAAAAACTAGAGGGAAGTTGTGATCATTCTTCTTGTTTGGATGGATGAGAGAAAATAGAGAGAGAAAAAAAATTAGCATATATCTAAAATGACTAAAATATCCTTACCAAAATATATTATATTTACAATTAAATTAAATATTACAATAGAAAAATTATACTAACATTAGCATCATCAAATAATTTAAAATCAAGTTATTTGGTTTGTATATATTTTCATATTATTATATTTTAAAACCAAATTATGTAATAAAAATATTGTTTTAAGATTAAAAAAAAAGTGAATAACTTTAGAAATATAATTAAAAAAAATAAATATGGAGAGGAAGAGAGAGGAGGAGTAGTCATGGAAATCTTGTTTTCCTTTCCAAATCTCTCCATATATGGAGAAAAATTTGAAGAGAAAATGAGGCGTGGGGTCTACTTTATTTTCTTCTCCACTTTTTCTTTCCCTTACATTTTTTCTCATATCCAAGTAAGAGAAAACTTGTTTTTCCTCATGTTTTCCTCTCTAGTTTTTTCTCCTCTCTAATTTTCTCTCAATCCAAGGGGTTAATTTTTTTTATCTCGGAATGTTAGCGGGAGTAACAGACAATGGAAGAAAATACAGACATTGCATAGTAGAACCAGTGATTTTTCCAATTTTTTTATTATTTATAATTATAATGAGCACTGAATGTATCTGAAAAAGCCAATGCTAGGACAAAAGAAAATTAATTTTTTCAAAAAAAAAAATAGGGAAAAACTTTGCATGTTTGTTTTTAATCTTGTTTAAACATTTTTATATTATTAGGCATAATTTATTATCTAATGAACATTGTATGGACGAAGTTATTTTAAAAATTATCTGTGATAATAATTAACAAAATAAAAATTTTAGACTAATACTCGTCGGTTCTAAGTATAAGAACTATTTTATAGTATAATTTACATTACAAAATGGGTTTTATATTTAGGACAAAAAAAATACTATGTATGTTAATTTTTTTTTTTTTTTTTTAAAAAAAGCCCTTCATGAGCTGCATACCATTAACCTGCTATTGATGATCGTAGAGCCTGCCTACATAAGCTCTTATGCTGTTGTTATTTTGAGCTATTATAGTTTAATAGACTGATATTTTATTTACTCTGTGCAGCTTGAAAAATGGCGGAGAGCTTTCTTTTCACATCTGAATCTGTCAATGAGGGTCACCCCGACAAGTTGTGCGACCAGATCTCTGATGCCGTGCTTGATGCCTGCCTTGAGCAGGACCCTGACAGCAAGGTCGCCTGCGAGACATGCACCAAGACCAACATGGTCATGGTGTTTGGAGAGATTACAACCAAGGCCAACGTAGATTATGAGAAGATTGTCCGCAATACATGCCGCAACATTGGATTTGTCTCTGATGAGGTGGGTCTTGATGCTGACAAATGCAACGTATTGGTGAACATTGAGCAGCAAAGCCCTGACATTGCCCAGGGCGTGCACGGCCACTTTACTAGGCGTCCAGAGGAGGTTGGCGCTGGTGATCAGGGTCACATGTTTGGGTATGCCACTGATGAAACCCCCGAATACATGCCCTTGAGTCATGTCCTTGCAACCAAATTAGGAGCTCGCCTCACGGAGGTTAGGAAGAATGGCACCTGCGCTTGGCTGAGACCAGATGGAAAAACTCAAGTAACTGTTGAGTACTCCAATGACAATGGTGCTATGGTTCCAGTTCGTGTCCACACTGTCCTTATTTCTACTCAGCATGACGAGACTGTGACTAATGATCAAATTGCTGCTGATCTTAAGGAGCATGTCATTAAGCCCGTCATCCCTGAGAAATACCTAGACGACGATACCATCTTTCACCTCAACCCCTCCGGCCGCTTTGTCATTGGTGGCCCTCATGGGGATGCTGGTCTTACTGGAAGAAAAATTATTATAGATACCTATGGTGGCTGGGGTGCCCACGGTGGTGGTGCCTTCTCAGGGAAGGACCCCACCAAGGTCGATAGAAGCGGTGCCTATATTGCCAGGCAGGCCGCAAAGAGTGTTGTGGCAAATGGGCTTGCCCGGCGGTGCCTTGTGCAGGTTTCGTATGCCATTGGTGTTCCTGAGCCCTTGTCCGTTTTTATTGACACCTACGGAACTGGAAAGATTTCAGACAAGGATATTCTTCAACTTGTGAAGGAGAATTTCGACTTCAGGCCTGGAATGATTACCATCAACTTGGACCTTAAGAGGGGTGGCCATAGATTCCTCAAGACAGCTGCTTATGGACACTTTGGAAGGGATGACCCAGACTTCACCTGGGAAACTGTGAAGCCACTCAAGTGGGAAAAGCCTCAAGCTTAAGAGTAGCGAATCTTAATCAGTGGTGTTCTTCTTGGTTCTGGGTGAATAATTCCCGTGTCATTTTGCTCCACCCCGCATGTCTACTGCGTTGCAATAGTTAACATTCCCATCTAATAACCAAAATGATATGTATTCTACTTTAATTTCCTTATGATTTAATTATTGATTATGCAATATTGCTCGTGGCGGCTCATTCATGTATCAGAAACAGAATTATTTTTCCTCGGCTGTCAAGCTGGAATTCAATTGCGCAGATATGACTGTTACGATGTATTCTGAGTGCAGAAACATGTAGTTGTTTTTTTTTTTTTTGGGGTACCAGACATATCTTTATATTTTGTATCATATTTGACTTAAATGGGATGGTTAAGATTTGATTGGATCAAGGGAAATATTGAGGTGAAACGATCATTGTGTCAGGTAAAAACAGAATAGATTTCAATATTATTTATCGATAAAGGAGGGAGAAATTGGAAAGAAAGAAAGGAATGAAGGAAAATATTCAAATATCAATCTTATCCAATTCATTTAAAAGACTTGAAAAACAAAGAAAAAATAGGTCTAAGCTCTAATCAAAACCATATTGACAATATGAAAAAATCTTAAGAATTAAATAAGAGATTATATTTATTCAAACCACGTCCTAAACTCCTAATCCAATCTAAGATATCAACATTTAGGGAGCTTTTATTCCATGCAGGATTTAACTTGCATAATTACAGTATAAGGAGGCAATGTTATTCGTGGGAGAAAACATGCACGTGGCGGGGCGCGTTAATTACGAGAGTTTTCGCCTTGGTTTGTGATGAGTGATAGAGGGCCGTTTCAGACTAATTGTTCGTGAATTGGATTCCTTCCTTCCGTCATCAGTGTTGGCTGTGCCCCTAAATTCATCCATATATGCCCAACTCGTGGATACATGTCATGATTCCCCAATTCAACCGCCTTTTATTTGCTTTGCCCCTGATCCTTCCGCCTTCACGTTCATTTGTTATACTAACTTCGTTTTTTAATATAAGAAAAAATTAGTCAAATTTGTTATTAATCATAAATATGTTAATTTTTCAAAATTATTATCTTTAGTCGTACGCATTTAGTGAGATTTTCTTTCAATAAATAGGGATAATTTTTTTACAAAATGAATTGAAGTCTTATATGTTGAAAATCAAATATAATTTTCTAACAAGCTTATATATATATATATATATATATATATATATATATTAATGATAATGACTAGAGGTAGTATTATTTTATACTCTTCAGTTTGAACGGCATAGTCGTAAGCCTGTTTTAGGCAAAACGAGGCGTAGTTGCGGCGTAGACGAAATTAATTGGCAAGAACAAATCTACGCCAGTGCTGGTAATTCAAAAGGGGGAAAAAGTTTCTATAGTCCTGGAATAATATCTGCGAGACTTGCAGCCCATATAAAGAATTAAAGATGGTTATTGAAAGAACTGAAAACACTGACCCGTCCAACGCGGGAAATCAGCGTGGGGCTTCTTCCTGCTGACCCCTGATGACGAGAGGCAGCTTCCCTCCGACCTTTTTCTTGCTAACAAGCTTCCCTCCACCTTTAGTTGCTTCTTAAAGTTCTGTTTGGTACGCAGAATATTAATAAACTCGATTTAAAAAATTAGATAAATAAAGTGGAAAGTTTTTAATTAATCTTTATTATTCTTTTATCTTACATATTCTCTCTATCAAAGTTTTAAAATCTCATTTTTCTTATTTTTTAAATCAAACTTATTATTGTTTTTTTATCATTCTCTTCATCTCCTTGTACCAAACATAGGGTAAGTAATTTTAATAGCTTCACTTGCCAAACGGAGGCAGCCAAGTGCATTTTTTGTAGTTATCAATTTTATGGGAATAATTGAAACAGGGGCTGTAATACGCGCACATGTTTAAATCCCAGCTGCCGAAAGCCAAAAGGTATTACTATATACTCCATATGTCTCTTATTATAAGACCCATTTAATTATATTACCTACTTTAAGAAAACTGATAAAATTAGTTAAAAGTAATAAATATATTAAAAATATACTTTTTCTCAAATATTCCCTTATTTATAAATGGGTAAGTGTGAGTGAGAAAAAACTGGGGGAAAAAAAGCATGGGAAAAAGATAACGAGATGGAGTATATTAATTAAGGATAAAGTGAGTAAAAATATATTTATTATTTAGAAAAACCTAAAATAATTTTATAAATAGATATAAACCAATTCAAAAGATTGAATTTTACAATAAGAGACAGATAAGTATAATTTATAATTCGTCCATGCTCTTGAGAATGCATGTTTTTTTTTTAGGGGATCTGATTCATGAATGTGCATTGAAATGTTCTTCGTACCTACTAAATGGACTATTCCCGAAGCGTACTTGATTTTAGGTTAGATTGATATGCCATCGTTTAACAGCAAACGAAGCTGACCTTTTCTACCAAACTTCTATTATTTGTTTGACTTTCATCCCTTCCACGCGTCTGTGAACTGATTAAACATATATAAATGCGAAAGCGAATAATCAAACAAGCTGGTTTAAAATTTTGAACCACTGCTCTGTCACTCTACTTAACCACAAGTCGATCCACACCTCAAAATTCTAGTATTCACATATGAAAATATACCCCGTCTTGTCTTTATCATAAGTCATTTGACGGGTATATGTTATAACTTTTTAATATCATTTTCATCTAAAGTTATTGATTATGAAAGAGAATGCAATGCAAACGTGAAAATTTATAGACAGTTAAATTAGCTATCTTTTCTTGTGAGATAATCAGTGACACCTTACGCATGATAGGGATGAAAGAGAGTACTGTTATACTAGTCAAATGAAGTTTTTTCGCAACAGACTGGTTAGAATCGATGGCAAGCATGTGACAGATGCTCAAGCTTAACTAATTCAAATGGGCCAGGGCCAACGAAGGTGCTACTTAGCTTAAATAACGTAAAATATAAGCTAGGGCCTTGTCGGTTTCAATGGTCACGTAGTGTGTGGCTTTGAAATTTCATAACCGGGAGCCAATGCCGGTCACAAGTTAATTATGAGCATCTAGAAAGAGAGGGGATAATTTCTTTTTGGACGATACATGAAGTGCGATTACGCAAATGGAATAGAAATTCCTAAACAAAATTTGAAAAAATCGTGATCGCATATGGGATTATTACTATTATTTTAGGCCTCCCGAGTTTACCACTGTACAAAAGGCCCCAGACTAGAAAAAGAAAGAATTCAAGAAATAAACCAATGGAAGAGTGAGTGGGAAAAGAAAGAAGAAAAGCTCACTTTCTTGGGTGACTGTTTCTAGTCAAGTTTGGCCAGCCAGGTCGGCTTGGAAAGGGAGAGAGAAGGGATTTCAATTAAATTTAATTAAATTAAAGCAAGGAAATAGCAATGGAATATATTACGTAACGTTGGCTGGACAAAAATCCCCGTAATAATACAATCTTTCATTTCAAAGCAAGTCAAGAGGCTCGGGCTCTTTATCCTACGCACTTCCTCTGCTTAACCTGCGCAAATTTCGCCGGTTTTGGCGCCGAGATCTTCATCTACACCTTCCCCCAGTTAGTTTCCAGCTCTCTGATCTCTCAACTCCAGTATATTGCCATTTGATTACAGGTACCGGTCGATCTATTGCATACCCATTCTTGACTTTTTCTGCTTACACATTTTTTTCGTATAATCTCATTTTCATCGTAAGCGGCTATGTTGATCAGTATTTTTCTAGGAATATGTGATCTCGATTTGTAATAATTGGTTCTGTTTGGGACCGATCCCTAACTATTTGCTAGGATTTTAGTAGCAGTTTGCTCGGGGATTGCTCGGACCACTTTCACTTAGCTTACATGGATTGATACGCTTGCTTATAGCAGCGCTCATAGTGCTGCAAAATTTCAACCATCACTTACCGTATTCTATCATTCAAGAAGGATGAGATGCAAATAATTTTAGAAAATAAAATAATTTTAGAAAATATACTTACTTATAACCATATCTATTTTTTCTCGCCCTTTTGAGTAGTTCTGATTAATATCAATCGAGGTATTGAACAAAAACAAGAATCAATCGAGTTGGCACCATGACTGATCAAGTTGTCATGTTGAAATGAAGGTTAGCTTGCTCATTTGAAATTCGGCAACGATGAGTTAATTGAGCATTCGCCCTGTTCTTCTCTGAAGTGCTGAAAATTGTATTGATCACCATCGTCTTTCTTTTGTCATTTTGGTTGCAATGAACATTCAGGGGGAATTTATTGGGGTTTTTTTTTTTTTTGCCTCCTTTCTATTTTGACTTCTTATTCAAATCAGTGGCTCTATTGATATGAACTGATGTATGTATGAACTTTTATGTTAGAACGAATCATGAGTTGTTTCAGCTGTTGCGAAGAGGATGAACTCCACAAAGCTGCTGACAATGGAGGACCATACGTGGCAAAAAACTCAACAGGTAATTTATCTCTTATTGGCTTGACGAGTGTGTGTGAGAGAGAGAGAGGGAGGGAGAGAGAGTCTAAACTCCAGATCAAATCATTCATCTTTAAGTGACATTTCCTTTCCATTTGGATTTATGTGCGTCATTGGAAGTGGATGCTATTACTTGATTTTAATACTTCCTCATCGTAATTTGATTTCTATTGTGTGATCTGTGACTCAGTGAAATTATTGTGAAAACTCTTCATGCAGGAAATGATGGAAATTATCATGCTTCTGAAACTGCAAAGCAGGGTGCTCAGACTGTTAAAGTCCAGCCCATTGAAGTTCCTGCCATATCAGCGGATGAATTAAAAGAAATTACAGATAATTATGGGACCAATTCTCTGATTGGGGAGGGGTCCTATGGAAGAGTATATTATGGCGTTCTTAAAAATGGTCAGGCTGCAGCAATCAAGAAGTTAGATGCTAGCAAACAACCTGATGATGAATTTTTAGCCCAGGTATCCCTGATAGGCTGGGCTTACTACATTTTCTCAGATAATTGCGGTGGTTAAGCCATTAATAACCTGGATCTCAAACTTTCAGGTTTCCATGGTATCAAGGCTGAAGCATGAAAATTTCGTTCAATTACTTGGTTATTGTGTTGATGGAAGTTCCCGTGTTCTTGCTTATGAGTTTGCATCTAATGGATCTCTTCACGATATTTTACATGGTATATAATTTGTCCTTTTCAGTTTTTTGAGTTAGCATACTAATTGCTTCTTTTGAGACTTTAGCTTTTGTTAAGTTAGTTTTTTATATTAGAAGATTACTGGCATTTTTTTAATGTGATATTGGCTAACATTGGTGCCATGTCAACTTAAGAGATGTATTTGGTGTGATATTTTACTATTGCCATTTTACATTCAGGCAGAAAAGGTGTTAAAGGAGCCCAACCTGGTCCTGTCCTGTCATGGGCACAGAGAGTAAAGATCGCTGTGGGGGCTGCAAAAGGGCTTGAGTACTTGCATGAGAAGGCTGATCCTCACATTATCCACCGAGACATCAAATCAAGCAATGTACTGATTTTTGACGATGATGTTGCTAAGATTGCAGATTTTGATTTGTCAAATCAGGCTCCTGATATGGCTGCGCGTCTTCATTCCACTCGTGTCCTAGGAACCTTTGGTTATCATGCACCAGAGTAAGAAATCTTGTCACTTATTGCTCTATATCCTTAATTTTATGTCTTAAGTCATTGTACGCCTTCTAATTCTGAGCTTGATTGCTGAATAATTATTGGGACAAGAAATTGGAAATCTGGCGTAGTGTTTGCTAGAGTTCATCAAAAAGCAGTATCAAATTCCATAATTCAAACGTTTTCATTGTTTTTGACCAAATTTGATCGGGGTCAATTTGGACAGATAAATCATTCTTTCAAATTAAGCACCGTGAAGAGTTTTTCCTACAGTCTGTAAAGTTATCTGCCTAATTTTGTGGATGCAGATATGCAATGACTGGACAACTGAATGCCAAAAGTGATGTATACAGCTTTGGCGTTGTCCTTCTGGAACTTTTGACTGGAAGGAAGCCTGTGGATCATACCCTACCTCGTGGACAGCAGAGTCTGGTTACTTGGGTAAAATCATAGAAACCATCCCCTTCCACTCCCCCCCACCCTGACAAAAACACACATGCACAATTGGGGCAGTAAAAGGAAAAGGAAGAGATCTTTGCATCTTTCTTATGATTTGCTATTCAGACCTAGTGATTTGTGTTTCAGGCTACACCAAAACTCAGTGAAGATAAAGTCAGGCAGTGTGTTGATACAAGACTAGGAGGAGATTACCCACCCAAAGCTGTTGCTAAGGTGTTAGCCAGTTTTTTTTGCTATGCTTTGATTTCTTCCTATTTTTATGTGGTATTTCCTTGCTGAGGTTGTGTGGACTGTACGGAAGTTTAGTAGATCTGAATAGGACCTTGGAAGTTATCAAAATGCACGAGCATGCCAATTAGTTTGCTGCGGATGGCTAGTGGCATAATCGTTGAGTTTTACTTTGGAAGTTGGTGTTATGCAAGGGACAAAATTTCGAATCTAAAACTCGGTTTTATCACTCTCTTTAATTGGAAATTGATAATTAAATAAATAATTAGTTGATCAAATGGAAGGCAGTGACATTCTCTAGTTAAATGTCTAGGTTTGAGTGCAAGAGGCTTTAAATTCTAAAAATGCCTCCTGAAGCCATGAGATACCCTGAGCTTTTATAGGATGCATACACGCCCTCAATACACCTGCAGTTGAGATTTGAGAATAACTAATGTACATAACATATAGCTAAATTGATTTATAACCACGTGATGCTTTGATCATTACAGATGGCTGCTGTTGCTGCGCTATGCGTGCAATATGAAGCTGACTTCAGACCAAACATGAGCATTGTAGTCAAAGCTCTTCAACCTTTATTAAATGCACGACCTGGACCTGCTGGTGATACTCCAAATTGATCTCTGTATCTTTCACCCTGTATCTGTGAGCATATGCACAATGTGCATGCAAAAAATATAAGAGATGGAACATGGTTATATATGCCATGTTTACGCCGCATTCATTTTGTTCATAATCCATGAGGTTCGTCGATGTTCCCTGCCGCGTCTTATTCTTTTTACTGTCACCTGGTTTCACTGTTTACTCCATGCCTTTCTGCTGAGATATTTGCCATCTCTACTTAATTGCTCGGGAAAAAACGCTGCAATAGAGGGGTGTGTCTTCTCAAAGCGGAGATCATGTTAATGGACCATTCTTTATCAGAAAGAAATGATCAAAGACGTTTCTTGCTTGATTGAAACATAATTCATTAATATGTCTGAAATATTCTGTACATTGCTTATTTATTAAGACGAGTGTGATGTCACTACTTATCATGTCCATCGACCGTTCTGAGGTTCGGATGATGCAAAACTTCACCAATGCCGAGGTCAATGTTAAGACTGTTTTTTCATTTTGTGATTATTTATATTTTATTAATCGTTACGCTAATCAATTATTATTAATAATTTTATACTTGGGAGAAGTAGAGGCTCTGGAGCAGAAGCTTTTGCCTCATTTGCCATAATTTGATGGACCTCACGGTGTTGCCATGGGAGTAGGAGACGTCTTGATTGTAGTATCTGCATAAAACTTGAAGCTAGATTTTGCTCGAGGAAAGGATGTCAAACCACCTGCACCAGGTTAAGATAACATCTCGTTTTAAAGGTAACGTTTATCACGACCGTGATTGCCTTTGGTGAATTTAGTTTTTTGTCCCTCTAGGAAGAATTGAATTAAAAGAATTCGAAGATTTTGTGTAACTAATGGGCCATTGGCCCGTATGCTACTTGACTCCCAAAGCGAACCGAATCACAATTTACGCCCTGCTCTGTCATATGATGCGCCGGTTTAAGGATTTCTTTTTCCCTTAAAGAAAGTTAAATTTTATTTTGGGGCTTGCAATCCATTTGTTTAAGTTGTGCTCATCAAGGATCACCGAAACTGATTCCTGCACGGAATGTGCACACGAGAAATTTAAGCGGTTTCTATGTATAGAGTGGGATATCAAAGAAATGACTGGTGACTTGTTTAAATTTTCTATTTTACATCGATTTATTTTCAGATATTTTACAAAAGAATTATATTAGATGTGAGATTTCCGATATACAAACAAAATTTCAACTAAAATATAAAATTATTCAGCTTTTCAATAATAACTCATCAAATGTATTATTTTTATCGAGATAAATGTGTTTCTATTAAATAATATGTTTATCATATTTAGACTTAAAAAAATAACAGTCCCTTTATGCTTCAGACTCCCCATCAACCTCGTATAATCCTATTATTGAAGGTAAAATGAAAAAGCTATTTGAAGCCCCCTAGATCGACAATTTGACTATCCTGTAACATTGGGCAACTTGAGAGAAGGAGAGCACAAAAAGGGATCTCAGCTAATTTTGGGCAAAATAAAAGGTTTTATGCCGAGAGCCGACAAAGACAAGGAGCCTCTCTTTTTTTTAAAAAAAAAAAAATGAACAATGAACCCCTATTATAGGTAGGATAAGTGTTTTTTACAGGATATATGCGAGAGAAGAAATAGCAGCACCTCTCAAAACAAGGAATGAACGACACTCGCGTCCGTACGTACGGGCCAGTCATTCTTCATGCAAAATGCAGATTTTATTGGTTTCCTAATTATGGAAGCTGGAGCGGTATATAAGAACACAAGTAATGCATACCTCCATGCAGCATCCGTCATCCTCCCCTTGAAACAATAAATCATTAGGGGGCTGGGGGGGAACAAAAGAAAAATTGATTAAAAACAAAACAAAAATGAGCGGGAAAATAATTGTGTCTGCGGTTTCCCTCATCCTTGTGGTTGGGGTGGTGATCGGCGCCGTCGTGGTGGTTCACAACAAGACACAGACCCTCAGGTCACGGAACGCCAGCATGCGGTGAAAGCAATGTGCCAGAACACGGAGGACCAAAAGCTTTGCCACGACACTCTGGGCAGCGTGCGGAACAGCTCAGACCCAAAAGCATTCATAGCCGCCGCCTTGGAAGCCACCACCAACAACGTCATCAAGGCTTTGAACATGAGCGATAAGCTCAGCGTTGAACAAGGCAACAGCTCCCAAGGCATCGTCAAGATGGCCCTCGATGACTGCAAGGACTTGCTCCAATTCGCCATGGATAGCCTCCAGGCTTCCACTGACTTCCTGGGCAACAACAGCGTCCAATCCTTGAGCGATCGATCCCCTGACTTCAAGAATTGGCTCGCTTCTGTCGTCTCCTACCAACAGGCCTGCATGGATGGCTACGACGAAAACGTCGACGGTGCCCAACAGATCAAGTCTCAGCTTCAGGAGAATGGTTTGGACAACGTGGGGAAGCTCACCGGCATAGCCCTTGATATTATGGCTGATTTAGAAAGCATCCTGAACCAGTTTGGTTTGAAGGTGCAAGTGAACCCTGCTTCTCGTCGTCTTCTTGAGGTGGACAGCGAAGGGTATCCGACCTGGTTCTCAGCCGCTGACCGCAAGCTGTTGGCCAACGTAGCGAGGGGAAGGGGACATCATATCAAGCCCAACGTTGTGGTGGCCCAGGATGGCAGTGGCCAGTTCAAGACCATCATGGCCGCTGTTAACTCTTATCCTAAGGGTTTCAAAGGAAGATATATCATCCAAGTCAAGGCTGGTACTTACCGTGAGTATGTCGTCATTCCTAAGACGGCCGTCAATATCCTTATGTACGGTGAGGGCACTGATAAAACCATCGTCACCGGTAACAGAAACAATGTCGATGGTTACACCACATCGAACTCAGCTACTTTCGGTAACTTGCCAATCTATTCCTTTCTGATGCATATTTACCCAAAACATACATACATTGCTATATACGTGATGATGATAGTTGTAATTGAATGATTGTGCCTGCACGCAGTAAATACCGCAAACGGGTTCATCGGCAAGTACATGACATTTATGAACACCGCGGGTCCCGAAAAGCACCAAGCAGTGGCATTCAGGAACCAGGGAGATATGTCGGCTATGTTCGATTGTTCTTTCGTGGGTTTCCAGGACACGTTGTACGCTCAAAGCAATCGTCAATTCTACAGGAACTGCGACATCTCCGGTACCGTTGACTTCATTTTTGGAATGTCCACCACGTTGATCCAGAGCTCCCGAATCATCGTAAGGAAGCCAATGGACAACCAATTCAACACAGTGACGGCAGATGGCACGTCCGAGAAGAACGCACCCACAGGAACAGTCATCCAGAACTGCGACATTGCTCCAGAGAGCGCTCTGTTCCCGGTGAGGTTCAAGATTAGATCCTACCTGGGAAGGCCGTGGAAGCAATATGCTAGAACTGTGGTGATGGAATCCAGAATAGCTGACTTCATTCAACCCGATGGGTGGACCCCATGGTCAGGAAGCATTTACCTCAACACATTATACTACGCAGAGTATAACAACGAAGGACCTGGCGCTAATGTTGCCAAGAGGGTTAAGTGGCCAGGTTACAAGGGCCTCATCAGTAAGGCTGAAGCTACCCAGTTCACCGCCGGCCAGTTCCTGAGAGGTGGTCCCACTTCCCGAGCTGAGGACTGGATGAAGCCCCTTCATGTTCCTTTTGACATTGGCTTCACCAAGCCTTGATCGTTTCAGATGTCTTCACTAGTCGTCGTCCCTTCGAGGGATATATTTGTGTGTGATATAGTGTAAATCTACACGCTCAAAGTTCTTTTTCATCATTCTTTTATGATATATACATTCTTTCATCAACTTATATAGGCTTGCATGTTACTCGCACACGTGTCCATAGTTTACTTCCGTGTTTGCCCTTGAAAAAAATGTTGCCGGCTCCTTCTTTTTTTTTTTTTGAATGAAATAATTTGGGCTTCTTTGATTTCTCATGATCAAACAGATGCTTAATCACAACTTTGATTATTAATAAATCATTGAAAGTGATTATTTTTTAAAAATTTTCAGGCCAAAACATTTTATCCAATTTTAATAAATCTATTATTATATACAAAAATTAGTCACTCGACACAAGTATTTTAAATATTTATTTCATATTTAATCATAATTACATCATATTATAGCTAAAGAAAACGTTCTTCCCGAGTACGCACAACACAATTTCCCAATATTTTAATAACTGAGTTTCCAAAGCCAAAACCAAATCATTATATAAATTCAGTTTTATGAGATCTACAAATATATAAATTAGAAACAAGAAGAGGAGGAAAAGTAACAAATTCAGTTTTATGAGATCTACAAATATATAAATGGAATGCCTTTTTCCTTCTTTATTTCCTTTTACTTTAGGTGAATTACTACTAAAAATAAAAATCTGGATACCTAGAATCACTTGGCTAGGAGAAGAGCACATCTCACACACAACTGACCAAAAAGCAATATTGCACTCATCACCGGATCATGATCAACAGGTTGTCGCACAGAGAACCTAGAAGCATGAAATTATGGACATGTATTTAGGCGTTTAGGAGTATTGATATTGACAGAAATGTGCCATTTACACATTAGACATGTTTTTCTGTGTTTATATATAATACTACCTCCGGTCCTTGACATAAAAGCTTGTTTGACTTTCAATTTATAAGATACCAATCTATTTTGTCTCTCATGTTTATCTTTTTTTTTCAAGATAGTCATTATAGTAGTCGCACATGTTAAATGTGTCATCAAATGACACTTGATTAGTAAGAACATTTTAAAGAAGACAACACATATTTATTACCAACAACTAACTTAACTAATTTCTTTAATCTACTTAAATTATCAACTAACTCTTACAAGGACTAGAAGTAGTATATGATATGAAATTTAGGTTATTGTTTGTGAAAGCATATTTAATATAGATTTTAATGCGTATGTATGTATCAATATATCGACTAACCCAATACTTCATTATATCTGAAGTCGGTATATGTAATACGCGTTTCTGCTGTAATGTGTTCGCTTTGAACGAAACTTTGATAACCTGATTTAGAAGCCAGGTGAGTATAGTTGGTAAGAAAACGACAGAAGGGAAGACCTGTGCACTTAATTCTGTAACGCGTATTAATAGAGATGAGTGGAATATAGAGTGTTGCTAGCTACTTGATAGTATTAATAGAAACAGTTTGTTGATGATGAGACGACCAAATGACTTATACGCAGCCGGGGAAAGAAAATATCATCACCTGCAATAAAAGACGCCCATATTTACATGAAAAATCTTTCAACGTGAAAGTAAAAATAACAGGTCATTCAAACTAATGAAATTAAATCTAATGTAATTAAAATAAGAGAGTGTCATTCAAATGCATATATAAGTGCTAACAGCCGATTAAAAAACCAAAGCAACAAGTGTGTAATAGAAAATAAATAAACGAAAAACACCAAAAGCAAAGTTAAACGGTGAACTAGATAACTTTCGCATCTGAACCAGCTGACAAAATACTCGACCAGATCCAACTATTGTCAAATTCACAAATGTATATTTACTAAGACTATTGTGTGAATATATATATGTATATATATGACTTTCATCTCTTCTCCTCTCAAATGGCTGCGATCTTTTAACTTGAATAGAACCTCGCCCACTTGTCCTAATCTGACTGCTCGCTCAAATTCAGATACTTTAATTTGATCATTGGAAACAAGCATGTTAATTATTTAAGTGTTTGTTTTTCAATAAGATAGGGTTATAAACTAAACAAGCGGTGGAACAAGCCGTTGATATTCCATAGTCAAGACGGGTTATTTCAAAAGGTATATTAAAAGAAAACCGATGAAATATTTGGAAAATCGAATGTTGGTTAAATATTCCCCTTCCAAATCAAAGCTTGCGAAACGGTCACTCTTTTTAAGAGAAAAATTAAACATGTTTTTTATGCATCTTCTCGTAGAATGAACATAATAACCCTGCCATTTTAATATATTTAAGTAATATTTAATTTTTAAACAAGGTCAATTTAGTGGTAATAGAAAATTATATGCATGGAATCAGTTGGTGTCAGACAGCTGAAATATCAGAATTAAAAGCAAATTAGTTGGAGGATGGATATCATACATCACAAATATGGCATGGAGAGATGAAACGCTTGGTTGTACGTGGGAGGCGGCCATGAAGTTAAATAAAAGCCACACAAGTTATGATGGTCAAGGGGATGAAAATGGAGGTCTAATCCACCGCTAAAATGGTCAAAATATACCCGTCATTCCCAAATAACAGCTTCTCTTTCTTATTATAGAACCTAAACGTGCATATAAAATCCCCAAGGACGCGCATTCAGAAAGCATCCTCTCTCAATCCCATCTGCCTCCCCTGAGGAAACAAAGGGATTCTGGAAGGGGGGGATCGAATAAACTATCTTTGAGGGTCTTGGGTAGTAGTAGTAATAATAATAATAAAAGATGAGCGGAAAAGTACTCGTCTCCGCAGTTTCCCTGATCCTCGTGGTGGGGGTTGCCATCGGCACCGTGGTGGTGGTTCACAAGCAGAATGGTGACTCTGGTCAGATCTCTTCCCATCAGAATGCGGTGGCGCAAATGTGCCAGAACACCGACGACCCGAAGTTTTGCCAACAAGTTCTCGGCCATGTGAACGACACCTCTGACCCAAAGGCGTTCCTAACGGCGGTAGTGGAAGCAACCACCAACAGCGTCATCAAGGCCTTCAATATGAGCGACAGGCTCAGTGTGGATCATGGCAATGGCGAGAAAGGCCTTAAGATGGCCCTTGATGACTGCAAGGACTTGCTCCAGTTCGCCATGGACAGTCTTCAATCGTCTACCGACTTGTTGCGTAACGATATCAAAACTGTGACCGACCAAACCCCTGACTTCAGGAACTGGCTTTCCGCCGTCATCTCCTACCAGCAGGCCTGCATGGATGGCTTTGACGATAACAACGACGGCGAGAAGCAGGTCAAGTCACAGTTACAAGAGCAGGCATTAGACGGCGTGGGGAAGATCACTGGTATAGCCCTTGACATTGTCGCTGATCTGGCCAAGATCCTCGACAAGTTTGGGTTGAAGTTGGACTTGAAACCTGCATCCCGCCGCCTTATGGAAGTGGACAGCGAAGGTTATCCTACCTGGTTCTCTGCTTCCGACCGTAAGCTCCTGCAGAAGATGCACAGGGGACACCATGTGAAACCCAATGTCGTGGTGGCTAAGGATGGCAGTGGAAACTTCAAGACCATTGCAGAGGCCATTGCCTCCTATCCCAAAAAAGGTGCAAACGGCAGATACGTGATCTTCGTCAAGGCAGGCGTATACCAGGAGTACATCATCGTTCCCAAAAATGCAGTGAATATCCTTATGTATGGTGAGGGCGCAGGTAAAACTGTCATCACCGGAAACAAAAACTTTGTTGATGGGGTCAAGACAATGCAAACAGCTACCTTTGGTGAGTCAGCCAACCATTATTCGCATTTTAATTTTGATGTGTTCCCTTTTTACTTCATTTAATTTTCCCAAAATGATATATTCATGATGATCATGCGCAGCCAACACTGCAAATGGGTTCATCGCCAAGTACATGTCATTTGTGAACAGCGCCGGACCTGAGAAGCACCAAGCAGTGGCACTGAGGAACCAAGGAGACATGTCGGCTTTCTTCGATTGCGCCATCGTGGGAAACCAAGACACCCTGTACGCTCAAACCAATCGTCAATTCTACAAGAACTGCGACATATCTGGTACTATTGACTTCATCTTTGGGGTGTCACCAACACTGATCCAGAGCTCTAGAATCATTCTAAGGAAGCCATTGGACAACCAATTCAACACAGTGACGGCAGACGGCACAGCCCAAAAGAACATGCCCACCGGAATTGTGATCCAAAACTGCGATATCGTGCCGGAGCCAGCTCTGTTCCCCCTCAGGTTCCAATTGAAGTCATACTTGGGAAGGCCATGGAAGGCTTACTCCAAGACAGTGGTGATGGAATCCAGAATCGGTGATGTTATTCATCCCGATGGATGGATTCCTTGGGAGGGAAGCATGTACCTCGACACCTTGTACTATGCTGAGTACAACAACGAAGGACCCGGTGCTAATGTTCAGGGAAGGGTCAAGTGGCCAGGTTACAAGGGCCTGATCAGCAAGAACGAAGCTCTCCAATTCACAGCAGGCCAATTCCTGCAAGGTGGACCCACCTCCAACACTGCGGTTTGGCTCAAGGCTCTTCACGTTCCTTATGACATTGGCCTCACCAAGCCTTGATTCGAATGTACATCCAAGGTTAATTTAGAGGCTATACTTTAACACAGACAAGTGTAAATTATTCGTTGTGACCATGCACACACCAACTCATGTAATCTTTGTGTTAATTATTTGCCCTTTAATGAGATTGAGGAGGCCCCGTGTAGCTCGTTCTTGTTATATTATACACGTGCTTCTTTTTTTCCTTTTTTTGGTTAATGACCTCATTACAATTATCACCGAAGACGTTGCGTTAAAATAAACATTCAAAATAAGTAAACCATTCCAATTTCAACTAATAAACTGACTACGTTGATCTCATAATAACGAGCGTGTACATGTTAAGTGTTAATTAACTACAGATAATTTAGCGAATAACTACACCATTCTGCGATGCGCGGTCATTTTTGCATACCGAATAGCTGTATAATTATGGATAATCAGTTATAAAATTATAGAGTTATAAAGGACATGCATATGGGGCGGGATCTTTTCATGTAAAAGCTTACTAAATATATATACAAAACACTTGTGAAACAAATATTATAATTTTACTCTATAATTTTTAAAGCAAGATAACAGTCATAGAAAACGTGAATCAAAGCGTCCCTCTTCTAGTTATTTATAAGACAGAAAAAAGAAAAAAAAAATGATCCTAGCAGAGAAATTTTTTTCATATAAATGTATAATTTTATTATTTATTTGTTATTTTTTAACTTTGTTGATATAATATATATTAGATAGAGATAAAGTTAAAAGTACTGTTTAATTTTAAATAAGAGTTAACAAAATTTAAAATCTTTCTTAATCTGTATGAAATATGTTGAAAATAACTTATAAATACGACCAGAGGAATACTTCATAATATTAAAGAAGGTTTTAGAAAATTCATCTTAAAATAAACGTGATAAAATTTTGCCCCCATAAGAAAGTCCATACCCCATCACTCCCCACCGATTTTTTTTAACGGCTATATCGGTCCCTGAAAAACGATTAGGCGCACACATGTACATGCATATGCTCATCCTACTGGCAAAACAAAGGAGGATTAGAGCTCTCCCTCGCTTCTTTCTACCGTCCTTCGGCTTTATTAGAATTTTTAACGTGTATAACACCTTCATCTCTTAATATAAAATGTAGTTAACTAATTTAATGAAATTAAAAAAATATTTTAAGGTGTTTATATTTATCTTTTTTTTTTCCAAACTTATCTACCTAATTTATAAAAAGATCACACAATATATATGTTATAATTAAGTAATTTTTAAAATTTTTTAGCCTTTGAAAATCAGTCAGCTAGGTCTTATATTAAAGATTAAAGATAATATTTTGAAATGAAAGAAGTAATAAAACGTAAGGTTGTTAATCTTGATGAGTTCATTTTGATAAAAAAAATCCAAGAGGTTTAAGAATTTTGGTAACGGAGCTAGTTTCTTGTACAAACTTGTTAAGTTTTATCATGTGAATGAAGATAATTATTTTTTTAGTTTCTAATATATATCACAACATTTTAACTTGTGATCACTAAATTAATTATTATATACATAAAATTTGATATCAAAAATCTCATATTGAATTACTTGAGTAATATTGTATCTGTATGTAGTATGTACTTTTCCAAGAGGATCGCACGTCTCTTTCTTTCCAAATTAATTTTATTTTTCCACTTTTCAAGTACATACACACTTGTTTTCTATTCCTTAGCAAACATTATTATTTCACTAATATGATAGATGAAAACATTATGCTAAGACGATGTCACTAAGGACGTTTTTATTTAAATAATTCCATCGTCCCGTTTGAAAAGGCCCCTCAGTAATTTTTGAATTGATTCGATGTCGTTTTGTAAACTGGTCAGATAAAAATAAAAAGAACTAAACACTCCTGTAGTCCTAGAATTACACTATAAAATATGTCTTATATTTGGAATCAGAGGAGTATTTTGTGGCTAAATATCTAAATAGATTTTTATTAATACACAAATTGAACTAATTCCCAAAATTTCCGTGTAAGAATTTTCATTCCCTCGCTTAAATACTTGGAATGATATTTCATAATATAAATCATCAATATTTTAGTATTTGCATCTCAATTTAATTATATGAAATAATAACCTCAACCCCAAAATCATATTTTCATATATCATAGTAACAGGCGAATAATAATAATAACACCGAACACTAAATCTAACATATAAAAGAATATATTTCAGCAGAAAAGTTATTAAAGAATAGAATCTATGCTACAAATGCAGTGTGCAGTGTTTTGTTCCAATTACTTAAACTAAACTAAAACATATATAATTGTAGCCAAAGCTCTTTGAAAAATAAAACTTAAGTCTAATATTAGGAATTTTAAAAATGAGAGAGTCGAAACTCGGAAGTGTCGCGCTGAAATGAAGGGTTTGTGGCTTTAACAATTCTGATGGATGGACGCAAAAGAAGGCCCAGATGAAGCGTTTCTATATTTGGCCATCGTTCCTAAGAAAAGGGAATGAGACCTTTTTTTGGAACATGGTGGAGAGCTATATAAACCCCACCCACCATGCATGTTACAGCATCGCTCTCATTACCCAATAATACTCAGGAGAGCAATCTCCTCACCCTTCATTTTTATTTTATTTTCGCTCCGATTAACTTGATCTTCAGCGATTTGCTCATTTATCCTACAAGAAATTAATCGGAGAGGAAAAGCATCAATAATAAATTAGAGAGAAGAATCTCATCAAATAAAGATGAACGGAAAAGTGATCGTGCCCGCTGTTTCTATCATCCTCGTGGTGGGTGTGGCCCTTGGCGTCGTCGGCATCGTTCACTATAGGAACAGCAGCAGCAATGGTCAGCCAGAGACCAACACCCACACAAAGGCCGTTGCCGCCATATGCCAAAGCTCTGACGACCCCAAGCTCTGCCATAACACGCTCGACCCCGTCAACAGCACCGACCCTAAGGATTATATAAAGGCTGTGGTGGAATCCGCCATGAACACCGTCATCCAGTCCTTTAATCTGACCGACAGGGTTCAAATAGAGCACGGAAATAGCAGCACAAGAGGCATAAAGATGGCCGTCGAGGACTGCAAGGACTTGCTGCAATCAGCGATAGCGGAACTGCAAGCATCGGGTGTGCTGGTTCAAGACAACAATGCTCGAAGCGTGACCGACCGGGAAGATGACCTCAAGAACTGGTTGAGCGCCGTCATCGCCTACCAGCAATCCTGTCTTGATGGGTTTGAGACGGACAATGATGGCGAGAAGGCGATACAGCAACAATTGCAAGCAGGCGGCCTGGACAACGTGGAGAAGCTCACAGGGTTGGCACTAGATGTTGTGGCTGGCATTTCCCAGTTTCTCTCCGTCTTGGACTTGGACTTGGACGTAAAACCTGCTTCTCGTCGTCTTCTGAGCAACGTGGCGGAGTTAGATCACGACGGATATCCCACTTGGATCTCCGGCCCCGATCGCCAGCTCATCGAGCTGCCCAACACAGGACACCCTACCGATCAGCCCAACGCGGTGGTTGCCCAGGACGGCAGTGGCCAGTTCAAGACCATTCAAGAGGCCATCAATTCATACCCGCCGAACTTCCAAGGCAGATTCACCATCTACGTCAAGGCCGGCATCTACAATGAATACGTCCACATTACCAAGAAGCAGCCCAACATCCTCATGTACGGTGATGGCCCCAACAAGACCATTGTCACTGGCAACAGGAGCTACACCTCCGGTTGGAAAACAATCAAAACTGCCACCTTCAGTAAGTTGATCTATCCGTCTCATTCTCTACTTCATAATCAAATATCGTTAATTAATTAAATATAACATATGATGTGATGCATGCAGCCACCTTGGGTGACGGCTTCATTGCCAAGTCGATGGCATTCGAGAACACCGCCGGAGCTGAAGGACATCAAGCAGTTGCGCTGAGGGTGATGGGTGATCGCTCAGCTTTCTTCGACTGTGCCATGCGCGGTTATCAAGACACCTTGTACGCACACGCCAAACGTCAGTTCTACCGCAACTGTGAGATCTCCGGCACTGTGGACTTCATCTTCGGATATGGCAGCACCTTGATCCAGAACTCCAGAATCTTGGTCAGGAAGCCCATGGATAACCAGCAGAACATCGTGGTCGCCGACGGCACTGCCCAAAAGCAAATGCGCACCGGAATTGTCCTCCAGAACTGCCAGATCATGGCCGACGCCAGCCTCCAAGCCGACCGGTTGACCGTCAAGTCCTACCTGGCCAGGCCATGGAAGGCATACTCCAGGGCTATCTTCATGGAAAGTGAAATCGGTGATCTCATCAACGCCGATGGTTATCTTCCATGGATGGGCAGCATGTTCCTAGACACCTGCTACTTCGCCGAGTATGCCAACACCGGTCCCGGTGCCGCCACAAACAACAGGGTCAAGTGGAGTCACGGCGTCATCACCAAGGATGATGCGACTCAATACACCGCCGAGCCTTGGCTTCAGGCCGGCTCATGGTTGCCCGCCACCGGTATTGCCTTCGACAGCGGTCTCACCAAAGCTTAAATCGTCCGTCTCCCTTTTCATCCCCCACAAAAACGTTAACCAATTCATTTTCAACATTATTTCTGCAGGAGGTTTTACCACCAATTCATTGCACTCTTGTTATTCTTGCTATCATTTTCTGCTCTCCTGCATTTGTAATGGAGAGATGAGTTAAATAACATATTATTATCCAGCCCTTTTTTCTTTTTGTTTTTTCCTTTTGACACTCATCCAGATGTTATAGAGAGCCATTTTTAAATGTGAATACAAACTATGGGAAGGCCCAAAGGCTTTCATCCACTTCTTCGGCCCAAATATTAAACAAAATAAATAGGTCCCCCCGCATCGTATTCCTTCCTATTTTCTTGGGCCCTTGGGCTTCTTTTAGCGAATCAACACTGACCTATAAAAACGATTTTGTAATTATTAATAGACTTATACTTTCCTTTAATTTTTAATTTGGTACTTATATTTTTTTCGTATTTAATTTTATTTTTTTAATAATATTAGTTCTTATAACTTTGTTCTATTAGCATTTTAGTCTCTATGCAATGGTTAATGATGTTAATAGAGTAATACTTAAAAATTTAATTAAGAGAAAAAAAACACATAGATACCAAATTTAAAATTTAAAAAAAATTATAGGTATCTCCAAAATGATTTTTTCTTATTAATATACAAAATAAATTGTACCAAAAAATATACAAAATAAATATATGCTAATTAGTTATAATAAAATGAAGGGCTAAGGTACGCCCAGCACCCTGAACTATTTACCCATGTGCGTCCAGTGGCCTAAAGTAATTTTGGATGCATCCAGTGTCCTAAACTAATTAAAATGGTGCGTCCATATCCCAGGCTAACAGAAATGTTATGTTTAACTGTTACTTTCCTGACTCGGCTTAAAGTTGACCCTAGATATTCTAAATAGTACACATATGGACATTTGATGTGTATTATTCTTATTCAAAAATTGAATTTATTTCCTTCCTCTTCTTCTAAATAAATTGACTTTTGAGTAAGAATAATACACATCGGGTGCCCATGTGTCTACCATGTAGAATATCTGGGGTCAACTTTAAGCTGAGTCAGGAAAGTAACAGTTAAACATAACATTTCTGTTAGCCTGGGATATGGACGCACTATTTTAATTAGTTTAGGATACTGGATGCACCCAAAATTACTTTAGGCCACTGGACGCACCTGGGTAAATAGTTCGAGGTGCTGGGCGCACCTTAACCCTAAAATGAAACATTGGCTGGCACAAAAAATAAAAAAATACATTGAAAATTTTCTCATATCGGATCAAAATTATGATCGTCCACGATATTAATCATTTTGACCTTCAACATTTAGTTTTTGAGGAATTGAATCTACGGGAAAATCCAAACACTGTTCAGAACGTTATCTTTTCAACACACGTTTTTAATTTTCAGATAATTTTTATGGCCATTCTTCTTCCTAACATTCAATGCATAAATAGATAAGATTCCAACTGGCGCCGGCTCTAATGTTCTATCGCAGCTTGACATGGATTGATAAAATTGATTCTTTGTTAAATAATAAAAATAGTGCGAATCTTGCAAGAAATGGATACTGAGATCCTTTATTTTGTCCATTCTCCCATCAACAGTTTCCTGTTTGGGCGCAAAATGGTCAACGCTCATTACTCAAGTGATGTTTACACTCAATAATTTCCCTTCTTGAGGTGTAGACTTTACAGCAAGAATAAGACAGATGAATAAAAGATTTTATAGTTTACACATATTTCAAATCTTTGGACACCATTGAACAGAGCTATTGAGGGAATTCCGTCCCTATCATCTTCGCAGTGTAGGACCCTTCTGAAAACGCAAAAGATCAGATATTTAATCTCTGGTAATTGATCGACAAACAAAGCGGCCGTGAATACCAGGGAATTATTGGGGCATGGATAATTGTGGTAAGGTTTTGAGGGGATGGAGTTGGGAGGAGAACAAATTGTTCGAGGTGGCGCTAGCGGTGGTAGATGAGCAGTACCCGGATCGGTGGGAGGTGATTGCGGCCATGGTCGGAGGAAATAAGAATGCAGAGGACGTTCAAGAGCACTATGTGAGCCTTTTGGAGGATCTGCATCTTATAGATTCAGGAAGGTTCGATCATAAGCTTCCACAGGCTCAGCCCTGTCTTCTGCTCGACTTCACCCACTCTTTATCCCTGTCTGACTAAGATACGACTGTGTCGAACTATTTGGTTTTCCCCTTTTTACTCTGCTCTTTCAGTGGCACTTAGGCATGATTTTCACCTGTAAGGCTCTCTTCAATTTAGACAAGTAGCCACATTTCATATAATTGAACTGATGTGCTTCTCTTGATTTCTGTTTCATGTTATCCCTCAGGAGTGAGGCCTCATTGGTTCTTACTTTAACCATGTGTTCGCCTCACATGTATCAGATCACTCTTAGAAATAAAACTTGATCACCCGAGCGTCCCCAGCGGGGGAAAATCTCCCCCCCCCCCCTCTCTCTCTCTCTCTCTCTCACTCACGCACACGCCCTGACGCCCACACACAATTTAACCAAGTCAGCACATAAATCACTAAGAGATCAAAGAAAATACGCCTAATTTCAGCCTAGCGCTTTAATTCAGAAAGAGAGAGGATAATGGGATCTGGTGGAGCCGCCGTCAAGTTCGTTCCCCATATTCATCTGCTTCAGAACTGCTGTGATATTCTGCACTGAATCATCTGGTGAATAGACCGTCAGTTTTCAGAAAGTGAAAGGTATTTTTTTTTTTTGGACGGTGTGCCAAATCCATGTAGGAACAAAGCAGAAGGCATATAATACCCAAGATTAACAGGGCCCATTTTATTTCTAGTTAAGGAAAGTCTAAAATTAATATCAGATGCAAATCGGTATGTGGAGGCAATAGTTAAGAAACGGCCACATTACGATTAGGGGAAATGTCAGATATGGTTGCAAAATATCCTGCAGACATAATAGTTCAGGACACACGGAAAAGTATTGATGTGGATTAACTCCATGAAGATGCATCTTCCAATTTAAGAGAAACCGAGTTGAATTGATTTTGACAGATGCAGCAAAATCCAAGGCAAAAAAAGAAACAGAAGGAATTGAGAAAGAAGAAGAGAAGAGAAGGAAGGAGACAGAGCCAGGGAAGAGGCAGTGCATGAGCGAGGCCACAACAGGTTTCAGGGCTCTCATTTGATCAGCTGCTTGATGTTGTCTATTCTGTTGATAGCCCCATCCATGCTCTGCCTGTTCCCAGCCTTTGTCCTGTACTGTCTCAGAACTCCTCCGCATTACCTGGACTCGCCTTACCCACGAAATGAATAAGCAGCTCCTCTGCAATCCCAACCAACAGCCCAATCTTCAATTAACTCTTTCTACTATAAACCTTGCTGTTGAGGTCAAGTGTTTGTGCGTTGTTATGATGCAATCCCAGTGTATATGTAATGCTACATGAGGTGATTGTGGTGTAGTACATGCGTGTACTGTCATGTTCCAGTTCAACGTTTGCCCCCGTACTACATGTATCGCCTAAGCTGTGAAGGCCGCCCAAACTGTACTGCCTTTCAGCTTGCTAGTACTGAAAGCTCCCTCCCTCTCTCCACCACAGTACTTACTTATGCCCTGCTTTGCTTTTCCTTAGCGGATGCGGGCTTAAATTCCTGCACGGCGCAGCGTTAAGTATAATTAAAATGAATTTGTTTCCGTACATATGGCCGCGTCTCTTTCATATTTTCCACCAAATACATGTTACATTCATGAACTGGCCCTGCCTTCACTAGCAAACCGGCTCCCACGTCCCACGACCACGAGGCATGCCGCCTGGTGTCAACGTTATTCATGGTCCTCCAGCGTGAGACCTTATATATGTTCTTTGAATGTGTGGTGTATAATAAAACTAAATATGATCAAGAAAATATCCCCCCCCCCCCCAAAAAAAAATAAAGGGGGGGCGATGGTTATGAAAGTCGAACAAGAGGTATGCCAGAAGTCACGCTGTGGGCCCATCTCATAAGATGAGTAAGTGGATCCAGCCCAATTTCGGCCCACACGGGCTTAGGAGGCAACTTTACGCTTCCTCTGGGGCTCGGGAATAGTGATCTGTTGAGCATGCAGATTTATCGCGCAGTCTCGTTAGGCGTATCCATCTTTCCACACCATCCAGCCGTCCGTCTGATCCACGCCCCAGGAAATGCCACGCACGCCTCTCAGCTTAAACGGCGTCGTTGTCACCTTTGCTCGTAAGCGAATCAGCCGTTAACCTTTAACCATCGGCTCCTCCCGTTGGCGCCCGGCTGTTTGGAGAAGCTTCCACATTTGTAAGGCTTCCAAATCTATAATTGATAGCCTTTTTTTTTTCCTTCTCATGAATTGAATATATACTCGTATAAAACAAGAGACGGGCGGCCATGCTTTAATGAACGAAACGTTTTCAAAGGTGAACTGCATTGCTTATACTTGTGTAGAGCTTGTAACTAATATGGCTCTTCTTCTCAGTCTTCTTTGTTAAAAAACTCCAGGTGACCAGTGTAGCATTCTTCTACGATAACTCCTCGACTCATTTATTATCCATAACTGTACGATATAAATAATTTGAAACTGCAGAATGGCCAGAAAATGTGATGTAAGCTATAGAACCAGGACAACTGCCCCTGGGACACCGTATGATTGCTCAGCGTTCTGATGGTGTTCGTGTTATGTGTTATGTAGCTGGCTAGTGGCTACCCACTCGGCTTGGCTGGAGAATCGGAGTCTTTACGTGTCAGTTGAGGAGACATGGGACAGTTTGATCATGCGTTTATTTGGACTGACATGCAACATTAACTTCAAAAAGAGACTCTGAAGACGACGTCAGATGAGAAATTTTAACCCATTCACCAAATTACTATCTTCCTCCAATCTCAATCCTGTCAATGATTGTTTTTATGAGGATTGTATCAGCAAGTAGCACCTTGCTGACCTGTGTTTTTTTTTTGGTAAAATAAATAATAAATAAGCTAGATAATTAATTTGAATAGATTTTTAAAAAGATTAGTTAAGTTATTTAATTATGATAAATATGTGTTGATTTTTTAAAATTATCATATTTAATCATACATATTGAATCTATTTTTTGATAGGAATTTCTTACAGTCGATGAGGATATTTTACAGAAAAC